AGTGAAAAATGAGAGTAAAAGCAATGGACAAGCGTTTAAAGTGGTTCGGATGCTAAGGAAACGAATCCTACGTCCACTGATTTTTGTATTAATGATAGAGGTCAGGTCGCGTTAGCGGACTGACTTACAAATGTTTGTACAAGAGTGAATGCTATATATTTTTGAGAGAGAGAGTAGCTAATCCCGTAAATGAGAGAAGAACTCTCAATTTATAGTGGGATGGATTAAGATTATCATTACTAAATCTGTGAGTTTGTGGAATTATCTGTGCAAATCCTTCTTTATGTTACATTGCCCACCTTCCATAGTGATTTACGTGATTTGGTGCAGGGATCGGACACGTGTAGTTATTATGACTTCTGGCTGATATGGCGCGCACTCACTTTACTGATAGGAGTGGGCTACTCAGGTCACCACGCGATGTGGCTGCTTTTAACTAGCTGCGGACCTACCCAAGCTCTGACCTTCTATACTGACTGAGTCTTGCATCAGCCCTATATTTTTCAAGCATAACAAATAGATTATTGATTTGGGTTGGAAGTGTTTGTAATTAGTGGTGGTTTATGGCGGTAGTGATGGCTGTATGGGGTGGTTCTAGTGGCTGGTCATTTTCAGTTTGAATGTTTAATTTGGAATGACCTTTTCACCTTTGACTGTTATATTAATCAATAGTCTGTTAATTTAAGGATGGAATCTGAAATTTATGAAACCAAGGGTGGGAACTAGCCATTTCGCTTTACCTTGGGTGGGAAACATGTCGTTTACTCCATGCGTAATAATAATGGCTAAGAAAAAGAGTCCTGGAGAAATTCATCTGGTTAAAAACTTAAAATATAAAAAACTTGCATGCTTTGAATTTGAATCGTAGATAGCTGGCAATGAATGATGAAGAGAGAAGCAGGGTCAGCGGGGCATTGAAACAAGAAACGAGGAGAGAAATAGGAGACTTTGCAGAGAGTCTGCAGAAAGCAGGTCGCTTATCAGAATTTTCTTCAGACTTTGTGTAAATTTTCTTTCAATCTTTGTGCCTTTATTGTATTATTTTATATTTTTTCAGGTTGAGGGATGAGGGTGATGGCCTGATGGGGTAAGTTTCGGTTTCTGTTTTTCTATCCCCTTGTTTGCGTAAGGGAATTGCACATTAAAATTAGAGAGAAAAATGAAGTTACTTTTGTTCAGGATCAGGATCAGGATCAGGAGCAGGTACTTTTGGCTTTGTTGTTTGTAGTGTTTTTGTTTGCTTTACTCTTCCTTTTCTTTCTGTCTTTGTGTTGCTTTTCTGGGATGGTTAGGATGTCTCTTACTTTTTTATTTTCTGTCTTTATTAATTCAATGGACAATTGTTTGTTCTTTTCTTCTTTATTTCTTTTCTCTTCGTGCATGAGCTTCAAATTTAATTTATACCCTTTATATACTAATTGACAAACTTTTACCCACGTTAATAAATATCCCAAAACATAAGAAATCCCCTAATAAATATATCCTTTGGGGGGCGTTTGGTTGGCGGTAATGTCAGATTATTAGGGTAATGTCATCTGATATTACTTGATTATCACGTTTGGTTGTTAAGTAATATAAGATTCTGGTAATCTTCAAATACTAATAGTAACTACTATTGGTAATATTGGAGGTAATCTGATTACCTCCATTTTTTTAGGTATTCTGAGATTACCAGGGTTATCTTTTTTTGTTACAATTTTATCTCTTATTAATGAAAATTTTGGACAATAATGCCCTCATTTTAAAATAAATTTACATTAATATCCTATTTCAATTTTACCCTTATTTAACTAAAATTTTGGACAATAATGTCCTTGAATTTAAAACAATTTACAAACTACTGCCACTCAGCCACCACCACCACTGCCACTCAGCCACCACCACCACTGCCACCCAGCCACCACCGCCTACAGCAGCCAACCACCACGGACCGCCTCAGAAAACTCGTCGGAGTCCCTAAAAAAGAACGAGTTTCAGTGGGAGGCTCCGGGAGTCATCGCTATGGCCGTTTTCGGCCATATTGATGGCCGAAAACGGCCAGGGACCTGGCCATTAACGGCCAGATCTATTTCGGCCGAAATAGATTACTAAGAATGTTAGATTACTAGGAATGTTGGATCACTGGAAAGATAGATTACATTGGAAGATTACTGAGAATTTTTAGAAAAATGTGTTTGGTTAGTTGGTGGGTATGTTATATTAATATGTTTGGTTATGGGGAATAAATTGGAAGGTATGTTATTTAAATTACCAAATTGTCCCCTTTTCAAATATTATTAGTTTTTTAATAATTTCTTTTAACCCCCAATATTTCAGATTTAGTTAAAACACACCCGGTCACCCGCTTATATAAAGCTTTAATTTATTACGAAATCAACCCCACCACCTGCCGCCACCGCAGACCACTGCCAGAAGTCTCTGAAAGTCCCCATCAGCAGCTAACCGTGACCAAGAGGCTTCGAACGACCATATTGATGGCTGAAAACGGCCATATCAGGCCAGATCTGGCAGATAACGACCAGATCCCTAACCATTATCGGCCAGATCTGGACGAGATCTGGCCATTAGCGGCCAAATCTATTCCGGTCATAATAGATCTGGCCGCTAACGGCCACGTCCATGGCCGAATCTCGTCCAAATCTGGTCGATAACGGCCAGGGATCAAGCCGAAAATGGCCAGATCTATTCTGGCCATTTTCGGCCAGATCTGGCCTAATATGGTCATTTTCGGCCATCAATGATGACCGAAAACGGCCATACCGAAGCCTCCCAGAGTCCCCCACTGAGTCTCGTTCTTTTTTAGGGACTCCAGTGATTTTTCGGCGGCGGCCAATGGTGGTTGGCCACTGTCGGCGGTGGTGGCTGGGTGGCAGTGGTGGTCTGTAAATTATTTTAAATATAAGGGCATTATTGTCCAAAATTTTAATTAAACAGGGGTAAAATTGAAATAGGATATTAATGGAAATTTGTTTTAAAGTAGGGGTATTATTATCCAAAATTTTTATTAATAAGGGATAAAATTGTAACAAAAAAAGATAACTTTGGTAATCTCATAATACCTAAGAAAATGGTTAAGGCCTTAGGGGCGTTTGGTTGGGGGTTATATGGGAGGTAATGTCATCTTATATTATTTGATTACCACGTTTGGTTGTCAAATAATATAAGATACCGGTAATCTTTAAATACCAATAGTAGTTACTATTAGTAATATCGGAGGTAATCTAATTACCTCTATTTTCTTAGGTATTCTAAGATTACGAAGGCAATCTTTTTTTTTTTTTCTTTTCATTACAATTATATCCCTTATTAATAAAATTTTAGGACAATAATGCCCTTATTTTTTAATTTATTTACATGAATATAGTTTTTACTATTTCACCCCAATTAATTAACTTTTTGGACAAAATCACCATTGAATTCAAAACAAATTGCAGCTCACCCAAGTCACCACCCCTACCCACTTGATGCCGGAATGACACACGGAAGGCTGAAAATGGCCGTGATGCATTGATATGGCCGTTGACGGCCAGATCAATGGTACGTGGCCGTTAACAGCCATCGATCTAGCCGTCAACGGCTAGATCTGTCACTTATGGCCATTTTCGGCCAAAGATCTGGTCGGAAATGGCCATACGGCGCGCAGAGGCCATTTCCTACCTTCCATGCGCCATTAGGTTACCGGCTGTCCACGACCGGCAGCGGTTGGGTTGGTGGGGGTGTTTTGTTGATTTTTCAAACTTTTATTATGGGGTTGTTTTTGCTAAGTTTTTAAATGTATGGGGGTTATATAAGCCAAATAATAATCAATATTAAAAAATAATATAATAATAATATTTAATTAGAGGACAATTCCGGAATTTAGATAACATACCTATCAATTTATTTCTCCCAATCAAACATATTACTATAACATACCCACTAATTAACCGAACACATTTTCCTAAAGATTTACAGTAATCTTTAAAGTAATTCAACATTCCCTTAACCAAACGCTCCCTTAATTATATTTTCTAGATTTTAGATTTTTAGCTGTTTATGGTTTTCATGGCATCCATGAGCAAGGTTAATTCTGAAGAAGAGGAGGTGAATTGTTATTAAATCCTTAAATTCATTTTTTTTTTTTTTTTTATGAGAGGTGTTTGACCAGCTTGTGCACACTTCAACTAATCCCTCAGGAACTTGGAACCATTAGCCGGGTAAGAGTTCCAATGGTCATCCTTATTAGCAACCGAAATGAATTGAACTCAAGACCTCTTGAGTTATACACTCAAAAATTCTAGTTAATCACTCGACCACCCAATGAAAGTTAAATCCAATAAAACTCATTTTTCATGCAACACATTTGCGAATTGTACATGAAATTATTATTATTTCTGTTGTTATTATTAATTCTATAATGCTGCGGCTTGCAGGGCCGGCTTAAGAGGTAGGCAGGTGAGGCACCTATCTAGGGCCCCAAAAAAATGGGGGCCCAANGATCTTCTGTTTGATATAAGTTATAGAATTGAGAATTTAAGGAGAGTATCTACATTTTCTTAGTTCCTCTTCTAGGAAGGGAGTAGTAATGTAAAACTAGATGTTTCAAATTTCTCCGGAATCTATTGTGGACCAGCTGAGAAGTCAAGAACACTGTTTCTCTTCTCTCAAACATATCTCAGGTTAATATTAATCAATAAGTAATCCAAGATCTTGACTTCTGTTCCAGAATTATTATTTCGATGGCTTAGTTATAAGAAACACAAAATGAGAAACGAACTGAAAGAATCAAACTAAGGCACTCTTATTTTTGCAGCTATTATTAATATTAAAATTATATTTCCAACACATCATGACAAGAAGAGCATACAAATTAAGGAATCAATTAAACAAACTTACCTGCTGCAAATACCCAATAGAAAGAATTTTTCAGTTTCTACACATCATAACATCTTATCTTCCTCTGCATACAAGTCTAACAAAATTTTACGATACCTAGAATTATTTGGGTCCAAGGTCATGGGTCATTCAACCACGTACTCTGCTATCTCAATTGATCCGCGTGCTAATCTGCAACCAGAAATAAGTGTTCCCCAGATTCTTTTATCAGGTTTCACAGGCATTTTTTTGACAAATTCAAGGGCTTCTTCGACTTTCCCTTGATGACTGAGCAAATCCACCATGCAAGCATAGTGCGAAAGTTTCGGGGTAATGTCATATTTCTCCTTCATAGAGTGAAACCAGCTCCAACCTTCATATTCTAGTCCACAGTGACTACAAGCAGATAAAACAGAAATAAAAACAACGTCGTTGGGCATTACCCCTGAATCCAACATGTTTGAGAAAGTTTCAAGAGCCTCATCTCCATACCCATTCATTCCATACCCTTTAATCATTGAACTCCAGCAGATTAGATCTTTACTAGAAATGTCATCGAAAAGAGCCTTTCCTTGCTTCATCCTACCAAATTTGCAGTAAAAATTAATCAAGGCTGATGTCAAGTATGAGTTTGATGTGTAGCCTGCTTTAATTAATTGGGTATGTATACTCTCCCCGAGCTCTTGAGCTCCCACTGAAGAACATGCCAGCAGCAGACTAACAAAAGTGAACTCATTAGGTTTTTCATTCTTCAATTGCATCTGTTTAAATGTAGTTAAAGCATTATAAGGCTGCCCTCCTTGGGCATATACAGAGATCATTGCACTCCAGGCAATGAGATCTTTGTGAATCAACTGATCAAACAAATTCCTAGCCATACCCAACTCACCAAACTTAGCATACATATGGAGAAGCGTAGTCCCAAGGAAAGAAAAATTGAGAAATCCCTTTTTTAATAGGTAGCAGTGAAATGACAATCCAAATGTTGTCTCTTCCAATTGTAATAATGCCACAAGTATGTCCCCAATCATAGTTTCATCTGGTTCAAAACAACGAAATTGCATCAATGAAAAGAAACCCAACGCTTTTCTGGTGCAATCATTCTCAATACAACTGCGGATCATAATCCTCCATGAGATTAAATTCTTCTTCCAGTTACCATCGAAAACCCGAATGGAGGCCCCAAGATCCTTACACTTTGCATACATATCCACAAGAGAGTTTTGGACGTTGGTAAACGAAATAAACCCTTGCCTTATTGAAAATGCATGAATCTGCTTGCCAAGAGATAGACCATCAGAAATATAAACACAAGCAGGCAAAATGCTCATAACAGTAACATGATTTCGTTTGACACCGTAACACTGCATTTCCCTAAACAATTCAACGGCTTCAATGTACAGGGCATTTTTCACGCACGCTGCAACCATTGCACTACACAAAACAACATCTTTATTCGATATTTTTTCAAATAATTTCCAGGCAACTGCCATGTCATGATCACAATAAAAACCAAGAATAGCCGTTAAAACCACCACTTCTGATTGAAACCCCATTTTGATGACCAGCCCATGAACCATTTTTATCAATTCTAAACAATTCAATGCACCAAAGGCACCGGCTACATTCAATACCGTTACATAATTCGGCCTTTGATCACTCATAAAATTCGTTTTGAACAAACCAACAGCTTCCTCCGGCTTGTTTTTTCTTACCAAATTCGAAATTTTCGATGTACATGATATTACACTGTCCTCCTCTTGAGCGTAAAGATCGATTGGATTCGTGTATGAATATTTCTGGGGCAAAGTAACGTAACATAAAATACGTATGTCGTTTCCTGTAAAACTGTGTCGTTGGGTAATTCTATCGAACACTTTGTAAGCATTGCGGAGAATACAGCACATGTTTAACCGATACTTACTTGCTCAGCTGTGAAAAAGAGAGAGAACTCTTCTGCTCATGAGGGAGAGAGAGAGAGTGAGAAAATGCACGCAGTAATTCAAACGAGGTCCAAGGAGAGGCGTGTGATTGTGACGAAGAGAAGGAAAAATCTGTCTAGGGTAATACGAAGTCGTTTTACGGTGCTTGCATTTACGAGAAACAGTCCCGTCTGCAAGTGGTTTGTTTGTGCTTCTCTAGTGTATATCATTGTTGTCTACAGAAATAAAAAAATAACAGGAGTAATATATCCAAATTATATATCCCAATTTCTAGATTCCAAATCATATGTTTTATATAAATAATAAATAATTTGTGGGAGAACGACTTGCACATACCCAATGTTTGTCGTAACGATAAATTGGTACCTAAAAAGTTTTGAAACGACAAATAAGTACCTTCCGTCATGTTCTGTTAATAATTTCTGTTTATTAATAGTGAAAAGACTAAAATGCCCTTAAAAGTTTGAATTTTAGTTTTTTATAAATTTAAAAATATCTAAAAAACCCCTAGGTTTACAAATTTAACTAAATAACCCAATATATAAAATTTTTATAAAATAACAAAAACACCCCTGCCACCCGCACTGCTAGATTCCGGCCACCACCGCCGGAATCTGGCCGGAAAGTTGCATTACGACATAGACCCGTCGGATCTATGTCGTAACGCCTCGATCTGGCTTTTTTCGGCCAGATCCGTGGCTGATCTGGCCGAAAAAGGCTAGATCTACGGCTAGATCTGGCCGTCGACGCCGCAAAACTCCATATGTGGCGTCGAAGGCTAGATCTGGCCGTAGATCTGGCCAAAAAAGGCCAGATCTGGCTGCTGCTTCGACGGCCAGATCTGGCCTTTTCTGGCCAGATCTGTGGCAGATCTTGCCGGAAAAGGCAAGATCGGCACGTTACGACACAGATCCGACGGGTCTGTGTTGTAACGCAACTTTTCGGCCAGATTCCGGCGGTGGTGGCCGGAATCTGGCACTGTGGGTGACGGGGGTGTTTTTGTTATTTTACAAAAAATTTATATATTAGGGTATTTAGTTAAATTTGTAAACCTAGGGGGTTTTTTAGAAATTTTTAAATTTATAAAAAACTAAAATCCAAACTTTTAAGGGTATTTTAGTCTTTTCACTATTAATAAACAGAAATCACTAACAGAACATGACGGAAGGTATCTAATTATCGTTTCAAAACCTTTTGGGTATCAACTTGTCGTTATGGCAAACCTTAGGTATGCACAAGTCGTTCAGCCATAATTTGTAAATTAAAGCTCAAAAATTAATTAGCATCATATCACTCGAAAGTTGAAACACAAAAATTATAATACAAAATGACACAATAATAAAGGAAATGAGAATCGCGACTCAGCCGGAACATGGAAAATCATTGAATCAATATAGATTTTTATCTAAGAACAAGTTTAGTTATTTGAACTCTTGCTATATATATTCAACTGAGCATGTTTTCGCTAGTAGTATAATATATATATTGTTTATTGTAATTCTTGTTTGTTCCTTGTGGCTGCGTCGCCTTTAATGGTTTTGTGGGGATCAAAACGCATATATTCAGAGCTTTTGCTCATGTGGGCCGGTGACTGAATATAACAAGGATCCGTGAGTAAAAACTTTAATTATTGCTTATTAAGTGGAATTAATCATATTGTGGTTTCGTTACAAATTCAAACTAAGTGAAACTTGAGTAGTGGGAAATCTATGACTAGGTTAAAATCAAGAGTTAACCATTTTTTTCCACCCAAATAATGGTTTAATGACATTTTTTCACCCATGAACTTTTAAAAATACTTATTATTCAAATTATATTCCGATGACATAAAGAGCAAACCGATACAGGCGATTAAGGCTTTTGAAAAGAGGACACTGATAAGTCTTTTTGTGGTGGAAGTTGATTTTGAGGTTGATATTGATCGGAATTTGACTTGGAAGTGACAGTTGTACCAACTCTAATCGTTTGATCCGGGAGATTAGTCGGGTCAGTAAGAGTAGGGTTTGAAGGGTTTTGAAAGTGATGATCGAGGAGGGAATTGTGATGGTGTGGGGTCACAATGATGCTAGAATAAAATAGAATATTAATTAAGTAATAAGTGGTATTTTAAAGTTTATGGTGAAAAAATATCATTAAGCCATTATTTGAACGAAAAAAAGTCGTTTACTCTAAATTAATAACTTAAAAAGTAGAAACAGAGCCTGTAATGATTTTGATAGATTGTTTACAACTATAAAACAAGGTGGTGGTCGTGCTTATCAGCTTATGTCTGCCATTTGATGGCCAATTATGAGTTTTTCGCTCATTACGAGGTAAGTGGGTTTCAATTAATGGTACATTTGAGAAATAATCAAGTTTCTTTAATCCAAGGTATTTGATAACGCACACACTGTTTGCCAACTATGATTTCACAATAGTGAACTGGGACTGTGGATTTCAGAATTTCTGTTTTATAAAACTAAATGGTGTTCGTAAGTCAAATGGGCATCAGATTTGATTGTCTTAGTTTTTATACGCTAGGGTTCACGAAGCAATTGAGTCCAGTGGGAAGTGCAGGCACTGAAAATTTTACCACTGTAAATTGGAGCTAATCTGATGTATTTCCATTAGTAAATGGTATCCATTATATTCATTTATTCTGGAATTTCTCATGAGTTATGCTACAGATAAGAAGATTCTAGTTGTTTCTATATAATGAAAAATATGAATCAAGAGATTCAGAGGTTTACATGCTTAGTCTCCAGAATATGGGCTGGGCAAACTTTCTCCGTAAGAATCCAAGCTCTGAAATCAATGCACACAGAATATGATAAATTCATGTGGAGAGGACACCATCTTGCCATACACCAGGTTGTCATTGCTCCATTTGACTGCAAAATAAACTATTCAAACTTCATTTCGTTGACTTGTCACATATAAAGCCAAATTCCATCTTTTTCGTTGAGTAGATGTATCTCAAGCTCTTTAGGTCGACTTATAACTAACTAGTTGCCAGTTTTCTATGTTGCTGTAATGAATATATCTATTGAAAGCAGCAACTAGTATAAGATTATAGGGCTAATATTGCCTATTTGCAGGAATAATACAGAATTAGTTGATTTAACTAGTCTTTTTAAAAACATAAGGAACAAATTAACCTCTTTGATTAGTGCATGTGAATATGATATGTCATATGTGTATGCTTTTGTGTGGTTATAAGCTATAAGCCTATAACCAAACATCGTTTAATTGCCCAAGAACTAGGTTGACAAACCAAACCTTTTCTCTTCATATGTCTGAATCTCAAACTGTGGGATCTTCCAATTTAGACATTCCCAGCCCTTGGACTCATCCTCTGTCCTCATTCTGAGCCTGCAAAACATGGGGTTTTTTCCTCATCAGCAATCATGGAATTTCCAAGGATGTTTAACGAGAATTAGTATGCTTTCAAAAACTCTTCGGCCTCCCTTCGATACAAGCTTGAACTTGGTCCTTTTATTCCACGAAAACTTATACTCCTCATTTCATAGCTTCTCCTTTCTCGAGAGTCTCCGAGTTGCTGGACCAAACTTCTTTGCATCTGCTCAGAGTTCTGCAAAATACTTTTGACCAACAGAGTTTGAATTTAGGTATCTTTTTATTATTATTATTTCTGAAACTTATACCTCCCATTTCAGAGTGTATCTTTCTTCTTTTTGTACTTTTTAACTTGTCTCTTTTCTGTTTTTTACTCCTGACAGTGAGATATTGCAAGAATATGCAGCAAGATGACAGAATATCAAAGAAAATTATAGAGGTATTGCTAATGTGCTGGGGGATGTTTCGAGAAGAAATACTATGAATCAGAATTCAAGAATTGTCATGGATATTTGAGGATTATTAACTACACTCCGCCACAAAGTTTGGAGAATGAAGTAGAGGGGCTAGGAATGCACACAGACTGAGCTGTGTAACTATCGTGTACCAAGATGAAATTGGTGGGCTTCAAGTGAGATCAAAAGAGGGAAAGTGGTGGACATTAGCCCATTTGAAGGAACCTGGTGGTGAACATTGGAGATATGTTGCAAGCTTGGAGCAACGAAAAATTAGATCATCAGAACATCGAGTTATTTTAAAGCACCAGCTAATCGTTTATCTCTAGCTTTCTTTGGTGCTTTGAAGATGAAAAGGTGATTTTGGCACCAGATGAAGTGGTAGGGAAGGCAATATGAAACTTTACAAGCATTTGTGTGCTTGGATTATCTGAAATTCGAGAAACCAATGTAAAAGGGAGTTTGAAAAGGTCGGATTCACAGTCAAGACTTTTGCTGGGATCGGACTCCAAATTTGAATGAAGTCAATATTTTCTTAACCTTCCATTTGTTGTTCATGTTAGGGACTAAAAATTGTGTTCCAGTGTGTTGAGCGTAGATGAGAGAAGGGATTCCATTGGGTTTGGGGAGCTCTGACCTGTTGGTAGTAATAGGGCAAAGGCTGGACGGTTGGGAGTTAACTTCCAAACTTCCAACTTATGTATTATATTCTCTATTTATCTACTTATGATTGTATTGTCTGGAAATATATAATAGACCCTACTTTTTGTTATGCTTATTCTTTTTTTTTTTTTTTTTTGGTTGACGGGAGTATCGTTTATCTGGGTTAACTGTGCACATCTCAACTAATTCTCTGAACCTTAAGTTGACAGTTGAGTAATTTCCTTATTTACATCTATTAGCAATACAGGAGATCAAACTCAAACTTCTTAAATAATATACTCAAGAATCCTAATGACTGCTAGATCACCCTGCGGCGGTTTGGCTTGCTATTCCTTGCTTTAGATTTTGATTTTTAATATCCATTAAAACAGAACAGAAGGCAACGCAAAGCGAGATGGTTATGAATGACCCAGTGTAAAGAGAAATCTTCCTTGCTTTCACGACACCAGGGGTTTCCGTTGACTTCTGCTGCAACGAAAATTGAGTTAGGCTAGGAGGTGATATTGCCTGCCTTTATTCAATCTTTTCCTCGTTCTTGAGCCGTTTAATAATTGATTGCATGAAGTGGCACTTGACAACTTGCAATTTTGGCAGACCCATTAGAGATAGAATATTCTCAATTTAATTTCAGCTCACATGTAGACAGTAGTAATACAAATTAAAGAATCACAATGATGTGCTCATGAAGCCACAAATCAGAATTCCATCAATCAATCAATTATATGGATCAATAAGATACGGAAATTGCATCATAAATTAAAGCATTTTATTCAACTGAAGTGAGATACAGCATGAGCAAATAGTAGATAGATTACATTGAAGGGTTTGTTCTACATCAATGGGGCAAGTCATAAGTCAGATCATTAGATGAGGCCGACGAGTTGATGCAGAAACATGTCAGGAGGAAGTGGATCCAGTTTCTCACATTACAACTACACGTTACATAGAAGAAACTAAATCTACAGAATTGAAAATCCTACTAGTGTAGGTCGATTACTAGTTTGATCCGACTTCCTAACACTTGCCAGCAACCTTCCATAGAGCTTGTTTAATCATTGCTGCTGGTGAGACGGCTGCTCCTTGAAACTGAAACCAATTCAAATGAGTTAAACATGTGCATTTGTTTGTGCAGGGGAGAATTCAGAATGCAGCTAAAATGTTGTACTGAAGGCCAGATTAAAGTAAGTCCAAATATACTAAGTTATGCAGAGAAGATGAAGAAAAAGGGTGGGGAGAGGGAGGGGAATCTGCTAAGAGTGACCTTAACACAAACCTTAGATTTAAGGGCCAGGGTGAGAATGCCATCAAGATTTGACGATATAACTGAGTAGGCATCCAAGTGCAGATTGTTTATAGCATCCATGATATCTAGTAATATAAATTCTCTATATGGACATCTCATCTCAATCAGAACCTCTTTCTCTTTAATACTGATTTTCACATCGAATGGTGGGCCATCTTTGAGAACAACTTTATTGGTTTCTGGGTCAGTTTCATCAATGTCACTGGCCTTCCTCTTGTTTATCCAAGGCTTCCTTCCCTGATCAATTTTTTGGTTGTCATAGTTATCAGATATCTGTTCTACCATATCCAGGTGATTTCTTTTAGGCCTTGCCTCAAAATCAACAGAGTCCATGCAGGATTCCAACTCTTCTACTCTTGCCTCAAGCTTTTTCAAGTATTTAATAGTGTCATTGAGAATTGATGCTTTGTCAACCTGCATAAAAACGATCAACTTAACTGATAAGAAAATCAGAAGACAGCCAAGCATTTGATTTCCCAACAATGATTTATGAAAAAAAAAAAAAAAAAACAATGAAGAAAGGGGAAAGTCATTTCGAAAATTTGCAGTCATTGTGAAGGCATTACTAACTAAATTAGAGTGTCAATAAGCTGCATGGTTCAGAAATTAGATATTGTTGATAACTTTCGTAAACTTCCCAAAGTATTTTGTCACAGTGACAGAAACCTAGAGAAAAGATTATCAGAAAAAAGAAATGACAACATAATTTGAACAGATTATAGCAGAATCACCTCACAAATAGATGGAACCATTGACCTTAGGACCATAAATGTTTCATTCTCTCTTCTCTGATCTGATGAAACATGTCCAGCGCAAAAATCATCCCTTCCCATTGTTGTAAGGCAATTTTTTCCGCAGATTTCCTTCTGCGACTTATGAGGGCAACTGCCATACATCAAAGGGACCGTAAATAAAATCTTTTTTAATATGTTCAGCTGTACTCGTAGCCTATGACCATCAGTTATTCCTCCTTTCTTCCAACTCATAAAGCTGGATTTGTTACCACAACTAAGAAAACACAGGTTTTCAGTCAAACGATTTGAGCTTGCCAAAATAGCAGAAAGAGTTCTTTTGTATTGTGAGTCATCATCTGCTCCAAGATCTAAGGAACTTAGTTTAGTATGATTGCCTTCTTGAAGTTCTTTCAATTGAATTTTTCCAACATTTTCGCGCTTTGGAGAAGAAGTAGCCCTTGTTTGGTGCACAAAAGCTTCAGATATACAGTCACTTGAGTTCATGGAATCTGGTAGGCCATTGCTGAAGTCATCATCCATGAAATGCCAACTTTGAACTTGAGAAGCCCCACCATTAATACCTTCAAGCATGAAAGAGTCTTCAGTCTGGTGATTATGCTCACAGCCCTTCGAACATTCATCAGGAGAATCCATGTGGAGTTCTTCATTGATATTTCCCTGTAAGTCATCAACTCCGTCACCATCAAATTTGATTTCTTCTCTGGGAGAATATAGGCTCTCCAATGCCAATGTATCTACTATCTCATGGCTGACCTTGGCGCAAATTGGGTCATTATCATCATCTGCATTATGAGGAGGAGAGGAAGATTTCTCTGAGCAAACAGGCTTCGAGAAGTCCAATAAGGAAGCTTTGACATGTTGAAGGAGACTTGGATCCTCCGGGATCTTCAAATAACCCAGAAAATAAAAAGAAAGACTAATTACTTAATGGGTAAATAAGCTACAGAGCTCATATAATCAAAAAAACAGAATCTTGGGGATCTGACTTCAGAAAAGAAACTACCAATTCAGTGACACCAAGCTCAATCACACCATCAAGATGAGGAAAACATACAACCGTCTGCAACAATAAAACAAAGGAAAATGTCAACATTGAAGTTCACAAAATGAATGAGATTGGTAAAATGGGTTCAACTTTTAAGTTGCAAGCAGACAGTGTTGTGATCATCAGTTATAATAATCTCCTTCACTTTTAAATATTTAGTTTTCTTTTTGGTGTTCAAGGAGAGTTCCTCATACCTGAATAGATGCACTCTAAGAGAAATGGTCAACAACCAGATGCAGAAAGAAGATAACAAGGAAACACAAAAAGTCAGTTTGTTTCTCTGGTTGTAATACATGATTATATACAGAACACATGATATCATTTAAACTGAATTTAACTAGAATAAGGAATATCTACCTTGGCCAATAAAGAACGTGAGAATACTTTACTATCAGCATATTGAGCATTACATAGCCATATGGTTTCACCATTTGCAAGTGCTCTTCCTGGCAAACTATGAAACAATGTTGAAGTATCATGCTACTACAGTTAGACCAGTGGTAATAATACAAGATTATGAGGGGAAACATCATTAGCCAGTTAGAGAAAAAATTAAGATTTGAACAATAGAACAGAGATAGTACCCTTGGCCAGTATGGAATACAAAGGACATGCAAACCAAGTAATACCACTCTGCATCTGTGAGATCCTCCGGAGACAATGCAGCAGAAGGCCTCTTATTAGCCTGCTCACTTTCTCCTTCCAGAAGAGACTCATAAAGCTCTCTTAGTTGCTCGCTCCTTTGTAAACCTATTTTATCAGCTTTAATTTCCATGGCTTGGACAGTCTTCATAGTCTTGATGTCTCCGTTGTAGTATCCATCAAACCACACCAGCACCCTAAAGAATGTTGACCAGACCACATTTTATCTAGGTAAGTACAAAGAATATGAATGAAAAGTATGTAAACTATACTCATTATATGTCATTTATTAATAACTAATCAAAAGAGGAAATACTTTCAGCGGCCATTTTCACATCAAATCAGCAAAACCTCACTATCCACTTTCCCATTTTCTACAAATATCCATGTAAAAAAGGGACTAAGCATTAAGCTTGTGTATTGTAACATTTCTTTACTGCCAAATGGTAAACAACCCACCGACTTCATACCACTAACTTTCAGGTGGTCCATTTATAGCTGCCAAGAAATCAAAATCTGAGCTCTTAAATTGCATTCCAAAATGACATACAGATATTAAACATCAACTTCTCAGGAAATTTAAGAAACGAGTAAACCAACCCAGATGCCAGTTTCATCAATTTTTACCATAAGGCAACGTCATTGCATTTTCTGCGGCAGAAAAGCCATAATTTACCAAGAAAAATCTGAGTTAGACCAGAAAGTAAAGTTATCATTTTGGATAGAGAGATGATATCCACAAATTCAAGACACTCCAAAAACTACACAAACCCAGATATACAAGTCAAGAGAAAGACACCCAAAAAGGGAATTTGACAGAAGAATGGAAATAACTTTGTGAAAAAAAAAAAAAAAAACCGTGGAGGTAACATACCCTTGTTGTGTAGTTGATAATGACCAGAAAATTGCATAGCTCCACTGGATACTTCTAACAGCCACTGCAAGCTGTTTTCTTAAGTTTTGCAACAACCCATCATGGTTTTGGGTGGCATTAGCAGCCATTTCACAAACACAAGTACCACCTCAATTCAGGTTATAGTAAAGCAAGAAAACTCATCAACTGTTCAACACTTTCAGTAGAGTGAAAAAGAAACAAAAGAAAAAAAAAAAAAAAAAAAAACCAAGTGTAGGGAACTTGTGTCAACAAATCCTGATTCTATGACTAATCACACATAGCTCATACCAACTTTGGTGAAGCCTTCAAGTACACATAGCATTGAGCCAAAAAGCCAGAGGAAAATTGGACTTTCTATGATCTTACTCTTTAATTAAAACTGTGGGACACGATATTATTTAATGAAGAATATCCAGGATAAAAAACAATTGTATTTATTTATTTATGTAAAAAAGTACAGGCCAATTTTATTTATGGTAAAACTTTAATTATCTTTCAATCTTTTTCGTACTTTTTTAAAAAGAAAAAACAATTTAAAAATATACTTCATCAACCTATATTTTAATTTGCCCATTCAAAAATATAAATATCATGCTGAAACCAAGAAAAAGTTGGTAACAATAACATTGAAGAAACAGTAAAGAAAAGTGGACCCTATACTATTGACAGCTTGACTCTAATAACGTTTTCTTATTGGGCCCCCATTAAAGCCCATAAATTATAAAATCTTTATTCAGATTTCAGAGAGCAGAGAGCAGTAGCCAGTAAAAAGTCATGACGTTTGTCTTCTTCGATATAAATTCTTGTTTTTCTCTCTTTACTAACTTTAATTACCACATGTTTTAACCCAACTCTCTCTATGGATTCCGAAATTTCTTCATCTTCTCAACCAATGAAAACTTCTACATACAACTCTAGAGAAGATTCCGTTGAAATTTGCAGTTATCAGAGGTAGTGATACGGTGAATGAGTGAGTTATGATGAAGCCTGAAACGGTAGGTGAAGACTGACTGAAAAAGATGAAATTTGTGAAGTGTTTAATAGAGGAATGACATTATTGGGCGGCAGAACAGAAGAGACGATGAAACCTGTCAGTGCTTCGCTTTAACCTTGTCTTTTTACATCTCTTTTGAACAAAACAATTTAATATTCGCTTCTATCATTTTCAGTCACACTGTCATTACTGTCAACAATTGAAGTTACTACGTAAATTTACATTTCCTCAGCCCTGGATTACTACAAAATTTTCCTTCAATTATTGTGGCGTATGGATGCCCAACCTACAGGAGGTAAAGAGAATCAGAAAAATAAAAAAAGAAAGAAGAAGGAAGCACTTTGGATTATAGCTTTTGACCAATTACATAATCGAGGCAAGCAAGTATTTTGGCTTTTTGGGTGAACTGTGTTCGTCTTTATGCAAAAGCTTTTGTTTTGTTTGTCGTAGTTATTCGCTCAGAGGACAGAAGCTAAAAACCATGAGAAATGTTAAAAAAGAATTTTAAATCTTCAAACAATATCACGTGTTAGGTTGGGAATAATTGGTCTCAACAGTTGACATTTAAAATTATCGTGCCGCACAGTTAACATTAAAATATAGAGGATTCTCTTATTATTATTTTTATGTTAAATTTCCAAGTTCAATAAATTCCTTTGTGAGTACAGAGTCGGTGAATTATTCGATTAACATAAAAAAATGATTTTTATTGTTGGTACCTGAATTAATCCTGCGATTCAGTGCAGCATTAATTATAGTGATATTTATTTGGATGAGACAACAATATTAAATGTTGATAGTCGTCATTTCACCGTCATGGGTCATCATCTACCTCCATTTGCGGGAACCTTTTGGCCGTGACACAATCTTCAAAAATATCCACGTGCTTCGCGACAGATCTGGGACCCATACCTATATGGGCTTCTTAAGAACTAGAGGATGACTTGGGCCTCGCCGAATCACTAATGGATGGATCTGCCTCCACAATCTGCAGAACTTGGGCCTCTTCAAGGGCCCAATAATGNTTGTTGGTACCTGAATTAATCCTGCGATTCAGTGCAGCATTAATTATAGTGATATTTATTTGGATGAGACAACAATATTAAATGTTGATAGTCGTCATTTCACCGTCATGGGTCATCATCTACCTCCATTTGCGGGAACCTTTTGGCCGTGACACAATCTTCAAAAATATCCACGTGCTTCGCGACAGATCTGGGACCCATACCTATATGGGCTTCTTAAGAACTAGAGGATGACTTGGGCCTCGCCGAATCACTAATGGATGGATCTGCCTCCACAATCTGCAGAACTTGGGCCTCTTCAAGGGCCCAATAATGTAGATGGTGACTAATCTTTACCAATAACAACTCAAATGGCCCATATTGAATGTACAATCAAGTTTAAATATCATCCTCCGCATTACCAGTTACGTGTACAGGTCATATGAGTCGCGTCAGATCCAAGATGACCATACCCGCGCAAAAATTTTAGAATTACCCATCATCTTGGATCTGACGCAAGTACCTCACGAGTAACGGTTTCTTTAGGCGCCATTTTCTCTTACCGTATCTCCCCCGTTCTCTCTCCGAATCACTTTTCTACTTACTTCTGCTTTGAGTTGGCTAGAAAAGTAACATTCAAACTCACTTTTTGCGCTTCAATGTCCACTCACCTGATCTTTTACTCTGCTTTTCTATCGAAACAAATAGAGCGCTAGTGTTACAATTTCCAAATGGATATTTCATCAATTCATCTCAATCAAAGCTTAAGCTCTTATGCTCCATGTTTTGCGAGAAATGCTTCGTCGTTTTCACATAAGCAGTCGCTTTTGACTTCCTGTCGGGTGTCTTTCGGGTTACGGGGTCCCAATGACTGCAATTGGTGTCGTTTCAAGTCTTCCTGTCGGAGTTTGGTTATGGCGAGAGAGAAAGGAGAAAAAACCGAAGAGCACCCTCTAATTGATGATTCTGTGGATGCCGAAGATGAAAATAAGGTAATATTACTTTGGCACTTTGTTCTTTTTCCTATTGAAAATTTATTTGGTGAATTAGCTGTTCTTTTGGCAGATTTGAAATTGAAATTGAAATTATATTGCTCCTTTGTATATTCTATCATTCCACACCCCAACACCACAACCCCCCCAACAAATATTAGAAACGAGTAAAGGTGTGAAGGTTTACAATAATTTCAAGGATGGTGAAAACCTTTACATTTGACAGAAAATAGAAATGGGGTAATGAGATTAGTAAAAGATAAAGCGTTTAATGTAGAAAATATTATATTTGAATATTTTCTCTCTGCTAGATAGTCTTTCAACTTGATTCTGATGCCATTTTAATTTATTACGTTTTCTTTTCATAGGTTGTACGCCGACCATTGAAACTGCCAGAGCGTGATTTTAATGGGACACCTTATGTTCCTGTCTATGTTATGCTACCGGTGAGTGAGTGTTTTTTTTTTTTCTGCTTAAATTCTGTCACTATATGTGTGGTTGTATTGTATTTTATAGATTTATGTGCCTTGTTGGGATTGTGTTGAGAGTTGTGTTTTGCTCGACCTATTAGCTATTAGCTAGACGTGACTTAAGTTGTGGGGAATGACAGCTAGGCGTGATCGATATGAACTGTGAGCTGGTTGATCCAGATAGTCTGGTGGAACAGTTACGGATCTTGAAATCTGTTAATGTTGATGGCGTTATGGTTGATTGCTGGTGGGGAATAGTCGAAGCACATACTCCTCAGGTATACAATTGGAGTGGATACAAGAAGCTTTTTCAGATCGTGCATGAACTTGAGCTCAAACTACAGGTACACTGTTTCTCTTTTAATTTACCTTTTGATTGTTGTTGATGGATACTTGAATTATTTACACACTGTTTTTTCCTCACACATAAGCTAACTGGTATTTTTAAAATTACATCAATGATATAAAACTGATTGTGCATGTCATAAGGAGCTTACTAATCAGCTAATCCTGTGAAACTAAGGAGTCAAATTCAGACTATACTTTTTCTTCTCAGAGCAATTAAATTTGCTTAGCGGCATTAATAAAAAAGACCATCAACAGGAATTTTCATTAGTACTTGGTATATTTGGAAAAGACCTGGGAGAGCAATCTGTAAATATGCTTTCAAAATTAAGGGGGTTAGGTAGTGGAGAGCAAAGAATGTTGGGACACTGTTGGCATATAGAATCCTTGTCATTAGAATTAGAATGAGAAGCTTAAGTTTTACCCCCTTTTTTTTAAATTATTATCAAGCTGAGTGAAAGGAAACTTTTGAATTGCTCAGGAATTATATCAAGAATATAACCCTGATAGAGTATACTGTCTTAATGCCTTAATCGACCTTGTAGACAACTATGTACTGTCAATGTCATGGCTTAGTTGAGTTACATGAGGAATGATTGTCAGCCTAATTTCCTTATACACTTGCGAATTTGAAACTTTTCTACGGAAGGGTAAATTGAGTTTCTTGAGTTGAGTGGATTCATAGGAGTTTTATTTGTAATTAGAAATGTTTGTTACGTGTTTGGTGGAACATTAAAAAGCTAGATATCTACTTAAAGTCATCATTGACAAGGAAATCAGTCAATTTTATTAACAAATTTAAAATGTACTCAGGTTGTTATGTCATTTCATGAATGTGGAGGAAATATCGGTGATGATGTACATATTCCACTCCCGCAGTGGGTTATGGAAATTGGTCAAAGTAATCCTGACATATATTTCACAGATAGAGAAGGAAGACGCAACTTTGAATGCCTAACATGGGGAGTTGACAAAGAACGGGTTTTAAGAGGTCGAACTGCTATTGAGGTACTACATAGGAGTAAGATTGTTTGGCAAAGTTAGATTTCTATGTTTATATCATTTTTGTTCAGGAAACTTATAAATGAATTTTATTTTTATTGTCATGTTTCATTTTTTTTTTTTTTTTTTTTTCCTCTCTTAAGCAATATGCTACATATCTAAAGTGTTTACTTTGCTATGTAGCGCTACCACCAGCTAAAACTGCTAGGATATTTTATTTATATTGAAACATAAACATTGCAAATCTATTGCTACAAATATGAATAATATCATTCTTGTAAAAAACTCTTATCTAGTGTTAGACCTCCCATACATAAGGTCTATAAATCCAAGGGCAAAAGTAGGAATAAGAATAAAGAGGTGCTGGGTATGAGTTTGTTTTCAGGGGTTGAGGTGTACAATAAAAGTTGTTAGGATGTTGGAGTCTGTTATGAGTCTGGACAGGTGGCTGGACAGGTGGCTGTCAAGTCTGTTACAGAAGGGAATAACTTGCTTATAAATGGGAAAGAGAGTGGAGGGTAGGAGGGAGTTTATATTCTGGAAATTGGGTGGGAGGTCCCCAGCTCCTCGAACTGCTGGGATTTATCAGTTTGCTAATTGCATTTGTTCTGTTCTTCCATTTAGTAGCTATTAATACAATCTGTTATTCCTTTTATCTTTGCCTATTGCCTTGTGTGTGTGTGTGTTGGTTGCTGTGAGTTTCTCTGTTACAGGAGGGTTCCAACATCTAGCAACAACTATATTCTTTAAAAGAAGTACATGTTTTACTCTAAATGATTTCAGCTCTGGCTATATTTCCAAGTTTATGTTACATAGAGTTGAGCTTCAACTTTTTCTGCTTAATTATTTATTTATCGTCCTTCATGGTGACTATGCCATTGTTTAATGCATAATGAGATCTCTGAATCTAGTGATTTGTAACTTTTGTTTGGTGACATAGGTTTACTTCGATTACATGAGAAGTTTTCGGGTAGAATGTGATGTGTTCTTTAAGGATGGAGTAATCTCTGAGATTGAAGTTGGACTTGGTCCATGTGGGGAGCTAAGGTATCCTTCTTATCCTGCAAAGCATGGCTGGAGATACCCTGGTATTGGTGAATTCCAGGTACAATTTTGAATAATTGGTGATCAGAAATTTTTCCTCACCAAGAAGAGCCTATATAAGAGTTATGGCACTATGATCACCTTTCCAAATGATTATTTGATAACCTTTAATCTTCCACCGCCATGATTGAATCCGTATTTTCTCATACTATTATATATTTTTCATATGTTCAATTCTTTAACACACTGATACAAACTGTTTTAGTTCAGTGTTATGATAAGTACTTGATGAAGAGTCTGAGCAACGCAGCAGAAGCAAGGGGGCACTCATTTTGGGCTAGAGGTCCAGATAATGCAGGTTCTTACAATTCTTCACCTCATGAGACTGGGTTTTTTCGAGATGGAGGTGACTATGATAGCTACTATGGTAGGTTCTTCCTTAATTGGTATTCTCAAGTTTTAGTCGATCACGGTGATCGTGTACTTGCTCTAGCCAATTTGGCTTTTGAAGGAACTAACATTGCTGCCAAGGTGAGTCACCTTCTCAGAGTGCTTTTTTTTTTTTTTTTTTTTTTTTTAATTTTTAAAGAAGGGACAGTTTTATTTTGTCAAAAAATATCATTTAAAATATTATTTCCTTGTCAAGTTTACTATAAGATTCTTTGCTCTGTTTTGATTGATGAACAGCTATCTGGGATTCATTGGTGGTACAAAACAGCTAGTCACGCTGCTGAATTGACTGCTGGCTTCTACAACCCATCAAATCGTGATGGCTATGCTTCAATCGCAGCAATGTTGAAGAAGTATGGGGTTGCACTAAACTTCACATGTGTTGAATTGCGTACACTGGACCAGCATGAGGACTTTCCAGAGGCGCTGGCAGACCCTGAAGGATTGGTATGGCAGGTAAGTGCAGACATTTCTATTATGATGGTGTTGTAACTGGGTATAGAACTTTTTAACCCTGTCAAGAAGAGGTCTCCTATAATGAAAAGAAGATGCATCTTTTTAGTCAAATTTGGAGAATGGTGGTTAATTTGGGCAATTTTTTTACCAAAATTCTAAGTGGTTTGTGATCTACATCCAAAAACTTTTCGGGTTGGGATCTGTCTAGTAATTATTATTAGAGTTTGATTAGTTTGGGGCTGGATTTCCTATAAGATTGCATGTAATTTGATATCTTCTTTTTTATTTCCAGGTGCTGAATGCTGCATGGGATGTTTCCATATTAGTTGCTAGTGAGAATGCTCTCCCTTGTTATGATAGAGAAGGCTATAACAAGATACTAGAAAATGCTAAGCCCCGAAATGATCCAGATGGGAGACATTTATCTGCTTTTACCTACCTCAGGCTAAGCTCACTTCTAATGGAAAGACACAACTTCTTAGAGTTTGAACGATTTGTCAAGAGGATGCACGGTGAGTTGACTCTCTCCTTTAATTTATTTATTTTCCATGCTTTCATTATGTTTCAGTTTGGCCAAGTGTAAATTTCCTTGGTGCCACTTATGTTAAATTCTATTGTAACTGATGGGACAATAAAAATTTATCTATACTGAACTGTTTAAGATACATGTTACAATGGAACTTGCTTGCCCCTACATGAAACGTTCATGTTGTTGATTAATATGCAACCATGGATTTTGAAGTGTTGAGACTCGAGACTTAAACCTAAAAAGGCATGTTATCAGTCATGCTTTATAAGCCGTAGACTTAAAAACTTTTTCCTCCTCCAATTGCAGGGCAATCGGCTCCTGATCTCCAAGTTTTTCCAAATGAAAAGCACCCAAAATTCAAGGAGATAGATGGCCAAGTTGCTGCCGAGTGATGGCCTTGTTACACTGCTGAGCTTGAAAGTCAACTACCTTTTGTTGTATATCAGTCAAAACTTCTAATTATTCACTATTTGGGTGAGTTGGGTCAATTGCACAACGTTAATGGCTCTGGTTGGTTCTATTCGAGTATACTCCATGGATCGTAGATCTGGAATGCGTATGTTATAAAGACCACTTTCAGTGAGAAAAAAGGCTGCAGTTTCTATGGTTTCATGTACAACCAATGTTATGAGGTTTGACTCGCTTAATTCAACTTTTGGTATGACTCTTTGATTATACACGATAAATGATCAAGTGGGAGAGCAAAAGAAATGGGCCATAAAGTTCGAAAACATAAATCAAGCTTACCCATATCATGGCCTGTTGATTTCTAATCCATGGGATGTTACAACATTGGACATGAGAATCCTTTTGAAATATACAGTCGATGATGAAATGAATCTTCATGTTCCTCTTCAGACATTAGGCTTTACAATCATGAAACCCAAAAAATGTGCTTCATAGTTCATATGAATCAAAGAATGCTTTCTCCAGGCTATTTACAATATCAACTTTGTGAGTCTATGAGACTGGTTTCTTGAAAACCATTTGCCCGGACTCATCAACATCAAAGAGACGCCCTACAAATTCATCCCAACTTTCCTTCCTTTTCTCAGAGGACAAGAATGAAGTTTGCTCACTTGATCTGCCAGAAGTCTCCCCTTCATGGAATGTTCCATACTGAGAAGGAGGGTAAGCCAGAGGGATATCCAAGGCAACAGCTCTTTGAAGAGCTGCCTTGTACTCCACAGTGTGTTCTCGAGCAAGGGACTCCTGCCGTTCCATCCTTTCCTTTGATGGAATCTCCATAATCTGATCTTTCTCCAGCATCAACTATATGGTAAAGAAAAAAGATATAGTATCACAAAACCTAAGTAAGGAACTGGGAGTCTAAAAGCTAGTAGCAGCAAGTGGTAAACCACGCAGATATTTTCTAATCTCTCAGTCAGCTAGACTCAGCAGATAATATATGATGGATGTGCCACCATATCAAGCTCTTTAATAAAGCCTCAAAGAAACTGGTTTATTGTTCCGAGCATCAAAATAAGTATTTAAAAGAATGCTTTTCATTGAGTACTTACATCAAGTGCCCTTTGGGATTCTCTCTCTATCCAAATAATAGCATGGTCAGACATTGCATTGCTAGAAAGAACCATGTGCTCAAACCTCCCATCCACTGGGACTGCAGTCCTCACAACTGCGGGAAATCTTCCGATCCTAAAACAGGGGTAACAGAACAAATGTACATTAAGCACTAACAGTAGTGTCTAGTTTAAATCATCCCACCTAAAAGATGAATTTATAACAAGATGTAATTAGACTGAAGAATTTTAATCTCATAGTTGATTAAAGGTCTAGGAAAATAATCACACTCAAGTTACGTCTTATAATACCTGAAGGGTTTTCGCTCCACAATGTGGTATAGCCGGCCAGGAGCATATAGCCTTCTTGGATCTTTAAGCCTCTTCTCCTCTAGAGTGCATGTATCCTTCAGACACATAATACAAAGTAAGCATGGCAAACTGCACAAAATGAAGGAAACATGGCTGAATTAGTAGCTTATATGGACAGCAATGGTGCCTAAATCATAAAAACTATTGTTGTACAACATTTCCAAAATGTCTTTAGCCTTTAGCCATTATTAACATCACATATCATAGAGTTTATCAACACAAATAAACTAGACTCAAAAGGTATCTAAGACATACTATCTTTTACCAGAAAAGTGATTTGTAAACATCTTCCAAAGCAGTAGTCGTTCGAGGTAAGAAATCATCCTGATTCATTCCAATAATTTATATCAGAACATAAGCCATAAGCATCTATACATTAGTAGACTCAAAAAATATAATCATAGTGGACATCATATAGCCTGGAGAACATACAAGTACCTGGAGCACAACAGAATTGATAATATCTGCATATCTCACAGCCAAATTCAGTGACATGCATCTGGCAGGAGCAATCGCGAAGCATCTGATCCTCTTCCTTTCAATGTTCCCCAACTTGTTCAGATTCTGTACTGCAACCAAAACCAACAATGCCACCACCCCTGCCCCTAGTGAATGCCCAGTAAATGTCAATGTATAATCTGGATTATTCTCAACCAAATCCCTCAATACTTCACATTCTGCATCAAAAAGCCACTCGGCAGCCTTCAATAGCCCATTATGAACATATCCACCATCAAACTTTGTCTGCCCAAGTTTGTTATCAAGCAAAACAGCATAATCACCTTCCTTTGCCAAGTTAAGTCCTCTAACAGCGAAAATTATGTCTTTATTCTCATGATCAAGGTAAATCATATAAGGAGGTACACGGCATTGTGTTTCTTCATAGTCTTTCCGTAGGACAAGCCAATCAGGATTGATTCCATAACCTCCAGGGGGTGCCCAAATTGGGTTTCGAATATCATCTTCATACACTGCTAGGATTATGCGACAAAGGTGTGGAACCGGCATGAATTCTTCAACATCAGCAAGGCCCCAGTTTTCACTTTCATGGCCTGCAGTGTAGAGGCATTTCTTCCAAACCCATCGGGCACATGCAAGACAGTATACACATTCAAGAAGGGGAAAACCACAGACGATTGACATGAATGCCTATGAATCAAGTATTTTGACATAGATTAAGCAATATGGCTCAATGTTGTAATGATGGGAGAAGAAATATCCAACATAAACTAGAAGTTGGGTAAAAATTCAACCAAGCATAAAATAGATGCTCACATGGAAGGGACCTGCTATTAGAAAGAACAAAAAAAGAAAGAAGAGAGATTTTGAGGGCTACATACAGTGATCAAGTTAAATAGATCCAAATGAACCTGAAGTATAGTATCGGCTAAAAACCAACATCACAACATAATTTGGAATGGGTTACTCACGCCACAACGAACTTGAGCTTGGAGCCGGCATCAAAAACCAAAATTCAGCACAATACAGAGCAATCAAGAGGGCAAACTATTAGACGATTATATACCGATTGAACATAACAGTGATTATTTGAAAAAAAATTATAATTGAAGTACTTCAATTTGTAAAGACTCCATAGGTTTCTCCTTCTAGGGTTTTCATTGAAAAAAAAAAAAAAACCCAAAAATCTAGTCACAAAGTTGATCACTTATAAATGTGACACTTCTCTGAATTAAATAGCTCTAAAGAATAAAAAGTAGCACACAAAACAAACAGAGGTGGGTACTTGAGATTGGAGAAGAAGGGTTAGTTGAAGCTACTATAGTTTTGGTGATTTAGTAATAAAAATTGAGAGGCAACTATAAGTCGAAAACAAAGCAGAGTTAAAAGCGCTATACCTGCTGGTCAAACCCATTTCACTTTGGGTTGGTCTCCAGAATCTACTGAGTGGAATGCCTCTGATTCCAGATTCCACAAGCCATGCTATGTGTGTACAACAAGTCTTAATAAACTGACGGTGATCTATTCGGGCCAATATAGTGGGCCGGGTCGATGCTAACACTGATGGACTTGAACACCGATGCTAAGCTGACGGTGGTCGGTAAAGAAGGTGAAGGACCGAATTAGGAACCAGGCCCATTATAAGGGTATTAAAGTCATTTCAATTCGCCACCCGACTAAAATTCCTGAACGTGTACATATAGTTCCGTGAACTTAAAACCCTAGCTTCACTTTTTCTAGGCGGCCTCATTCGAAGGTGAGACAATCCTCTACAAACCCTAGCAACTGAATTTTTCATCTTTCAATTCGAGTGACTAAAATTTTCCTTCCCTATCTTGCAGTTAGATCTTCCCACTAAATCGTCATTGGAGCTGTTTGGTAGGTGAGAAAATGCAGTGTTACTGCTTCATTTACTCTCTCTCATTTTTTCAACCTAGTCATAGGTTTCGTAGACGCAAAAAATATTTGTGAAATGTTTAATGACTGTCGTATCTGCTATGGTTGTTTGAATGCGTAAGTTTTAGCAAGTCTTTTGTTTATTCTCAGTTGCGTATGGTATATTTCCTTTGTTCTTGTTTTGGTTATTGATGAAGCAAAGTAGAAGATAAAAGGACGTAGGTTTTTACCTTTTTATTCGCATTTAAGTAATTTCGACCCTGCTGTAATAATTTTGGTTATTTTGGGATGTAATGATGTTCTAACAATGTAGGCAATCAGGTTTCAATGATATATCAATCAATATGCCAAAAAAAAAAAAAAAATTTAAGATTCCCTTCCATGAGAATCAATGTGATTTTGTAAGAGTAAATTGTATGTGGACTTTAATGTGTCAATTTTAAGCTAAGTTTGATTGATCCACTAAGTACTATGGTGAGATAAGTAATATTTCATTTAATTTTTACTTTTTGCACCGTTCATGTTGTGCATTGCGTATTGACTACTTAGTATTAGTTAGTAACACCTTTTATTTCTTTTCTTATGAAAGTAAATATAGTTTATTTATGACCATTTGAAAGTCACCTTAGTGAAAACATAATTGACTTGGCAAGTCAGAGTCAAGTCATGTCTATAAGTTTTGATTCACATGTAAGCATGATTGGAGGAATCCTTGTGCTGCTATTTTTGCATGCTGGTTACTGGACTGTACTGTCAAAAAGAATAGTTACTATTGTGCAAATGTGCTAGATAAAAATTATTCTTGATTTTTAAAGACTTGCTGTTTTTCTGATATGTGGTGTGGGTATTGTTGCTTCCAGGCAATGGCTCCAAAGCAGCCAAGTACTGGTCTTTTTGTTGGTCTAAATAGAGGACATGTTGTAACCAAAAAGGAGTTGCCTCCCCGCCCATCTGACAGAAAAGGGGTAAGTTTTCTTACCATGGTATATCTTTTATTGTGTTTGGCTCAAACTATCATGTTGGAATATTGGCAGGTTAGGTTTTTAGCTTTAGTTTATTGTCAAATATACAAGATGTTCTACACATAATTTGGGTTTTCATGCTATGTATTTTGCGATTAGGAAAGTGTAGTTTTCGTTGTATTACTCTTATCTTTATGGTACTTGTTATTGATGTATACTAGATATTTCTTATATTTTATCCAGAAAACTAGTAAGAGAATCCATTTTGTGAGGAACGTCATAAGGGAGGTTGCTGGTTTTGCTCCTTATGAGAGGAGGATTACTGAACTTTTAAAAGTTGGGAAGGATAAGCGAGCGTTGAAATTGGCGAAGAGAAAGTTGGGGACCCATAAGAGAGCCAAGAAGAAGCGTGAGGAAATGTCCAGTGTTTTACGCAAGATGAGGTAGCTGACTGCCGACATTTTGTGTTTACCTTTTTTTTGTATGTGTGGTTGGATGAGCTATCTAATATTTTGTTTGGCTTTTGTCTTTTCAGATCAGCTGGAGGTGGAGAGAAAAAGAAGTGAACTCTGCCCCGATTTCTTTCAGAATCATGTCATGATGAACATTCAAAGATTTTGATTACCTTGTGCACTTTGCTAATTTGGAAGTTGAAATTTTGTTTAGTTGTTGACTATATGTTAACTCGAGTTTTAGCCATTGAAAGACTTCAATTCTATTGCTGTTTCTAAAATAGTATTTTGGGCTTTCGGAGTAAGAATTCAGCCTTCTCTTGAATTACATCTTTTGTTTCTATTTTAAGTTACGAGATTTAGTCTTCCGTAGTAAAAAATGATATGGATTCACTCATCTGTGAGCTTTTGATCTGCTATTAATTATTATCATGTTGTCGTGTGTATTAAAAACTAAATTTTTTGAATTAAAACTTAATTTTTTGAATTATGTATAACAGGGTACAGTTTAAAAAAAAAAAATCAAAATTTTTTAAAAATTAATATCATTTTTAAGATTAATTAAAGAATTTCGTGGGAGTTTTAAATTATGGTATTCCATAATCAAAATTAATTATAAAATTAAGAATGTATATTATTTTTTCTTAATCATTCATATTATTTTCAAAATCAAGATCAATATTTATATTAGTAACATATTCTTCTTTATTTTCTTCATGCAAAATGAGTAAATTTGGATAAGTTTTAATGGATTGGGTTGAATAACTCAGTTCTGTTATGAATTTTTTATTGACATTTGACTTAAATTAATGAAGTTATATCGATATTTTTAAAAATATGAATAAATATATGTCAGTATCGTAGGATGTATATCAATGTATCAAAAAATTTAAGATATACTTTCTGATACATATTGTTCCTGATCTGTATCTAATTATATTGTACTATACATATCTGGTATCATAACCACTATGATTATCATAACGTCTGGATTTTCTTAACAATATGGTTAGTTATTATCGTAGTATGTAATTAAACGATAGATGCCAGATGGTCAAGACTCAAGAACGGACTTGTTTGCATTTAAGAATGCATCTTGCGTGCGTACCATATGTTCATTCGTAATGGTGACTGACACGGTGAGACTTTCTATTTTCTTTTTCTAATACGATCATCCTTATCACTCTCCCAGTTTTTATTGGATGGTAAGCTTCTGTATTTTTTATCTTCGTCAGCGTCTCGATTTCATATTTTGCGTGTGACCAACAGGAGATTGTAAAACTGGATATGAAAGTTAATTACTGATCCATGAAAATCACGTGGTGTATTGAATTTCTATATTCTGGAAAAATAAGACCAGACAGCCTCTAGATTCTACATCTTCTTTGGGCCCCGACTCTATCTCAATTCATACATTCATATTATTGCAGTTTGCGAGCTCAGATACCATCAACCTACCAGTCTTTATTACCACATTAATTTTAGTTTTAATTTTCGCCTATCTTGGTAAATTCATCCCGTAGTCGTATCTACACGCCTGCGTCTACAAGATTTGACAATCGAGCACTACAAGCCAAAATAAAAAAGAACAGCGCTTCTTGATCTTGAATTGAATTGAAACAGGAATATCTGTCTTCATAAGACACAAGAAAAGCTGAACCTGTATTTGTATTTCAGCTATTCACTTGCCCACCATCAAACACGCTGCCTCATGGACACCGAAGAAGGTGATTTTTATTATTTAAAAGTCTATTCTTATTCTTTGGTTTTAGTATCTTTGAAAACAAAGCACAGAAATCAAACACAGATTTGGAATATGAGTTCAAAAAAGTTGTGATTTTCTCTTACGGTTTCTCATGAACTAGTGAACAGGATCCGCAATTGAATTCTCATCTTTTTCATTTCTGTGATTTCTCCTGACAAACGTTTCTAATTGGTTGTGTACTTGTTTTGTTTGACTTTTCAGTCATCGAATTCTTGGGATATGTTCCTTTGCTGCAGAGGCTACCCAGTTCTTCACTCAAGAAAATCGCTGAAGTTGTCATTGTTGAACGCTACGGTGATTTTTCGTTGGAGAATATTTATTTATTTTATATGTTAATTATAATTCAATTAAGAAATATCAGTCTCTTTATCACGAACAAACTTTTTTAAACTACGATAACCGGTGATACAAGTTTGTAATCTGTTTCTTTAATTATCAAATTTGATTTCCGTACAAGGCAAATTGCTAAAAGTTTATTTTTTCTTTTTCTCTGTTTGAATGTGATTGAATATGTCACTCTGCAGAGAAAGGAGAGCATATTATTCGTGATGGGGAAATTGGGAAGGGAATTTATTTCATATGGGAAGGACAGGTTAGTTTGCTTGTAACAATGTAGCATCTGTTTTATGTGACATGAAATCATTTGGCCAAAGTTCAATTTCGTTTTTCACAGGCTGAAGTTCAAGGGCCAGTTCATGCCGAGGAAGAAGATCGTCCTGAGTTTCAGTTGAAACGATATGATTACTTTGGTCATGGTAAGGTTGATCTTCTTTGTTTTGATTATAAGCTATTTTGCTTTACCCTAACACACATATATAATTCATTTTTGTGTGCAATCTATTGTGAGAATGGAGTTATGGGCATCAACAAATGGGATACTCTGGACCAGCGTTGTCAAAAACATTTTTATTGTTGCAATCATAGGAGTTTTCTTTCTCAATTAATGTTATACAATTCTTATTTCTATTCCTCAATATGATGTAAAATTGGAGGCCCATCAGTTGTAGGGGATTTGATATTTTTACTGTGATATGGGTATCAGTAAGTTAGCTATTTGACATTTTATATTATGAATAATTGGTTGTGCATTCTGGGTTCATCTTCTATGAAATCCATGAGTTTCTACTTCATCTAGCTGTTATATCAACAAAAGTTAGATATCAATGTTGATTAATAAGTCTATCCTTATTTTCCTTCTGGCACTATTTTCATTTGAATATGTACTGGCACATGTTTGCACGAATAGAGTTTGATCTTAAGATCTTAAGAACACATGTATGACAATGTTAGCGTAAAATAGTGATGAAAATAATATGTTTGGAAGACTAATCAGAAATTTCTTTGCAGGTACATCCACATTTTTTCAGCATGGAGATGTAATTGCTTTGACTAAGGTGGCTACCATTTTTTATTTTTAATTTGCATGATTTTTTATAATTGAAGCATGCTTATTGCTCACACTTATGAGAATGATCTCAAAATGGGCCTCTTTTTGATACCTGTAGTTTGTATTTGATGTGATGTTACTTTTTGGCAGCTGACCTGCTTAGTGCTGCCTCATGAACATTGTACTTTACTTCAAACAAAATCTATCTGGAGCACAGATAAGACGCATGATACATGCTCACTTGTGGAGAAAATATTGCATTTGGAGCCTATAGATGTATGTTTCTTCTCTGGGCTTTGAATTAACTGTTCTTGAAGCTTGATGATTATGCTTCTGCCAGTGAAGTTTTTTGTATAAGTTATTTCTTTGTTGATTTTGAAGGTGAATATATTTCAAGGGATTACTTTGCCAGATGCTCCAAAATTTGGGAAGGTTTTTGGAGGACAGTTTATTGGACAGGCAAGATAAGCTTCCATCAGTCTGCCATGTGTGCATGTGCCCCCTTCTCTTTTGTGTGATTGAAATGCTATTAAGCAAACTTATTTCAAACATGTAGATGTAGGGAGAAAGGTTTCTGGTGTGCTGGACATTGCCTGTAAGCTATTCTATGACAATTTTTTATTTTAAGAATCTGACAATCATGGTTACTATCTTGGAATGATCTATGGAGTTAATAGTGACTATAATATGACTTTTGTTGATTAAGTTAAATTGGTTCTCACTTGGAGTTTCTGAAAATCAAAACACTACCTTACTGGCAAAGAAAGTCCAAAATTTGATAGTAGTACCTGATTTTTGAATAGTAGAATTGTTGTTTCTCCGCATAATCTAAAGACATTATAGTTAGTTAATTGACTTTATTTTCTCAAACAGATCTTCTGTTTAAAGGTATATTTTTCTCTCTGTTTGTGATGTTTAACTAAACATGGTAAGTGTGTTCATCATAGGTCAGCACTGTGGTTAATACTGCTAATTGCATCACAATAAAGAATATATTCCTGTAATTGGTTATCTTATTATTTTGAATATTAATTTTCTTAAACTATGTGATAAAACATGCAGGCACTGGCTGCAGCATCAAAAACTGTTGATTGTCTTAAACTTGTCCATAGTTTTCATTGCTATTTTCTTCTGGTTGGGGATTTTGACAGTAAGTCTATATCTGTGAGCTACAGGATCTTAACAGAAGCCTCTGATAGATTGATGGAGCAACAGTTAAAAGTGAGAAATTTATTTGTTGTATTAATGGATATATACTTTTGCAGTGCCAATTATATACCAAGTTCACCGTGTACGAGATGGCAACAGCTTTGCAACCAGAAGAGTAGATGCAGTACAAAAAGGAAATATTGTATTCACATTGCTTGCTTCATTTCAAGTAAGTTAGTTATACCTCTTAATTTGTATATTGTGGAAATTCTGTATCATATTTTTTATAGCAATATTCTTTACATTTAAGTGGTTGCTCAGTTTATTGCTTATCTTGATTGTTTGTGAGGGGGCTAGAATGTTTCATTTTTTATTTTTACCGGTAAAGAACCATCATTATTATATCTTATGATTTTTAACTATTTTGGCTCTATTAGCATTGTTATGAAAAGTCAAGGTCAACTTTAAATGATGATTGATTTGAAATGACAATTGTATTGAAGCTTTAGTGTCTTGATTTTCATTACGGTAGTTATCTGCTAGTTAACATGCATAAAAGCATAGATTTAGGGACTTTCTGGTTAAGGCGAACAAGATTCATGGGGTTATATTGCTTGGAAGTTTGGATATATTCTCTCATTTTTGGACTTACTTAGGATGCTTTATGGAATCCATGGCATGTAAATTCCTGAAGACATATCTCTCTAGCTTCATTTGCTCTAATTCTTGTTTTACTTTCCATTATATTTTACTAATTTCTTCATCAGTAGGATCATAGTGGTTTGAATCAATTGAGTTACCAATATCTTTTGGTGTCCACTGCCTTCTGCAGTTTTTTCATACTAAACTCTAGCTGATGTGATATCTGCTTAAGGCTTACCTACATTCTGTGCTCTTAAAATAATATACTCAAGTTTTATCAGGGATAGACTGGTTGAGACATATCATAGTGCATGTGACATTGGTTTAATTTTACAGAAAGAACAAAAGGGGTTTGAACACCAGCAAACAACCATGCCATCAGTGACACCTCCAGAAAGGGTAATATATGCTTAAATTAACATGTCTCAGTTGATTGCTAGCTAGTGATATTGAGCTCTGGTGTTTTGCAGCTTCTGTCCTTGGAAGAGACACGTGAGAGACGCATAATTGATCCTCGCCTTCCTAGGTAGATTTCAATCACTTTTGTCATAATTTTCTGCTTATACACACATACCCATGCCCCTAAGGACCCATGCCAACACACCACACATACCGACTTTCATGTGCTCAGGCACACCAGCGCTTGCATAAGTTTCTTTTACTTTCTTAGTAAAAACTTGGATATTTAGAAAGTAGTTGGATATCCTTTTTGTCACAGTGGTGGTACAGAATAATTTGCTTTAAGGAAGGGAACATAAAGGATTATCTTATTTTATGATATTTTAGGTTTTAACTCAAATAACCATTCCGGCCCATCTCTGTGGACACACTTTATTCTATCATTCTGTGCCAAATCTTAAATTACATGTTATTTGTTCAATGATTGTTTCAGGAGCTACCGAAACAAGGTTGCCACATCAGAATTTATCCCTTGGCCCATAGAGATGAGGTTTTGTGATCCTAACAATAGCACTAATCAGACTAAATCTCCACCAAGGTTGGACTGCTTTGCTTTGTTTTGTTTTATAAGTGTATCTTTTGAAACAGCCCGAGTTATTTCTCACTTTTTGCCATTTGTTATGCATTTTGCATGCCTATCTTCTTTTAATATGACCAAATTGTATACAGTTTGAGGTATTGGTTCAGAGCAAAAGGAAAACTTTCAGATGACCAGGCTTTGCATAGGTAAGGTTCTCCTTTACATGCTAACAATTTTCTAATTTTCTTGTCACTTATGCCCTTAGAATTATGGGCAGCCTGAGAATTTAGCAAAACATAGACAAGAAGGCTTATATTTATCTTCTTCCACCTAGATTTTGGGTCAGATTTTTATAATCGCAATCTTTCTTGCATTTATCATTATAGTTTTAACTAAATTTGTCCCTGTGTAGGCTGGTGGGTGTGGTCTAAGTAGGTTTCCTTGCAAAATTCCAAGTGCATAAAAACAGTTATGGACCGGGAATGTCTAGTATGGTCCTCATGATGTTCTGGCAAGGGTCCATACTTCCCATCTTGTAATTTAATTATATGTTTCTTTCGCAGATGTGTGGTGGCATTTTCTTCAGATCTATTATTCAGTACAGTTAGTTTGAACCCTCACCGTAAAAAGGGTTTCAGATCATCTTCTCTCAGTCTAGACCACTCGTAAGTACAGCTTCAGTAAAACCATAATCGATTTTTAGGCTAACTAAAGATCTTTCCTATCAAAATAAAAAATATATATATATTTAATAATAAATTAAAAAAGAAAAAACTAAGGGTTGCATAAACTTCAGTGGAAGACTGACTTCTTTAAGGCTGAGTTGTGGCAGTTGCCTTACAAATGAAATTTAAAAGGATAACCAGTTTATCATTGATCCTCTTGTTTGACTTAAGAATGTTAAGTTGCATCATTAATTTGGTTTCAAATTGAATCTCTTATGGTTGGAATGTTACTGTGAAGTAGATGCAATCTATCGCAAATCTTTTAGTCATTAAGTACATATAATTAAGACAACAAAAAGTCACTTATGGTACGTATTTATGCCTTTTTGAAATCATGCCCCTGTCTCAGGATGTGGTTTCACCGGTCGTTTAGAGCTGATGACTGGTTGTTGTTTGTGGTAAGTTACAGATGATGGTTATTTTCAGGTTTGCTTCATTTTCTGCCCTCTTATTGGTTAACGCATTTTGTATCTTGCAGATTGTGAGCCCTATTGCTTACAATGGACGCGGGTTTGTTGCAGGAGAAATTTTTAATAGAAAGGGAGAGGTATTACAAATGTTATTTGATCTGATCTGATGCCTTTAATTTCAACCAACTTGATATTGATGTTGTTGTTTAATAGCTTAATTAATTATGCATTATTTGTTGGTGGACAGCTTGTTGTAACTGTAACTCAAGAGGCTCTACTCAGGACTCCTAAAACCCCGAATTCAAATACAGCAACTGTATCAAAGTTATGAACACAATACGTAACACATGTTGTAATAAGCAGAGCCATTTTGTGATTTATCAGGTTCTGGATTTTTCAGTCTATAGAAGTTATTCATGTAACGCTTCATTCATGTCTTGTAACAAAATTCGGATTTTAGGACTGCTACACCCATTGTTTTAGGTTGTGGTAATTGTTATGAAGTTATTTTAATTTTATAAATGCTATTCACATAGAAATGTTCAATTTTAGCCGTTTATTGAATAATTTTCTTTTTGGTTCAGCTTTAAATGTTGCAAACATTACCTAGTTTAACTGCAGATATAAGCAACCGAACACAAGTCAGATTATGTTTTTGTTTTTATCGCGCAAGTGCATTCAATTGAATCGATGAAGGAGATTATGCCCCACTCTTTAATCCATCTATATTTTAATATCGTAATTTCCTTGTAATCCATTTTCCTTATTAACAATAAGGAATATCAATGGCCGATACTATTATGTCCAGTATATATATATATTTGCACGGTTTTGTCCTTAAAAAGATGTCTCTAGATGACGAGGGTAACTTTGTACTATACAAATGATCAAGACTAGTGATTAAAAACATGACCTGTGCAGTGACCTGACCGGGCCATCAGGTCTTAGGTTGAGCAGTTTAACTGGTTTGATTGATGGGTCAAACTGATGTCTAAAAGTTTAAAATCTAACAAAAATACCCCTAAAAATTACTGTAAGTCTCTATAGGTTTAAAATATTGTAGAAACACCCCAAACACCACAGTTGGCGTCGATAAATAGGGCATGTTTTCAATGACGAAAACACTCTCCATCATTATAAAAATATTGCCCTCGGCTTCTTGACCAAAACTTATCTCACCCTCCCCTGTTAGCCTCCCCAATCGTTGGCAACATCGAGCTTTTTCCAGTGACTTATTTTTACGATTTTCGGTCAATTCACTCACCGAAAATCACCTTGTTGCCACCATTCCACTAATCGACCATTCCTCTTCAAAAACCCTAACATTCCAGGCTTTAATTGTTCACGAATTGATATCCTAATTTATAGAGTTTTAAATGAATAGTAAAATTTATAATCTGATTCGGTGAGGGTCTCGGCTCAACCAATTCAACCGATGAGGTTGGGCCGGGTTCCTAATTACTGATCAAGACCTTAATCTCCTAAGCGGTGTTGGATCTTGACAGCAATATAAATAATTTGTTTCCACATATTGTCAAACATACCTTTGATTATAAATCATACTCCATGTAGTCAATTAGATTGCACCAGCGTTGAGGTAGATCCCACGCGGGTGTTATTATCACTTCTATCTTACTTCACTTATTTACCAAATATACCCCAAAAGTAATTGAAATTAGAAAAGCCACCTCAAGTGATTAACTTTTAATAACTTCACCCATTGAGATGATCATCTCCCTCCATTCGTCTCCTTCGGCACAAACGCATTTACCCTAATTCATCATAAATCATAGGTTAGTCTGTTTTTCATTTCTTGATCTCTTTCGTATATAATTATCTCTCTTCTTTTATTGTAAATTTAAACAAAATATGCCTAAAGTTCAGTGTTTAATGGATCTGAGAACAATTGATGATCTTGTTTAAGTTTTTGCGGTAAATTGATTGTTTCGGAGAAAAATTAGTTGATTTTGTTCAATAAGTTAGGGCAAGCTAAGTTAACTTAAAATTTTGTTCATGGTGCCTATTTTGCATTTGCGTTTGTTCATTGTCTTGAGTTTTGGAAAAGTCAAACAGCATTTAAATTTTGTAGTTAATTTTATTCTGAATATGGAGAATGTAATTTAAAGTTGTTCAAGTTTTTGCGGTAAATTGATTCAGTGTTGTATGGATATGATGTTAGCGGCAGATTTTATTTTATTTTATTTTTTATAACATTAGGCTTTTGGAGTGGTTTGGTTATGAAATTGCAATGGATCTTTCAAAAAGTGGATCAGAAGGTATCAGTCAAATTGAAGAAACTCAACTGCCATTGATATGTGGGCTTCCAGATGATATTGCACTTTTCTGCTTGGCAAGAGTTCCCCGAAAGTACCATACAATACTAAAGNAAACAGCATTTAAATTTTGTAGTTAATTTTATTCTGAATATGGAGAATGTAATTTAAAGTTGTTCAAGTTTTTGCGGTAAATTGATTCAGTGTTGTATGGATATGATGTTAGCGGCAGATTTTATTTTATTTTATTTTTTATAACATTAGGCTTTTGGAGTGGTTTGGTTATGAAATTGCAATGGATCTTTCAAAAAGTGGATCAGAAGGTATCAGTCAAATTGAAGAAACCCAACTGCCATTGATATGTGGGCTTCCAGATGATATTGCACTTTTCTGCTTGGCAAGAGTTCCCCGAAAGTACCATACAATACTAAAGTGTGTTTCCAGGAGATGGAGAGATTTAGTATGCAGTGAAGAATGGCGTGCTTATCGTAGAAAGCATAATTTGGATGAGACGTGGATCTATGCTTTGTGTCAAGACAATAAGCTTGAGAGGGTTAGTTGTTATGTATTGGACCCCAACTCTGCTAGACGGAGTTGGAAGCTCATTCATGATTTTCCACCTCCCACCTTGAGGAGAAGAAAAGGCATCGGTTTTGAGGTGTTGGGAAATAATCTTTATTTACTGGGTGGCTGTGGTTGGTCTGAGGATGCCACTAAGGACGTCTATTGCTATGACTCTTCAAGGAACTCATGGACTGATGCTGCTTCCTTGTCAACTGCAAGGTAATATGCTTCACTGATATTATCTCTAAGGACTTAATGATATTTCTTTTATAAATGCCACTTAACTGTTGCATTCTATATATATATATATATATATGAACTTGCACATTGCTTTGAATATCGACCTGGTAAATTTTTTATTGTGTAAATTTTATGGAATTTGTCAAATGTGGCATCAAAGTGTGGTATTCATTGAATCTGATCTACAAGAGGCTGAATCTCGTATGTTCATGCAAACACATGCACATTCATTAGCCTAAAATTGTCATTTTTTTTTTTCATCTTTTCTAGTGATTCTGGAGTTATCTTATGTAATCTTGATGCATTTAGGTGCTACTTTGCTTGTGAAGTTCTAGATGAGAAAATATACTCAATTGGAGGATTAGGTTCAAAATCAAGTGACACACATTCTTGGGAAGTATATGACCCTTGCACAGACAACTGGAAATTGCACACAAATCCAAACGTTGTCCCAGAAATTGAAGATTCTTTTGTCATGGATGGGAAGATTTATATCCGTTGTGGAACATCTGTTGTAACTTCAGAGGTTTATGCATTAGTTTATGAGCCATCAAGTTGCACCTGGAAGCATGCAGATGCTGACATGGCTTCGGGATGGCAGGGTCCTGCAGTTGTTGTAGATGAAACTCTTTATGTGTTGGATCAGAGTTCAGGAACACGATTGATGACATGGCACAAAGAGAGTAGAGAGTGGGCACCAGTTGGGAGGCTATCAGCCCTATTAACAAGACCACCTTGCCAGCTTGTTGCTATTGGAAAAAACATTTTTGCTGTAGGGAAAGGCTGTAGCACGGTGGTAATAGATGTTGGCAATGCAGGGAATGTTGGAGGGGTTATGGTGAGTACTTCTATTCCTAAAGTGAATGATACTGATGATGTTATTAGATTGAAATGTTTAGCTATATGAAGCTTATGTTGAAGTTCTCTTCTGTGTGTATCCTGAAGATTGTTATATATGGGGCGCATATATATGCCCCTTTGAAAGAAATTCTTATATTATAAGACTCTGTGACATTGGCTAGTTGTTTTTGTGGCTTCATCTCAAGGAATGCATTGCAGCTTCTATCGCAGAAACTTTAATCTCATTGACAGTCAAAATTGATATGGCAAGCATAGTAAGATTGACGCGGGTGCAGCGAAAATCAAGCCCAAGATTATTTCCGCCGAACAGCCTAGGCAGCTATGCCATGCACATGCCATTTAAACCTACATTGGAGATGTTCATCAATTCGGAAATGGTAAAATACTCCTTGCTGTGAAGAACGAAAAACATAAATGTAACACTGTAGCATCTTGCATGACAAGGAAATTAAAATACAAAGAGAACATAGATAGTTCCAAAAAATAAGTTGATATGGTGTGATATGATGTGCTTACGAATGATTATTTATATTACTACTGGAATCTGGATTTCTAAGTTTTAAAACATACGTCTAAGAGATAAACGAAGTTAGTACAAAATGGATAAATAATCACATTCTTTGTGGTAGCTAAGTTATCTTCATCAGAATGAATGCATCATTTGACATTTGAGCTGCTAGTACCATACTATCAACAATACATTATGTTACACATCAAACGTGATGCTTTTTATAATTACAATACAAAGATAACTCCCAAACCCTTTCAGCAGATCCCTCACTTTCTGAAGCTGGATACTACGGTTCAATTATACAAATCAAAATGGTCAGTCGCTGGAGATACCCTTGCCATTCCCCTCTGAGCTAACACCAAGTACTAAAAATCAAGCTACTAAAGATGATTTGGTCAGCTAGGCCGTTTCTTTTTAAAAGCAGGATGTATGATTCCATTGTATGAATCTAGTTCCTCAATTCTAAAAATACATTCTTTCATCCTCTTCAGAACTGTTGGCATAGCAGCAACATTACTGGATATTTTGGCTTTAAGCAAACGTATTTTTTCAGCAGCCTTCTGCTCTTCTTTTACAAGTGTTGCCCCCTTACTTGATTCAACATGTTCTCCTGAATCTGTAAAATGGTGAATTTGTCAAGGTTAAATCACTGTAGGTAAAAGTTTGAAACTGTAGAAAGACAATTAAAGCTTTGAAAACAAACAAAAGTAGGCCATATTTTCATTCCTACACAGGAAAAAGAGGGGAGGAAAAGGAACAGAAAAACGAAGAAGAAAAAGCTAACTTTTACAGCTAAAGATGAGAGGAAGGAGAGATTGCCACATTGAAGAACAGAGTTCACAGTCACTCCTACCACTACCACCACATAAGTTGTTACTTAAGCATTCTAAAACTAAATACCTTCCCATGTTAGTGACATGTCATTTTAAATATTTCACCAAGTACAACTTAAAACAAACAAGTAAACATTAAAAATAGTATTAAGCACTGATGGCTATCCAACATTCACCTAGTTGTGGCCTAAAAGAAGATTAGCCCTGACAATGATGATAACCTCTCTAGTTTGTAAATGGTTAGAGGGGGGGTTCAATGTCCAATTAACAAACTCATAAGTACACATGTCAGATGCAGAAATTAAGAGAACTTACCTTGAGAAATCATAAGTATATGATCCTCCTAGTTAGTATTTACAAAAACAATACAAAGTCAAAACATGCCCATCTGACCATAATACATAGAAAGCATCTCTCGTTTAGTTGAAATTAATTGACATTAATCAATCTTGAAACTATGTATCTTGAGTCGGTTAATTGCATTAACATTCAACCCATCACATTTTACTTATACGAAACAATTTCACAACTCCAGTTTGTGGCTAACAAAGATGCACAAATGCAAGCATTCCCTAAAAGCAGGTGGGACAATGACTTCCCACTTAAAATTCCATAGAATAAAAGGAAAATCAACCGGTCTTACTTCTGTCTAAGGCGTATGCACAGAACATAAAAATTCATATACAAATCCAAAATAGGGAAAACAACTCAACTCAGCTCCACATCCTAATCACCACAGAACACGAAAAAATACTAAATTTTCTCAGCAACTAAGCATATTAAAATTCGATTTCAGAGAAAAACACTAGCTACTCGTATACTCACATAACAAACACTTAAATTGAGTTTCACACTTTCAGAAATATAAACCCTAGAAAGAAAACGAACCAGTGTTATGGTCTCTGGAGGGTCCAGGCTCTAACCCAGACTCAAACCCGGGCAAAACTGGCCTTTGAGATGAAAGAATCGAGGCGAATGTGTTCTTGAGCTGATCTGGAAGTGTTGCTCTGTATTCTAGAATCTTCTGCGCCATTTGCTTCACATCTGACTCCAGCTTCTCTAGGTCTTCTTCTTCGGGTTCGGATTCTCCGGATCCACATTCAGCGCCCCTAATGTCCACTCGGGTTTCGAGTGTTTTCGGTGGGTCGTTTAAAGCCATGTATGGATTGAGGTAGAAGAAGAAAATAAGGTCGATTCTGATTTTTGGAGGGTATTTTGGACGTTAGGGTTTTGAAATTTGAAATTTTCGAAGAAAATAAGGTCGTTGTATTTGTTTTTGACTTTTGTGCTTGTGTAAGTGATGAAAGATGGAATACGGGTACGCGGGGAGGGTGAAGTGCGCACCCTACCATTAACTATAGTGCACTGAGGCGCATTACGCCCCATTTTTCAAACGTTTTCCCATGCTACTAATGCGTACATGTTCCCTACCTATGATCTGACCTTACAGGCTTACACGTTGAAGATTCAATAGTATCAGAATGTTTATATCCTGGCCGTACACGAAAAAAGAAAGGGGTTGGGACAATAAGACTACGGACACCAAAAAAGTTACCGAAATTCTGTACCGGCCTACGTATATTGCGCGTTTTAATTTTTTTATAATTTTTTTCTAGTGAACGATCGTCCATCAAATTTAGACGGTCGTTCACTCACATGGACGCCCGTCCATATACAAAGGATGAGCGTCCCCATTTAAAAGACATCCGTCTATAAATAAAATACAATAAAAAAATTTGTAAAACATTATGGACGGCCGTCCCTTAATTTTGGACGGGCGTCCACAAATACGGGACGCCCGTCCAAACTTAATTTGTTTTAAAAAACAATAACACTAGGGACACCGAAAAAGTTGCACCGAAATTCTGTACCGGCCTATGTGTAACGCGCTCTGAATTTTTTTACAATTTTTTTCTAGTGAACGGCTGTCCATCAAATTTGGACAGGCGTCCATATACAAGGGACGGACGTCCCTATTTAAAGGACGCCCGTCCATAAATAAAATACAATAAAAAATTTGCAAAACATAATGGACGGCCGTCCCTTAATTTTGGACTGGCGTCCGTAAATATGGGACGCACGTCCAAACCTAATTTGTTTTAAAAAATAAAATAAAAAATTTGGACGCCCGTCTAGAGCTGGGCATTTGGGATCGGGCCCAAAAGCCTAGCTCCAAAAATCGGTCCTAGGAGGCTTGGTCCCAAAACGGGACCAGGCCTAAGGAGGAGGGCCCGGGCCCTCCACTTGGCCCAAATTTTTTTTACCTTTTATCATTTTAGTCCTTTGTAAAATTACATTAAACCCCCTAAAACAAAATTTTATAAAATTTATTAAAAAAAAAAAATTTAACCGTTGGCTGCCAACGGTCAACTGACACCCAACGGTTATATTTATATAATTATAAGTTTTTTTTTTCATTTTCCCCCCCACAACTATACTATAAATAACCCTAAAACCTTTAATTTTTTTCACACCAATCAATCTCTCATTCTTTCATTCTCTCAATCTCTCTACTCCAAATCTCCAATCAATTTCTCATTCAATTTATATTTATAATTTATTTATATTATTCAAATTTTTTTCTATTTTTCAATATCATCATAATTTTATATTATTATTTAATTTCTTTTCATTTTAATTATTTATTATTTTATCATAAATTTATAATGTCTTCCCCAAATGAGTTTTACTTCCATCCACTGAAGAAATTGAAGCCTTCAATTCATTTTCACCATTTCCTCTAGAGGATGCAGCTGTAATTCCACAACCACATTCGGTTCGGGAGGTGTAGCCAAACACATGTACTGCGATTCAACGGGCACGGACATAGCCCAACCCCCCGACCGTCAAAGAGGGTCGTGTCCGAGTCTGGCGATACTTCACCAAATCAAAACTTCAAACAAATGGAGGAGAGAATCGTGTGGGATATGTAATTTATGTGGAACCATTATTGGGCTGAGAAGGGGACTTCGACGATGCGACGACACGTAGAAAGAGCATCCCCAAATAAATGCATCTTCAAGCGGATCAGTAGACAAATTCAATCAAGTTATTTTAATCCACAATCCTCAACCCTCTCAACATGGCAATACAATACATATGTTGCACGAGAGGAAATAGCAAGAATATAGTTGCTACGACTCTCCCATTTGTTTATCTGAAAATCCTTTTTGTTATATCGTTAAACTGCATTTTGTCCAGCATATACCCCTGTTAGTAGAACTACAAGTGAAGAGATATACTAAAACTTTTAAAAAAAAATAAATAATAAACTTAAACAAATTTCAAAATTTAGGAATATATCTATTGCACTTACATCAGACATATGGCTTGTAGATCAAAAACCGATTTTTTAAACTGTTACGTACATTTCTTAGATCATAATTGGGTTTACAACAAAAATTGATAGGTTTTAAACCATTATATGAAAAACATAGTGCTGAAACTATTTATTTTGCAATTTTTGAAGTTTTGCAAGAATATTATACTGATAGAGTTGTAGCGCTAATGCTTGATAATGCAGCTGCTAACACCGCGACAATATCTTCATTTGAAAAGAAATTGGATCCGCTTGTAAAGGCAAATTTTATCACTAGAGATGTGCTTGTCACATCATCAATTTGATAGTTAAAGCAGGTTTAGATGCTATACATTCAAGATTGAGAGGGTGCGTAGGCTATCGGATTTATCGTCGCGGTAGCAATAAAATGGCAGGAGTAACGTCAAATATTGTAAGCAGAGGACCAACCGTTCACCTTTGAGTTATGTACAGACATGCCTGTCCGTTGGAACTCTACCTACTTGATGTTGGAAAAAGCTTTGCCAACCGCGAAACAAATTACAGATTTAGTCAACCGAGAGAACTATCCAGGGAAGTTGTCAATCATGTGATTGGGCGTTTTTTGAACTTTTTTATTCATTTCTTAAAATTTTTATGATGCTACTAATACATAGTGGTATTTATATCCAACACTACTATTTAGTGTTAGATTTTTAGTTCAAATTGCTAAAATTTTTGTTCAATATAGATATGATAATATTTTAGTGAAATTGTTTCAAGTATGGAAAAAATAGAGATATTGGTTAGATATTTATTCTTATATGGATTAGGCATTTTTCTAGATCCTAGGTTTAAATTATCCGTAGTTAACGGTGTAATTACTGAGTTAGGCCATTATTTAGGACATGATATACTTCTATTTGACTGACTTTAAACACAAATTGGATAGACTTTTTTCTTTATATGAGAACAGACCAATGGAAGAAAGTGGAAGTGGAAGTGGAACGTCTAAGAGAGGCGATCAGGACCTTGATGTAGCCCCCCTCAAGGATCGAGCAAGTGGGCGTATGTGGGACGTGGCGGAAGCTCCAGCTCGTACATACATAGACCAAATGAGACACTCGCTACCTACGGTGGACTTGACCTTTATGCGATGAAGGAGCAACTTGACATGATTTCTTCAATGGTGGAACCAACAAGAAAGTCAATTCCCCATTATATCCCAATGGCACTGGACATTTTATCTGTGCCGGTTTCTACAATTGCATCCGGTCAACATTTTCAACGAGTGGCGGATTGTGGAAGACAGAAGATGTTCTTAACTGATGAGATGATTGAAGTGAACGTGTTTACGGGATTGGACTCATGCAAAAATAAGAATATAACAGCACCCTGAAGATCCCGAACTACTCGAACTTTAGGAATACAGATTTGAATATGTAACTAATGTTGACGATGAAATTGAAGATGAATAATTTAATAAAAAAATTATTTAATTGTTTATTTGTGAAACGTGAATGTGTGAAATGTGAATATTATATTATGTTAAAAATTAAAATTAACTATATTTTATTATTTTTTAAAATTAATTAAATTTTTAGAAACTTACTAATCAACCCCTAAAAAATACTAAAAACCCCCTATAAAATTTTGTTTTGCCCCAAAATTAAAAAAAATTGAGGGGGAAAATAAAATTTTTCAAACCCCGGGGACCTGTCCTAGGACCGGTCCAGGTCCTGGTTTTTCTCATGCCTGGGACCGGTCCCAGGCCCAGCCTGGCCCGTAAGGACCGATCCCTTGCCCAGCTCTACGCCCGTCCTAATTGTGGACGCGTCCCTTAAGTTTGGACGACGCCCACAATAATGGACACCCGTCCTTAACCCAAATATGGAAAAAAAAAAAAAAAAAGCTTTGGAGACGGCCATCCATAAATTATAGACGGCCGTCCCTATGTTTGGACGGGCGTCCATTCGTCCAACTTTTAATAAAAAAAAAATTCATCTAAACAAAAACCCATTCTTCTTCTTCTTCATCTTCATTCCTCCCTCTTTTTCTTCGTCTCAAGTTGCCATGCTGATGCAAACGAGAAATCCAAGTGCCTAGATAACTGATTGACGGTCTGTGAAAATTACAAATATAAATTAGTAAATGCTTTAATTTCTTTTGCAGGATCTAGTATACATGCACCAGTAGACACCAAGTCATTTTTTAATCACTTCCAGAAAAATAAATGAAAAAATGAAAGGAAAAAGATATATGGACAACAGTATAGATAATACCTTTCCATGTTAGAATCCACCAACTACCCTCTGGGTTGTCTCCAACAATTATTAGACGTTTACCATCAGGACTCAACGAAGTATGCTGCAAAAGCACAAAAAAAAAAAAAAAAAAAATTCAATTGAAAGCTTCACCTCAAGTGCTTCATATATGCCCAAAAAGGAAGCACAAACACCCTCCATGTCAACAAAGGCACCACATACTATACGGACGATGGACTGTTGAATGTAACTAACTTACATTCACTCGCCAGGAAAACAGAAATGCTTAGAGGTTGATACTTTTCCATATCAAAATCTCTAACACCACAGTCATTATTTGAGGCAGAAATGGACTACACCACTGGCAATGAAGCGAGAAAAAGAGAGACACCACAGTCATTATTTGAGGCAGTGAAATGGACTGCACCACTGCAATGAAGACAAAAGAGAGACACCACAGTCATTATTTGAGCAGTGAAATGGACTGCACCACTGGCATTAAGACGAAGAAAAGAGAGGAGATGGGGAATGAAGACAAAGATGTTTTGCAACAGAGAATGAGTTTTTGTTTAATTTTTTTTCTTTTTTATAAAAATATGTAATGGATGCCTTTCCGGGTAATGGACGCCCATTCAACGTTAGGGATAGCTTCCAAAATTTATGAATGGTCACCCCAAGTTTTTTTTTATTTTTTTTCATATTTGAGTCAAGACACGTCCAAGTTTAAGGGACGCTCGTCCACATGCGTCCAAATTTTATCTTATTTCGTCTTCATTGCCAGTGGTGCAGTCCATTTCACTGCCTCAAATAATGACTATGGTTTCAGGATTTTGATATGGAAAAGTATCAACTCTCTAAGCATTTTCGTTTTCCTTGGCGAGTGAATGTAAGTTGGTTACATTCAACAGTCCATCTTCCGTATAGTATGTGGTGCCTTTGTTGACATGGAGGGTTTTGTGCTTCATTTTCTGGCAATATATGAAGCACTTGCAGGCTGAAGCTTTCAATTGAATTTTTTTTATTTTTTTTATTTTGTGCTTTTGCAGCATACTTCGTTGATCCTGATGGTAAACGTCTAATAATGTTGGAGACAACCCAGAGGGTATGTTGGTGGATTCTAACACTGGAAAGGTTTATCTATACTGTTGTCCATATATCTTTTCCCTTCCTTTTTTTCATTTATTTTCTGGAAGCTGATTAAAAAAAAATGACTTGGTGCTACTGGTGCATGTATCTAGATCCTACAAATAGAAATTAAAGCATTTACTGATTTATTTTGTATTTTCACAAACCGTCAATCAATTGTCTGGGCACTTGGATTCTCGTTTGCATCAGCATGGCAACTTGAGACGAAAAAAGAGAGAGAGGAATGAAGACAAGAAGAAGAAGAATGGGTTTTTGTTTAGAATTTTTTTTTTTTTTATTAAAAGTATGCGAATGGACGCCCTCCAAACATAAGGAGCGGCCGTCTATAATTTATGGACACTGTCTCCAAACTTTTTTTTTTTTTTTTTCCATATTTGGGTTAGGACGGGTGTCCATTATTTGTGGGCGTCTGTCCAAACTTAATTGTGGACGGGTTGTCCAAATTTTTTATTTTATTTTTTAAAACAAATTAAGTTTGGACGGGCGTCCCATATTTTCGGACACCAGTCCAAATTAAGGGACGGCCTTCCACACCTTAGAACTTATTTTTTTATTTTATTTTATTTATGGACGGACGTCCGTCCCTTGTATATGGACGTCCGTCCATATAATATGGACGACATCCATGTGAGTGAACGACCGTCCAAATTTGATAGACAACCATTCACTAGAAAAAAATTGTAAAAAAATTTAGACGCCTTTACACGTAGGCCGTTACAGAATTTCGATGTACTTTTCGGGGTCCCTAGTGTTATTGGGGGTCGGGACAGGCGCATATAATTTCAAATACCTAAACGCGTCGTTTTTTAACTTTATAAGTAGATATAGAAAAAATTAAACAGCGTCGTTTTAAGAAGATATAAAATTTATATTTAAAAGCGTCGTTTTCACGCAGATATCCAAGCCGCGTTGTTTGGCTATGTAACGGCTATATCAAATCGGCGCGTTTTTAGGCAGATATGTTTGGCTTTATATAATGGCTAAGCCCGCTCAAAAAAAGTTAAAACTTCTCCCTCTATATTTCAGAATCACATATGGAAGCCTGTTTGGTAGGTCAAGGAAAACTCGTCTTTTCTCTCCTTCGTTTTTTCAGAACCATACAGCAAATTAACCCTAATCATAATGTTTGTTGATCGGAGAAACCGATAATGATAGTTATCTCATCATTTTCCAACTTTCAAGAAATAAGACAAAATTGGCTTCGTACTCCGAGCTCGATGAGACGTGTTTGGTTTATTCACCTTTATTAATGTCACTGCTTTAATGGCAAAGTTCAGCTTTTGATTAACTCCAACGACATTGAGTATTGCTTTTACCATTGAATCAAGATTTCGGTTATTGGATTATGGAAGAATTCAACCTCCATCACCGCTTTCAAAGGTAAGTCTAATTTATCATGTACTTCTAATTTTAATCTGTAAGTTGATTTTGTTCGGTTTTGAAAAAAAATAATGTATTCACAAAAAAAAGTAAAAATTCTGGAAAATTTTCGATATTATGATAACGATTGAAAGAAAACCTAATTATTTATTCAACTCAAAAGTGCAAAATTACATTTGATTCTGATATGTGTAAAATTGTCTATCAACTTTGTGGTTATAAGTAAGATTCTTGCCCTCTTATTGTGTCCTTTAATTGAATATGAATCTCACAAAAATGCGTAGGTGTAATTTTTTTTGAGCTTTTGAACCATTAGATACTTGTATTTTGTCGACACTAAACTATTAGAGTCTTTCTTAATATTTGTCTTTTGGTTGGTGTTGATATGATCATATATTTTCGTTATTGATGCATAATATTTACCAGAGGATGCAGCCGCAAATGCTTGACTCCGAAGGTCCATATCGGCTGCTTTATTGTTCAAGTAAGGGAGATAGAGCAGGGGTGTTACAGGAGTTAGAGAAAGGGGTTGAACCCAATCTAGCCGACTATGACAAGAGAACAGCTCTTCATTTAGCATCAAGTGAAGGACGGGCTGAAATTGTTCTTTTACTTCTTGAGACAGGAGCAGATGTCAACTCTTTAGATCGCTGGGGTCGCACTGTATGTTTCAATTCATATCTTTCTTTCACCTCTTTGATGTCCTAGACTTTATGTGTGATCTTGGTATTTTCCAATCCTGGCCGTAACTCAAGTTGTTAATGGCTAAAATGGGATTGGCTGCATTTCAGCTGCAAACCTTCAGAATAGAAATGCAAGTTACCATTCACCAGATAAAATTTTATTGGAGGTTTAAAATTGATATAATTATTTTTTCAGCCACTGTCAGATGCCCACAGCTTTGGTCACGAGGTGATTTGCAAGATACTGGAAGCTAAAGGTGGAATAGATCCGGTACTTATTTTTATCAATGCATATGCAGTTGTGTATAAATTTATGTTTATTATACTGTCTGAAGAAAATCATTCTTTTGCCCCACCTGTTTGTTTTGCTAGCTCACCATAAACTTTGTAATGTATTTTTGCCAAAAACACCATTCTATGTTTTATGTATAGCCCATAAGATGCTTTTCATCAGTGATTAGTTTGTTAACCCCGCCATGATGGGCCATCCTCACATCTTCTGATGATTTTCTTTCTTTTTCTGTTTAATACTTCAAATTTTGTAGAAGAACGATTTTTCACTTTTCCTCTGCTGAAACATATTATGTTCAGTGTAGAAAAGGTTACATAGGCATTTTTGCATGCCTTAGTCACTATGTGAGAACATCAGTGGAAACAACTATTTTGCAAGGTTCACAGGACTAATTTAAATCCCTTTTCCATTTTTTCTTGAGACAGGTGGGGCTTGACTCCCAGACTCCTTGCTATGAAATTCATCACACTGAAGTGGACATGGATGAAGCGATACTTATTGGACAAGTAATTTCTTATTTTAATTTCTATCGCAGATATCAAGTGAGGGCATCTTAAACTTTTTTTGATAGTGCCTCATCAGAGCAATCATAATTCTCTTAACTTTCTATATTGTTGGTTATACTTCACCCATAACTAAATTGTGAAGAATTGCAGGGAGCATATGGTGAAGTTTATCTAGTCAAGTGGCGTGGCACAGAAGTTGCTGCAAAAACTATTCGGTCTTCCATTGCATCAAACTCAAGGGTGAGGTGAGTTTCATTTTTATAATAATTTAACGAATTCCTTTACTTCCTCTACTTCTCACTCTCTCCTTGTCTCTTTCTAACTTTCTTTTCTGTGTAATACATGCCGCTTTTTTTGTTTTTTTCTATTAAACCTTCTCAGCTGCTCTTCTGATTAAAATCCAGCTGGTGGAACTACTTTTGGCTGTTCGCCCACTTAAAGGAAGGAGAATAAAGCTTGCAATAGCATATTACTTCTTCATTGTTATGATTTTTATTAAAAGTTTGCTTTGAGGAAGAGGCAGATATGTGATAGAAATATAATAAATTCTCAGTCATCCTCATTTCTTGGAGGAAAATGCAGTTAAATTTTTTTATTTTTTGGAATTCTTAATATTTGTTATTTCAGCATACTTGGAAATTGAATTCTAGATATTTTTTTTTGGGTGCTAATAGCATTTATTGAACGTAGAGGTCAGTGATCTATGTTTTTGTTCATGTGAATTAGAGTGTCAGAATAGTATGTATACAAAATGATAAATCTGTTCGACATTACCTTTTCAGTAATAACAACTTTGAGAATATAAAATTGGTGTTTATATCTTCTACTAAGATCAGTGATTGTGAGATTTGAACTATGGTTACCTAATTTGACAGGATTAGTTAAGTTTTAACTTTATGTCTCTGGGCCTGAATTTTTAACAGGAGTTCTTTCATGAAGGAATTGGGTTTGTGGCAAACATTGCGCCACCCTAATATAGTGCAATTCCTTGGTGTCCTAAAGCATTCTCAGCGCTTGATCTTCCTTACAGAGTATCTTCGCAATGTGAGTTTTGTATTTTAAATCATGTTTTATATGTATATATATTTTGCAAGTGCCTGATTTCTCTTTCTTCTGAGTGTGCTAGGGAAGTTTGCATGATATATTAAAAAAAAGAGGAAGAATAGATCCACCAACAGCAGTTTCTTATTCTTTAGATATTGCAAGGTACATTTTCCCAACACTTTTATCCTGAAGTTTATTGGCAGAAGCTTTGACTTTAGCATCAACTTTATTGATAAGATATTGATGACTTATACTGTCTATCAAAACATGATAAATGGCCTGAACGATGCATGGATAATCTAACATGAAAACCATGTCATATGAATTTGAATGTGAAAACATGATGCATGGCCTGGTGTGCGCATCATCATGTTAAAAATAAAAAAAAATTAAAATTAAAGAATTGTGGAAATTTATGGATGATAAGAATACTGTATGATTTTTTTTTTTTTTTTTTTTTTTTAACTCTCATCCTCTTGGTTTTATGTAACTGTTGAATATATCATCTTTATTTACTTTATGTATTTATTTATTGTACTTTTAAATCAACATTAAGTTCTGTTGTATTTCATTTCTTGAAAATATGGCCTTTGATCCAACATTCACCTGTTGTGGCCTAAAAGAAGATTAGCCCTGACAATGATGAAACCTCTCTAGTTTGTAAATGTTAGAGGGGGGTTCAATGTCCAATTACAAACTCATAAGTACACTGTCAGATGCAGAAATTAAGAGAACTTACCTTGAGAAATCATAAGTATATGATCCTCCTATTTAGTATTTACAAAAACAATACAAAGTCAAACATGCCCATCTGACCATAATACATAGAAAGCATCTCTCGTTAGTTAAATTAATTGACATTAATCAATCTTGAAACTATGTATCTTGAGTCGGTTAATTGCATTAACATTCAACCCACACATTTTACTTATACAAACAATTTCACACCTCCAGTTTGTGGCTAACAAAGATGCACAAATGCAAGCATTCCCTAAAAGCAGATGGGACAATAACTTCCCACTTGAAATTCCATAGAATAAAGGAAAATCAACCGGTCTTACTTCTGTCTAAGGCGTATGCACAGAACATAAAAATTCATATACAAATCCAAAATAGGAAAACAACTCAACTCAGCTCCACATCCTAATCACCACGAACACGAAAAAATACTAAATTTTCTCAGCGACTAAGCATATTAAAATTCGATTTCAGAGAAAAACACTAGCTACTCGTATACTCACATAACAAACACTTAAATTGAGTTTCACACTTTCAGAAATATAACCCTAGAAAGAAAACGAACCAGTGTTATGGTCTCTGAGGGTCCAGGCTCTAACCCAGACTCAAACCCGGCAAAACTGGTCTTTGAGATGAAAGAATCGAGGCGAATGTGTTCTTGAGCTGATCTGGAAGTGTTGCTCTGTATTCTAGAATCTCTGCGCCATTTGCTTCACATCTGACCCAGCTTCTCTAGGTCTTCTTCTTCGGGTTCGGATTCTCCGGATCCACATTCAGCGCCCCTATTATCCACTCGGGTTTCGAGTGTCTTCGGTGGGTCTTTTAAAGCCATGTATGGATTGAGGTAGAAGAAGAAATAAGGTCAATTCTGATTTTTGGAGGGTATTTTGGACGTTAGGGTTTTGAAATTTGAAATTTTCGAATATTTTCGTTGTATTTGTTTTTGTGTTGTGTAGGTGATCAAAGATGGATACGGTAGCGGGGAGGGTGAAGTGCGCACCCTACCATTAACTATGCGCACTGAGGCGCATCACCCCTATTTTTCAAACGTTTTCCCATGCTACTAATGCGTACATGTTCCCAACTATGATGTGACCTTACACTTTCAAGATTCAATAGTATCAGAATGTTTATATCCTGGCCATCCAGAAAAAAAGAAAGGGATATACTGTAGATTTTTCAAATATCTAAACGGCGCCGCTTTTAGGTAGATATGAAAAAAGTTAACAGCGTCGTTTTAAGAAGATATAAAATTTATATTTAAAAGCGTCGTTTTCACGCAGATATCCAATGCCGCGTTGTTTGGCTATGTCAACGGCTATATCTAAATCGGCGTCGTTTTTAGGCAATATGTCTGGCTTATATAATGGCTAAGCCCGCTCAAAAAAAATTAAACTTCTCCCTCTATATTTCAGAAATCACATATGAAGCCTGTTTGGTAGGTCAGAGGAAAACTCGTCTTTTCTCTCTTCGTTTTTTCAGGAACCATACAGCAAATTAACCCTAATCATAGTTGTTGATCGGAGAACCGAGGTAATGATAGTTATCTCATCATTTTTCCACTTTCAGAGAAATAAGACAAAATTGGCTTCGTTTACTCCGCTCGATGAAGACGTGTTTGGTTTATTCACCTTTATTAATTGTCACTGCTTTAATGGCAAAGTTTCAGCTTTTGATTAACTCCAACGACATTGAGTATTGCTTTTACCATTTGAAATCAGATTTCGGTTATTGGATTATGGAAGAATTCAGACCTCCATCACCGCCTTCAAGTAAAGTCTAATTTATCATGTACTTCTAATTTAATCTGTAAGTTGAATTTGTTCGGTTGTTGAAAAAATAATGTAATTCACAAAAACAAGTAAAAATTCTGGAAAATTTTGCGATATATATAGATTGAAAGAAACCTAATTTTATTCAACTCAAAAGTGCAAAATTACATTTGATTCTGATAAGTGTAAATTGTCTATCGACTTTATGGTTATAAGTAGATTCTTGCCCTCTTATTGTGTCCTTTAATTGAATATGAATCTCACAAAAATGCGTAGGTGTAATTTTTTTTGAGCTTTTGAACCATTAGATACTGTATTTGTCGACACTAAACTATTAGAGTCTTTCTATTATTTGTCTTTAGGTTGGTGTTGATATGATCATATATTTTCGTTATTGATGCATAATATTTACCAGAGGATGCAGCCGCAAATGCTTGACTCCGAAGGTCCATATCGGCTGCTTTATTGTTCAAGTAAGGGAGATAGAGCAGGGGTGTTACAGGAGTTAGAGAAAGGGGTTGAACCCAATCTAGCCGACTATGACAAGAGAACAGCTCTTCATTTAGCATCAAGTGAAGGACGGGCTGAAATTGTTCTTTTACTTCTTGAGACAGGAGCAGATGTGGTGGCTGTGGTTGGTCTGAGGATGCCACTAAGGACGTCTATTGCTATGACTCTTCAAGGAACTCATGGACTGATGCTGCTTCCTTGTCAACTGCAAGGTAATATGCTTCACTGATATTATCTCTAAGGACTTAATGATATTTCTTTTATAAATGCCACTTAACTGTTGCATTCTATATATATATATATATATATATATATGAACTTGCACATTGCTTTGAATATCGACCTGGTAAATTTTTTATTGTGTAAATTTTATGGAATTTGTCAAATGTGGCATCAAAGTGTGGTATTCATTGAATCTGATCTACAAGAGGCTGAATCTCGTATGTTCATGCAAACACATGCACATTCATTAGCCTAAAATTGTCATTTTTTTTTTTCATCTTTTCTAGTGATTCTGGAGTTATCTTATGTAATCTTGATGCATTTAGGTGCTACTTTGCTTGTGAAGTTCTAGATGAGAAAATATACTCAATTGGAGGATTAGGTTCAAAATCAAGTGACACACATTCTTGGGAAGTATATGACCCTTGCACAGACAACTGGAAATTGCACACAAATCCAAACGTTGTCCCAGAAATTGAAGATTCTTTTGTCATGGATGGGAAGATTTATATCCGTTGTGGAACATCTGTTGTAACTTCAGAGGTTTATGCATTAGTTTATGAGCCATCAAGTTGCACCTGGAAGCATGCAGATGCTGACATGGCTTCGGGATGGCAGGGTCCTGCAGTTGTTGTAGATGAAACTCTTTATGTGTTGGATCAGAGTTCAGGAACACGATTGATGACATGGCACAAAGAGAGTAGAGAGTGGGCACCAGTTGGGAGGCTATCAGCCCTATTAACAAGACCACCTTGCCAGCTTGTTGCTATTGGAAAAAACATTTTTGCTGTAGGGAAAGGCTGTAGCACGGTGGTAATAGATGTTGGCAATGCAGGGAATGTTGGAGGGGTTATGGTGAGTACTTCTATTCCTAAAGTGAATGATACTGATGATGTTATTAGATTGAAATGTTTAGCTATATGAAGCTTATGTTGAAGTTCTCTTCTGTGTGTATCCTGAAGATTGTTATATATGGGGCGCATATATATGCCCCTTTGAAAGAAATTCTTATATTATAAGACTCTGTGACATTGGCTAGTTGTTTTTGTGGCTTCATCTCAAGGAATGCATTGCAGCTTCTATCGCAGAAACTTTAATCTCATTGACAGTCAAAATTGATATGGCAAGCATAGTAAGATTGACGCGGGTGCAGCGAAAATCAAGCCCAAGATTATTTCCGCCGAACAGCCTAGGCAGCTATGCCATGCACATGCCATTTAAACCTACATTGGAGATGTTCATCAATTCGGAAATGGTAAAATACTCCTTGCTGTGAAGAACGAAAAACATAAATGTAACACTGTAGCATCTTGCATGACAAGGAAATTAAAATACAAAGAGAACATAGATAGTTCCAAAAAATAAGTTGATATGGTGTGATATGATGTGCTTACGAATGATTATTTATATTACTACTGGAATCTGGATTTCTAAGTTTTAAAACATACGTCTAAGAGATAAACGAAGTTAGTACAAAATGGATAAATAATCACATTCTTTGTGGTAGCTAAGTTATCTTCATCAGAATGAATGCATCATTTGACATTTGAGCTGCTAGTACCATACTATCAACAATACATTATGTTACACATCAAACGTGATGCTTTTTATAATTACAATACAAAGATAACTCCCAAACCCTTTCAGCAGATCCCTCACTTTCTGAAGCTGGATACTACGGTTCAATTATACAAATCAAAATGGTCAGTCGCTGGAGATACCCTTGCCATTCCCCTCTGAGCTAACACCAAGTACTAAAAATCAAGCTACTAAAGATGATTTGGTCAGCTAGGCCGTTTCTTTTTAAAAGCAGGATGTATGATTCCATTGTATGAATCTAGTTCCTCAATTCTAAAAATACATTCTTTCATCCTCTTCAGAACTGTTGGCATAGCAGCAACATTACTGGATATTTTGGCTTTAAGCAAACGTATTTTTTCAGCAGCCTTCTGCTCTTCTTTTACAAGTGTTGCCCCCTTACTTGATTCAACATGTTCTCCTGAATCTGTAAAATGGTGAATTTGTCAAGGTTAAATCACTGTAGGTAAAAGTTTGAAACTGTAGAAAGACAATTAAAGCTTTGAAAACAAACAAAAGTAGGCCATATTTTCATTCCTACACAGGAAAAAGAGGGGAGGAAAAGGAACAGAAAAACGAAGAAGAAAAAGCTAACTTTTACAGCTAAAGATGAGAGGAAGGAGAGATTGCCACATTGAAGAACAGAGTTCACAGTCACTCCTACCACTACCACCACATAAGTTGTTACTTAAGCATTCTAAAACTAAATACCTTCCCATGTTAGTGACATGTCATTTTAAATATTTCACCAAGTACAACTTAAAACAAACAAGTAAACATTAAAAATAGTATTAAGCACTGATGGCTATCCAACATTCACCTAGTTGTGGCCTAAAAGAAGATTAGCCCTGACAATGATGATAACCTCTCTAGTTTGTAAATGGTTAGAGGGGGGGTTCAATGTCCAATTAACAAACTCATAAGTACACATGTCAGATGCAGAAATTAAGAGAACTTACCTTGAGAAATCATAAGTATATGATCCTCCTAGTTAGTATTTACAAAAACAATACAAAGTCAAAACATGCCCATCTGACCATAATACATAGAAAGCATCTCTCGTTTAGTTGAAATTAATTGACATTAATCAATCTTGAAACTATGTATCTTGAGTCGGTTAATTGCATTAACATTCAACCCATCACATTTTACTTATACGAAACAATTTCACAACTCCAGTTTGTGGCTAACAAAGATGCACAAATGCAAGCATTCCCTAAAAGCAGGTGGGACAATGACTTCCCACTTAAAATTCCATAGAATAAAAGGAAAATCAACCGGTCTTACTTCTGTCTAAGGCGTATGCACAGAACATAAAAATTCATATACAAATCCAAAATAGGGAAAACAACTCAACTCAGCTCCACATCCTAATCACCACAGAACACGAAAAAATACTAAATTTTCTCAGCAACTAAGCATATTAAAATTCGATTTCAGAGAAAAACACTAGCTACTCGTATACTCACATAACAAACACTTAAATTGAGTTTCACACTTTCAGAAATATAAACCCTAGAAAGAAAACGAACCAGTGTTATGGTCTCTGGAGGGTCCAGGCTCTAACCCAGACTCAAACCCGGGCAAAACTGGCCTTTGAGATGAAAGAATCGAGGCGAATGTGTTCTTGAGCTGATCTGGAAGTGTTGCTCTGTATTCTAGAATCTTCTGCGCCATTTGCTTCACATCTGACTCCAGCTTCTCTAGGTCTTCTTCTTCGGGTTCGGATTCTCCGGATCCACATTCAGCGCCCCTAATGTCCACTCGGGTTTCGAGTGTTTTCGGTGGGTCGTTTAAAGCCATGTATGGATTGAGGTAGAAGAAGAAAATAAGGTCAATTCTGATTTTTGGAGGGTATTTTGGACGTTAGGGTTTTGAAATTTGAAATTTTCGAAGAAAATAAGGTCGTTGTATTTGTTTTTGACTTTTGTGCTTGTGTAGGTGATCAAAGATGGAATACGGGTACGCGGGGAGGGTGAAGTGCGCACCCTACCATTAACTATAGCGCACTGAGGCGCATCACGCCCTATTTTTCAAACGTTTTCCCATGCTACTAATGCGTACATGTTCCCTAACTATGATGTGACCTTACACGTTCAAGATTCAATAGTATCAGAATGTTTATATCCTGGCCATCCAGGAAAAAAGAAAGGGATATACTGTATATGATTTTCAAATATCTAAACGGCGCCGCTTTTAGGTAGATATAAGAAAAAAGTTAAACAGCGTCGTTTTAAGAAGATATAAAATTTATATTTAAAAAGCGTCGTTTTCACGCAGATATCCAATGCCGCGTTGTTTGGCTATGTACAACGGCTATATCTAAATCGGCGTCGTTTTCAGGCAGATATGTTTGGCTTTATATAATGGCTAAGCCCGCTCAAAAAAAAGTTAAAACTTCTCCCTCTATATTTCAGAAATCACATATGGAAGCCTGTTTGGTAGGTCAGAGGAAAACTCGTCTTTTCTCTCCTTCGTTTTTTCAGGAACCATACAGCAAATTAACCCTAATCATAATGTTTGTTGATCGGAGAAACCGAGATAATGATAGTTATCTCATCATTTTTCCAACTTTCAGAGAAATAAGACAAAATTGGCTTCGTGGACTCCGAGCTCGATGAAGACGTGTTTGGTTTATTCACCTTTATTAACTGTCACTGCTTTAATGGCAAAGTTTCAGCTTTTGATTAACTCCAACGACATTGAGTATTGCTTTTACCATTCGAAATCAAGATTTCGGTTATTGGATTATGGAAGAATTCAGACCTCCATCACCGCCTTCAAAGGTAAAGTCTAATTTATCATGTACTTCTAATTTTAATCTGTAAGTTGATTTTGTTCGGTTATTGAAAAAAAAATAATGTAATTCACAAAAAAAAGTAAAAATTCTGGAAAATTTTACGATATATATGATAAAGATTGAAAGAAAACCTAATTATTTATTCAACTCAAAAGTGCAAAATTACATTTGATTCTGATATGTGTAAAATTGTCTATCAACTTTGTGGTTATAAGTAAGATTCTTGCCCTCTTATTGTGTCCTTTAATTGAATATGAATCTCACAAAAATGCGTAGGTGTAATTTTTTTTGAGCTTTTGAACCATTAGATACTTGTATTTTGTCGACACTAAACTATTAGAGTCTTTCTTAATATTTGTCTTTTGGTTGGTGTTGATATGATCATATATTTTCGTTATTGATGCATAATATTTACCAGAGGATGCAGCCGCAAATGCTTGACTCCGAAGGTCCATATCGGCTGCTTTATTGTTCAAGTAAGGGAGATAGAGCAGGGGTGTTACAGGAGTTAGAGAAAGGGGTTGAACCCAATCTAGCCGACTATGACAAGAGAACAGCTCTTCATTTAGCATCAAGTGAAGGACGGGCTGAAATTGTTCTTTTACTTCTTGAGACAGGAGCAGATGTCAACTCTTTAGATCGCTGGGGTCGCACTGTATGTTTCAATTCATATCTTTCTTTCACCTCTTTGATGTCCTAGACTTTATGTGTGATCTTGGTATTTTCCAATCCTGGCCGTAACTCAAGTTGTTAATGGCTAAAATGGGATTGGCTGCATTTCAGCTGCAAACCTTCAGAATAGAAATGCAAGTTACCATTCACCAGATAAAATTTTATTGGAGGTTTAAAATTGATATAATTATTTTTTCAGCCACTGTCAGATGCCCACAGCTTTGGTCACGAGGTGATTTGCAAGATACTGGAAGCTAAAGGTGGAATAGATCCGGTACTTATTTTTATCAATGCATATGCAGTTGTGTATAAATTTATGTTTATTATACTGTCTGAAGAAAATCATTCTTTTGCCCCACCTGTTTGTTTTGCTAGCTCACCATAAACTTTGTAATGTATTTTTGCCAAAAACACCATTCTATGTTTTATGTATAGCCCATAAGATGCTTTTCATCAGTGATTAGTTTGTTAACCCCGCCATGATGGGCCATCCTCACATCTTCTGATGATTTTCTTTCTTTTTCTGTTTAATACTTCAAATTTTGTAGAAGAACGATTTTTCACTTTTCCTCTGCTGAAACATATTATGTTCAGTGTAGAAAAGGTTACATAGGCATTTTTGCATGCCTTAGTCACTATGTGAGAACATCAGTGGAAACAACTATTTTGCAAGGTTCACAGGACTAATTTAAATCCCTTTTCCATTTTTTCTTGAGACAGGTGGGGCTTGACTCCCAGACTCCTTGCTATGAAATTCATCACACTGAAGTGGACATGGATGAAGCGATACTTATTGGACAAGTAATTTCTTATTTTAATTTCTATCGCAGATATCAAGTGAGGGCATCTTAAACTTTTTTTGATAGTGCCTCATCAGAGCAATCATAATTCTCTTAACTTTCTATATTGTTGGTTATACTTCACCCATAACTAAATTGTGAAGAATTGCAGGGAGCATATGGTGAAGTTTATCTAGTCAAGTGGCGTGGCACAGAAGTTGCTGCAAAAACTATTCGGTCTTCCATTGCATCAAACTCAAGGGTGAGGTGAGTTTCATTTTTATAATAATTTAACGAATTCCTTTACTTCCTCTACTTCTCACTCTCTCCTTGTCTCTTTCTAACTTTCTTTTCTGTGTAATACATGCCGCTTTTTTTGTTTTTTTCTATTAAACCTTCTCAGCTGCTCTTCTGATTAAAATCCAGCTGGTGGAACTACTTTTGGCTGTTCGCCCACTTAAAGGAAGGAGAATAAAGCTTGCAATAGCATATTACTTCTTCATTGTTATGATTTTTATTAAAAGTTTGCTTTGAGGAAGAGGCAGATATGTGATAGAAATATAATAAATTCTCAGTCATCCTCATTTCTTGGAGGAAAATGCAGTTAAATTTTTTTATTTTTTGGAATTCTTAATATTTGTTATTTCAGCATACTTGGAAATTGACTTCTAGATATTTTTTTTGGGTGCTAATAGCATTTATTGAACGTAGAGGTCCGATCTATGTTTTTGTTCATGTGAATTAGAGTGTCAGAATAGTATGTATACAAAATGTAAATCTGTTCGACATTACCTTTTCAGTAATAACAACTTTGAGAATATAAAATTGGTGTTTATATCTTCTACTAAGATCAGTGATTGTGAATTTGAACTATGGTTACCTAATTTGACAGGATAGTTAAGTTTTAACTTTCTTCTCTGGGCCTGAATTTTTAACAGGAGTTTCTTTCATGAAGGAATTGGGTTTGTGGCAAACATTGCGCCACCCTAATATAGTGCAATTCCTTGGTGTCCTAAAGCGTTCTCAGCGCTTGATCTTCCTTACAGAGTATCTCTTGCAATGTGAGTTTTGCATTTTAAATCATGTTTTATAGTATATATATTTTGCAAGTGCCTGATTTCTCTTTCTTCTGAGTGTGCTAGGGAAGTTTGCATGATATATTAAAAAAGAGAGGAAGAATAGATCCACCAACAGCGTTTCTTATTCTTTAGATATTGCAAGGTACATTTTCCCAACATTTATCCTGAAGTTTATTGGCAGAAGCTTTGACTTTAGCATCAACTTTATTGATAAGATATTGATGACTTATCCTGTCTATCAAAACATGATAAATGGCCTGAACGATGCATGGATAATCTAACATGAAAACCATGTCATATGAATTTGAATGTGAAAACATGATGCATGGCCTGGTGTGCGCATCATCATGTTAAATAAAAAAATTAAAATTAAAGAATTGTGGAAATTTATGGATGATAAGAATACTGTATGATTTTTTTTTTTTTTTTTTTTTTTAATTCTCATCCTCTTGGTTTTATGCAACTGTTGAATATATCATCTTTATTTACTTTATTTTTATTTATTGTACTTTTAAATCAACATTAAGTCTGTTGTATTTCATTTCTTGAAAATATGGCCTTTCGTTAATTCAACATACTATACTGGTCTTGATTTATGTAAAATCATAATGATTTCTTATAGTAGTGATGGAACTCCCTGTAAATAAACCACAGCAATGCACACACAGCACACAAACACAGGAATTGCACAAATGAAGAAATGGAAGTTTATATTAATGGAAGCTAAGATAGGAAAACCACCACAACTACAAGAAAGAAAGATCAACAGATTCCCAGCAATTCGAGGAGCTGGGGACCTCCTAAACCGCAATGATATATTTCCAGATATCCTCCCTCCTTACTTTCATCTTCTTAAATAGTCAATTCTTCAACAAACTGTCAGCCAGTGTCCTTTTCTATAACAAACTTCCCTTGTACGTGTCCCTTTTCACAACAGATTTCCCTGCCTAATCCCCCTCCTTGCACCGTCAACATCCTCTACTGGACTCTCACTTATTGTACTCTTGCCCCTCTTCCTTCCCTTGCCCTTGGACTCATAGACCTTACGTATGGGGGTCTAACAAGTAGTAAGAAAGGAAAATTCTGAAATGTTGTCTCTGATTGTGTTCAGTTTGCTTAATTAAATGTTGAATTTTCAGTGATTCATAATTTTACTTGACATGCTTGGTATATGTCATATTAGTTGTTGCTGGCTCTACTTTGCTTTTGTGTAATCCATATACATGTAACCTGTTATTAATTCCTATGATGGATTGATTTTTTTCAAAATCTTGTAGAGGTATGAACTATCTCCATCAGCATAAACCACATGCTATAATACACCGCGATTTGACACCAAGGTATTGCAGTTTATATCTTTCTGTCAATGGCACGTTGAAAGCATTTAAGTTTGAAATATTCTGTATGTCAGATCATTAAAAAATTTCAACCAAGCCTTTGACTTTGGATGTGGGTTCAGCAAGTTCTGGATTCACTAAGTTTTCTCACATTCCTCTCTTTTTGGGAATCACAGCAATGTGTTACAAGGTGAAGCAGGGCGCCTCAAGGTGACAGACTTTGGATTAAGCAAAATTGCGCAAGAAAAAGATTCATATGGTTACAAAATGACTGGAGAAACGGGTTCATGTAAATATTCTTAATTCATTGAAATTTTATGCAATTTTTCAATTTAAATGGTTGCTTAGAGCTGTATAATATCTGCCAGATCGTTACATGGCACCTGAGGTTTATCGTCGAGAATCATATGGGAAGAGTGTTGATGTGTTCTCCTTTGCAGTAATTGTCTATGAGGTAACTTATCTGTTGGAACTCATTTATAATATCGAACTCGTTTCCAATTAATCAAGCAGATAAACTTATCTAGCTAGTTTCTCATTATGCATGGCAGATTAACTGTGATTGGTTTGGCATTTAATATGTGGTTGTTGTGGGTTTGTTTTCCATTGCAGATGTTTCAAGGGGGACCAACTAATACAGCAGAAACTGGAATACAGATTGCCGATAAGCGAGCTTATGAAGATTCCAGACCGCCTCTCTCATCAACTTTATACCCTGAACCAATCAAGGCGTAAGTTCTCTAAGATAAGTTACTTGAAACTGTTAACAAAATTTAATATAAACAGTTATTGCATATGGCACTGTAGAGTTGTGCCTTATAAGAATTGTGAAAGAGACATGGAGCCCGATCGAGTTGGTTTATGACCGCAATACCTCCAAAACATTGATTTCCAAGCACAACTGTCAAGGCATAGCCTGCATAATCTGGTTTGAGAGACAGTTATCAGTAATACAAGATGGAGTTGATTAATGATAGCATTTCCAATATCATTACAATTTATCAACTCAAAAAACCAACTTTGGGATGTAGATTTTAATTATCATGCTAGATTCCTTTGTTGATAACTTTCAATGAGAACTTGTATTTAACATGATTAATTTTGTTCTAAACTGCCATTGTTTAAATTAGGCTTCTCCAGGATTGCTGGCACAAGAATCCAGATTGTCGACCAACATTTGAAGAAATAATCTCACGGCTAGAGGTTATCCAAGAAATTTTGGAAAAGAAGAAATCCAATCCATCGTGCTGTAGTTGTATCATCTTATAAAACAAATTGAATAGTAACAAACATATTTTCAGCAGATGCCTTTTCATTTTAATTGATTGTATTACTATTGTATGTCTCCCCTTTGCACGTGTAGTTTTCTTTCTCAATTTTAACTTTTGTCGGATGTACTTTCTTTTTACCTACAGTGAACAATATCTTGAAGAAGATCAATCACAAAGTTTGTACAAAAAATATGGGGGATTCCAGATTGACATCCGATTTCGATCTACTTTTTGTGTAGCTAGTTGAGCTTGGGCTGTTCTTTTTCAAATGATTCTTTGCATTTGTAATATTTCTGTATTTATTATTTAATACATGGACAGTTTGACACTAGGATTCCCAGCACGTCACACTTTCAGGAAAAGAATGGCTTCCCTTATTTGTTTACTTGTGCTGATCTCCAACTGATGGTGTATAAAATCTTATGTGCCATTTGCTACACATCTCTCTCTATCAATTTCAAATCTTTCTTTTATTATTATTAATTCAAAAATTTAAATACTAATTGGTTATCACTTATCACTATAGTCTCACTCACTCACTAGAGGTCCCCGATTCTAATCGGGGTTCATACATATTTTAATAAAAGGCTTGGGCTTGAATTTGTTTTTTGGGTTCAGACCTTTTAAACTAATGGCTCGGCTGTGTTTTTAGGCTCAGACATATTTTTAAATAAAAGGCTTTTTTAAAAAAATATATATATATTTTGTGGTTTCTATTTACTTCAAATTATATTTCAAAGAAGATTGAAACTTTATTATAGATTAATGTTATACTTATAATTTAATCATATAAATAGACAAAAAATAAAGAATAGAATAGTCATTTTACATAAATTTTATGTAATTTTTGTTTATTCATATGATTCAGTTATAAGTAAAACATTATTGTATGACTTATAATAATCTTTTGAGAATTATCATTTTGGGTTGGTAGGAGTGAGCGAGACAAAAGGGTGCAGAAGAGGAGTTGCTACATCATAATAAAAAAGTTGGGCCTGCTATGCTATGCTCCAGACTCCAGAGTGGGTGTTATACTGTAATTTTAATTATGATTACCTCAAGTTTGATTTCGCGGATTTTGTCCAAGAACCTTACAAGTTATAAATATGCTCGTATGAACCATGAACTACTTCAGCATAGTCATTGTTTGGCTAAGAAATGTATGGTACATCGTCTGGGTGGTGTAGTTGGTTATCACGCTAGTCTCACACACTAGAGGTCCCCGGTTCGAACCCGGGCTCAGACATATTTTAATAAAAAGCTAGGGGTCGACATAATTTTTTGGGTTCAGACATTTTAAACTAAAGTCTCGGCTGTGTTTTTGGGCTCAGACATATTTTTTAACAAAAGGCTGTTTTGTTTTGTTTTTTTTTGAGTTAAAAAATCAAAGAAAAAAAAAGGCTTTTTGTTAAAAAAGGCTCAGTGACAGTGTCTGCTTTCTGCATTCTGTTTGTAGAATTTAGATTTCTCCGGAAATGCAAATTCAAAGACTTTCACTTCCAAATCACATTCTTATTCCACACTCTTTGTCCCCTCTTATTTCTTACTCGGCTTTATCCTCAATACACCACCCCACCAAACTTGTTTTGANGCCTTATTTGTTTACTTGTGCTGATCTCCAACTGATGGTGTATGTGCCATTTGCTACACATCTGACTCCATCTTCTTAAGTCCTCTCTATCAATTTCAGTACTCTTTTGAGTCGTATTAACGTGAGATATTTAGAGTTTTTTGTGGATCATTCAAACAGAGTAGAAGAACGAATCAGTTGGATTTTGATTTATGGAGGCTTTTTTTTTTTTTTTTTTTTTAATTTGAAAATTTTCTATTTGTGTGTTTTTAGTGTGCGAGAGAGGAATAAAATGGTAGCGTACAGCTAGTGAAGTGCTTTGTGCCTAGATTCTAGAAACATATGAGTGTTTGTTCCTTGCTGTGAATCGCAGACAGAGCGTTGGGATATAGAAGGGAAGTTTTATACAATTTTTAAATTTAAATGGTTGCTTAAAGCTGTATAACATGTGACAGATTGTTACATTGCACCTGGGGTTTATCGTCGAGAATCATATGGGAAGAAAGTTGATATGTTCTCCTTTGCTGTTATGGTCTATGGGGTAACTTTAAAGCACAAATTTATCTTTTGTTATCTGTTGGCAATTCATTTATATTGAACTCATGCTTTGCATGGCAGATTAAGAGTGATTGGTTTGGTGTCCAATATGCGGTTTTCATTACGGATGTTTCAAGGGTGACCCTAATCTCGTTTTCTCTCGTTTACCCAGGTGTCAAACAGGAAATTAACCATAGCGCTAACCCTAATTTCGATGTTTGTTAATAGAGAAATCAAGGCAACGATACTTATCTCATTACTGTTTCAAATTTCAAACAAATAAGACAAACATTGACCTTGTGGACTCCGAAGCATTTGAATGATTCACCATTATTAATTACTACTTATGACGCTTTGGTTCACTCAGACAAAATTCTGTATGGTTTTTGCAATTCGAAATCCTTTGATTATGGAAGAATTCAAACCTCCATCACTGCCTTTAATCTGTTTAAGTTTGTACCTGAAATCTATGTGTTGATTTTGCTCGGCTTTTGGAAAACAAAAAAAAAAAAAAAATCACTTGGTCGAAATTTACCATAGATGACAAAGATCCAAAGAAAGCTAATTATCTATCCTGTAAAATTTCATTCAATTCTGTTATGGGTTAATCAAAAGAAAACCTAATTAATTGTTCAAACATAAAATTGCAAGATTTACCAAGTTCTGTTTTGTGTTGAATTATCAATCAACCTCATATAATAAGTTAATATCTGCAATTTCTAAGGAAACATTGTCTATTAACTCAATTTCAAAACTGATTTTGATTCATTGACCTTATGTTTATAAGTAAGATACTTGTCCTCTTATGTGAATATGTGTCACAGAAGATGCATGTATGTAATATTTCCTACTTTATGCAAGCATTAGAATAGTCAGATTCTTGTATTTTGAGGACACTAAGCCTGGTCTTTCTTAAGATGTGCCTTTAGTAATATAACAGTAAACTGTTGCTTTTAGGCTCATGGACTAATTTGATTTATTAGTATTTATCTAATTGAAACCCTTGTGCCATTTTGTGTGAGATAGTTTTGGCTTGAGTTGCAGAGCCTGTGCTCTGAAATTGATCACACCGAAGTGTACTTGGAAGAAGCAAAGCTTATTGGACGAGTAATTTCTTATTTTAATTTTTTTCAGGGAAATATCAAGTGAGGGCACCATAAAACCATTTTGATATCCCACATCTTAGCAAATGGAACTCACGACATCTTTATGTTGTTTTTCATATTTGTACTTCTATTTAAATTGTGAAGCATCTGCAGGGAGCATTTAATGAAGTTTATCTAGTCAAGTGTTGTGGTACAGAGGTTGAAGCAAAGACCATTAAGTCTTCCATTGCATCAAATCCGAGGGTAAAATGTGATGTTCCGTTATATCTCTTTCTTTTCCGTTTCAGGACTAAATATATGACTTTTGATTTGTTTTTTTGATAAGCTTCCGGTGCTGCTCCTTTGATTAAGTCTCGTGTCAATTTGAGTGTTTTAAATAGTGATGTGCAAACATTTGGAGAACGGTTCAGTCTATTTGATATCACCTTTTCTGTTAACTTTGAAATTTAATAACTTTTCTGAATACTCTTTTAATAGGATTATTGAGATTTGCTTTTTGTTACCTAATTTGACAAGACCAATTCCAACTTTTCTTTCTTTCATTATTGAATAGGGGTGAACGGTTCCAGATACCCTGCATTTTTTGAGAGAATCGAAACCAGAACCGCACAGTACATGTTCCCCAAAAAAGGAATCGAAACTGGAACTGCACAGTGCAGGTTCTTCAATTCAAGGAACTGGAACCTAAAATGCAGGTTCCCGTTCCTTTCCAGGGTACCCTGTAAAAAATCAATTACCCCCTTATTAGTTTAAAAAATAACAAAAACACCTTATAAGTTTACAAATACACCCCTAACAAATTTTCATTATTCATTCATTTGTGTCCAATGTAACTCATAACCTGTAATCTCTAAGTAACACTTGAATTGTCAATCATTTAATTAAGTATTGTAATAATGTTTATAATGGAATGTTATAATTGATTAAGTAATCATATTACAAATATATAAAGTAATGTTATAATTAATTAAATTTTTAATCGTTTAATTAAGTAATGTAATAATATAGTAAATTAGTAAATTACTAATGTTTATAATGTAATGTTATAAATTCATAACTAATTATGTAATTATGTAATCATTTAACTATATAATGCTATAAATATTGAATATTTAACAGAAATTCTTCTATGAAGGAAGCCATCCTAGTACCTGAAAAAAAGGGGACATAAGCGGCAACAGAGCAACACAAGATTCCTACCAACCAGAAGCCCAAAGAGAGAACCAAAAGAACACAACCAGCCGCACAACGTAGACTTGCTCGAGCTTTTATGGTTATTCACTAATTTGATACATAACCAAAATAGACTTTTGAAATATCTTATGGCCGATCGGTATGCACCTATCCATAGTTTGTTATAAAGACAAATTAATGTCCAAAAAGTTTGAGAATGACAAATACCCATTTTCCATCAAGTTTTGTTAGTGAATCCCAATGTGTTAAATTTGCATTTGTCGGCAAAATGCAAATTCAAAGACTTTCACTTACAAATCACATTCTTATTCTACCCACTTTGTCTCCTCTTAATTTTTACTCGTCTTTATCCTCAATACACCACCCCACCAGACTTATTTTGAATCCCAGTTCAAAAGCTGGGTTTGTATTGTGTTCCCACTTCAGTCTTTGGCAGTTTCATATTATGTTCTATAAAATTTGAAGGCGGCTTTGCTTTTTAATTTTTTTTTTTCCTCGTTAAGAAAATACTTTTCAAATGCTATCCAGTATAAGTCTTGGATTTACTCATGTGCTTGTGAAACTATTACGGTTTCAGCTAAATGTTGCTTTCAATCGGCATGATTTGTTTAAGAAACTGTTGCTGAAGAATTTGAGCCAGGAGGTGAAACTTGCAGGTATTTGCTCTGAGAGATGCTTTCTTTCTCAATTTTGCTGGCGATTATATAAGTATTATAGAGATAATACTTAATATTATTTACACCCCTAAATTACAAACATGTAACAATTACCTTCACCAACTTAAGAATTAGCCATTTATATCTCCTATCTTCAATTTTTATAATTACCAAAAAAAAAAAAAAAAAAAATTACTATTATTATTTAGAATAACAACAATGCCCTGATGTGAGATAGAGTTTATAACTTTTAGCTCCTGAAAATGCCAGAGTGGAGAAATCCCCGATATACTCCTGAAATTAGATAAAAGGGGAACAGACCAGATTGCCCCTTTGTAAAAAGGATAAATTAAATTAGAATGAAAAAAAAAAAAATGGAAAGAAGAAAGAAGACAACCCGTTTCAGAAAATTTTAATTCCATTCTACATTAACACGCACTTTGAACCTCAGGAAGAAAGTTAGCAGTTTATAGAAAATAAAAAAGAAAATAATGATCCGTTTAAGGAAAAAAAAAAAAAACTAAAGTCAGCTTTTAAACTCAGATTTTGAACACCACCGTCCTCCCGCCATCAATTTCTCACACAAAATCTCCATCTTTATCCAAATCAACACACAACATCATCACCTATACCTAAACCAACAGAAAAGCACCAACAAAATCACACCCATTAATCTTCTTAACCCAATCACCACCCTTGCCAAAATCAACACACAAAAAGCATCACCAAAGATCCGACCATAAAGCTTTTAAACAATCCCTCTTTACCAAAATCAACACAAAAAGCCACTGCAAATGAATACCAATATCAACCATTACAACACCCAAAACGGAAACGTGAAAGGGGGATTGGGATCGGGTCTGGCTGCTGCAAAAAATATAGAGACTAGTGGGCTGGGGCTCTAGGGACTTGTGAAGAACATGGCGGTAGGTAGGGGTGGATTGTAGGGGCTGGTGAGGGTTAGACGGTGGAGAAGAAAACGGCGGTTGCAACAGGCCGAATCGCACCCCGCCAAATGGATTAACAAAAGTAAAAAGTGAAAGTAAAAAAAGGTTACTGAAATTTCACAGCAAAGACAAGAAGATGAGAACTTGAACTATATTTATAAGGGGGGCAACTTTAAAACTCAGGGTCTATTCAATTATATTAAGTTGCCAATTAGGTTAAATCACAACATGACATTTAAACAAAGTTCAAATACAAGTTCAGTTATGGCCTTCTCGAGAATAATTTGCAAAATGGCCCCGATGATGATATTTAGGATGTTGATCACTGTAACTTTCCGACGGAGCTGTTTTTGATACGCTTCCAGAAATCTTGGCTTTGCTTTCTCCGTACTCTTTGTCTCGATTTACCACTTGTGTTTTTGCAGGAGAAGCGTTGGGGAAAGCGTTCTGGGTATTGATGTGATCAGTATGAGCAACAAGAGTTCTTCTCATCAAGCACTCTTCATCTGAACCTCCTTGGCAGTCTTCTTCCGCAACATTATCCTATCAAAACCCCATAAACATATCTAAATCAACACAGTAAGGATAAATTTATTTCTGCAGAATATAAACATCAAAAATCAACTTACCACTTGTGTTTTTGCAGGAGAAGCGTTGGGGAAAGTGTTCTGGGCATTGATGTAATCAGTATGAACAACAAGAGTTCTTCTCATCAAGCACTCTTCATCTGAACCTCCTTGGCAGTCTTCTTCCGCAACATTATCCTATCAAAACCCCATAAACGTATAAAAATCAACACAGTAAGGATAAATTTATTTCTGCAGAATATAAACATCAAAAATCAACTTACCACTTGTGTTTTTTCAGGAGAAGCGTTGGGGAAAGCGTTCTGGGTATTGATGTGATCAGTATGAACAACAAGAGTTCTTCTCATCAAGCACTCTTCATCTGAACCTCCTTGGCAGTCTTCTTCCGCAACATTATCCTATCAAAACCCCATAAACATATATAAATCAACACAGTAAGGATAAATTTATTTCTGCATAATATAAACATCAAAAATCAACTTACCACTTGTGTTTTTTCAGGAGAAGCGTTGGGGAAAGCGTTCTGGGTATTGATGTGATCAGTATGAACAACAAGAGTTCTTCTCATCAAGCACTCTTCATCTGAACCTCCTTGGCAGTCTTTTTCCGCAACGTTATCCTATCAAAACCCCATAAACATATATAAATCAACACAGTAAGGATAAATTTATTTCTGCAGAATATAAACATCAAAAATAAACTTACCACTAGTGCTTTTGCAGGAGAAGCGCTGGGGAAAGCTGGTTGTGGACGAGCGGCGTAGGTTAGTGTTGATAAGAGTCCGAGGAGTAGTATCATGAAGAGGGTGGCAACCTTGATGTTAGCCATTTTTATTTTTAAACTCTGGAATCTGTATGTCCCTCTTCGAGTAGGAGAGAAAGAAAGAACTAAAAACAGCACCACAAGGCAACTGTAGGGAGAAGAGGAAGTTATTTATAATCCAGGAGATTCATAAGTTGGTGAGTGAGCAATTTTTGTTTCGTAAGTTAAATGGACCCAGATTCTTTAAATATCAGAAATCATATATTATTATGTTCTAATGTGAACACAACGGACTAATCGGGGTCAAAAAACAGCTGCTTCCTATTGGTTTATCGGGGTCAAAAAACAGCTGCTTCGTATTAGTTTAAAACTCTAAATATTTCGTCTATCGCTTTCGTAGAGTTAAGATTCAAGAACATTCTAGTCCGGTGAAAATAAATGTAATCCTCCGATTCTAAAAGGTAAATTAAAAGAATGAGGTAAGACCATCTCCAACTCATTGCACTAATTTGGTGTAAAATTATATTATATTGGTGTAAATTTTAGTGTAAAATACTATTCTATCTCCAATCTACAACATCAAATATTACATCAAAAAAAATATTCTTTAGAATATTCTTTTTTTCTTTTATTGTAATAATCAACAATTAATCTATTTCACTCATTATTTTTGTATATATTATTAAATATTGGGAATGATATTTTTATTAAATAATAATTATTTTAAAAATTATACTAATTTAATAGAATTAAGTATTTATTTAATCAAATAAACATTACATTTAATATAAAAAAACATTATAGAAAAACATTACATCTAATATAAAATGATACAACAAAAAACAACAACAACACAAAGGTAAAATTCCATATTGATAGTAATTTAATTTTTATTTTGAGTTATTGTAGTTTAATATTTACATTGAATAAAGTTCTATTTTTAATTTTTAATTATTTTTTAAATTATATCATTATTATAAATTTATTATTATAAATAATAATCAAATTTAGTGTGATTTTGGGTGTAAAATTTAATACTCAAATTAACTTAACAAAATTAAAAACAAAAAACAAAAAACCAAAATTAAAAAAAATATATATATTTTTTATTTGTGCTACAGCACTGCACCAAAATGGTGCAGTGTTTGGCGTGGATTGGAGTAATTTGGTATTTTTTACACCATTTTGGCGTGGGTTGGAGATACCCTAAGTAATACAAAATTAGGGTTTCCAATTCATCACCTTATTTTCCTATTAACAAAAAAAAAAAAAAAAAAAAAATTAAGAGGAAACAAAATCAATGAATGTAAATGTTCCTGCATTATTGCTTTTTATAACAGTTTTATCTAGCAGGCAACTACATACAAATATAACTGCAATACATTATATAAAATGTATACCCACTTTTCTTCATTAAAGTGTATAAAAAATTTAATATAAATAAAGATCCCTTAACTATTTTTTTTAACAATTGTTGAAAATTTTCGTGTGTATGTATAATGGCTCACAAAGTAAGTTAGATGTTATCCCACATTCTGGGTATGAATTAATATGTAGACAAAATTGACCACTTAAAGTGGCGTTATTATGACAGAAAAAGAAAGGTATGAAAAAATTGACCACTTAACATCATTATCTCATCGATTGAACGAGACTTTAAATTCCTTTGATGAGAAAGAAATCCAGTTGCCTTAACTTATGGTTATGGATGAAACCGGGAGATTTACCAACTTTTGCCATGAGGATTATTACTTCATATTTCCAATCCATCACCACCACTTTTTCCAAAGATAAGTACAATATTTTCCTGGGATGAAGATAATAAATGTGTGCGTGCGGAAGCAAAGGTACTTTCATTTTTTTAACCATCATAATTAAATATTTTAGTTTGGTTTTGCACGTCTCCTTATTTTATTATTTCTGTCCTATCTTATCTAAAATATATATTTATTTACATATACTCAAAATTTAATTCTATTCTATTTAATTATTTTTAAACCCTCTAAAGTTTTTAATTTAACTAAATATTCACAACAACAGAAAAAAATTTAAGGATTGACAAAAACATTATTTTCACCCACATTTGTCAGATTCTGACTAATTCCACCATATGCTGAAGAACCTTGCAAGTTACAAACAAGGTTCTGAAAACCGGACTAGACCGTCCGGTCAGACCGGTTCGACCGGTGACCGACGGCATTTCCGATCCAAAATAAGTAAAAAACCGTTATTTGCATTTAAACCAGATTGGACCGCGGTTGGACCGCCAGAATAATGCCGAATCGCGGTTGAATCCCGCCGGATTCTGGCACCGATCGAGGGAGAAATCACCGCCATTAGACTTGACGGCATCTCCACTACAAAACCCTGCCATTTTCAGTGGCCGTCGTCCAGCCATCGTCGCTCGCCGTCCACCGAAACTTCACGCGACCGTCAGAGTTATTTTGTTGATTCCGGCGATTTCCGGCGCCGATGGAACTCCTTGGCACCATCATCAGAGTCGCCGGCACCTACACATCAAAAGCCCCAAGATTCCAGCTTCGATTGGCCGTCGATCGTCGCTGCCGTCACCACTCACCAGAATCTTCGCATGACAGGGGTGTTTTAGATAGATTTCAAACCTTAAGGGAGTATTAAGGGGTGTTTTTGATGAATTTTAAACTTTTAGGGACTAAAATGTAATTTTACAAATTACGGTCCAACCGACCGATCCAACCGGTCAAACCAGAAACCGGACCCTTGAACGGGTCATTGTCCGGTCCGGTTTTCAGAACATTGGTTACAAATATGCTCGTATGAACTATTAGCACTTCACCATAGTCATTGTCTAGTCATAGGTAACAAAAATTAAATAATTATATATTATAGATACAGGTGCCTATAACACGTCGTCTGGGTGGTGTAGTTGGTTATCACGCTAGTCTCACACACTAGAGGTCCCCGGTTCGAACCCGGGCTCAGACATATCTTAATAAAAGGCTTGGGGTTGACTTTGTTTTTTTTGGGTTCAGACATTTTAAACTAAAGGCTCGGCTGTGTTTTTGGGCTCAGACATATTTTTTAACAAAAGGCTGTTTTGTTTTGTTTTTTTTTGAGTTAAAAAATCAAAGAAAAAAAAAGGCTTTTTGTTAAAAAAGGCTCAGTGACAGTGTCTGCTTTCTGCATTCTGTTTGTAGAATTTAGATTTCTCCGGAAATGCAAATTCAAAGACTTTCACTTCCAAATCACATTCTTATTCCACACTCTTTGTCCCCTCTTATTTCTTACTCGGCTTTATCCTCAATACACCACCCCACCAAACTTGTTTTGAATCCCAGTTCAAAAGCTGGGTTTTGTAATTCACTCACAACAGTATCCAGATCACTTACTTGTTTGAGAAAATATGGTGATTCAATTCGTGTCAGCTGTGGAGTGGTTCAAGATAATGAGGATGCCTTTTATATGAGGAGATGCGTTGAGCTGGCGAGAAAGGCAATCGGGTGTACAAGTCCCAACCCAATGGTTGGTTGTGTGATTGTTCAAGATGGAAAGATTGTTGGTGAAGGGTTTCATCCTAAAGCTGGCCAACCTCATGCTGAGGTAACCCAGTTTTTTTTGGCAAGTTTTTGTTTGTTTGTTTTGGATTTTTCATGCGAGGTTTACATATTTTGATTCACTTGGTTTCTTTATTTATTTTTCTGAGAAAATTGAGTAATCGGGGAAAATGCTTAACTTTTTGAGTCAAATATCTGAATTTGTCAGTTGAATTGATATTTTTGTTTACTGTGTTTCCAGTAACCGCTAGTGTTAATACCAATATTTTGTTTTCTATTTAAAATATAGCCACTTCGGCCCTTGGCAGTTTCATATTATGTTCTAGAAAATTTAAAGAAGGCTTTGGTTTTATGTATTCCACTTTGGCATATATATATATATATATATATTAATTTTTTTTTTCCTCATTAATTAAATTCTTCTCAAATGCTATCCAGTATACGTCTTGGATTTACTTGTGTGTTTGTGGAACTATTACGGTTTCAGCTAAATGGTGCTGTATATAAGCTTTCAATCGGCGTGGTCTGTTTAAGAGACTTTTCCTGAAGAATTTGAATCAGGAGGTGAAACTTGCAGGTATTTGCTCTGAGAGATGCTGGGGACTTGGCTGAGAATGCTACAGCATATGTGAGCTTGGAACCGTGTAATCACTATGGAAGAACTCCACCATGTACTGAAGCTATGATTAAAGCTAAAGTGAAAAGAGTGGTGGTTGGAATGGTGGATCCAAACCCAATTGTAGATTCAAAAGGGTTAGATAGGCTGAGAGACGCTGGAATTGACGTGACTGTGGGCATAGAAGAACAATCATGCAAGCAGCTTAATGAGGCGTTTATTCATCAAATGTTAACAGGGAAACCTTTTGTTACAGTAAGGTAAACATTTTTTTTTTTATCATGAATCTGGCATATGTATTGACACATGTAGCAATTGTTCAATAAATTCTAAGTTTGTGGGTTCAAATTTACTTGCTCGGTTTAACATTTTAACCACTGCTCTTGAGTGATAACATGTGAAACTAGTCTAATTAAACTGATTTCCAGGTATTCTCTCTCAGTTAATGGCCACCTTCTGGACCAACTTGGAGAAGGAGTTACGGAGTCTGGTGGATACTACTCGCAGTTGTTGCAAGAATATGATGCAATTATACTTTCTGCCTCGTTGACTGAGAAGTTCTCAATACCTGCATCTCATGAACCTGGTGCTAATCAACCCCTTAAGATTATAACAGCTACTAATCCTAGTTCTCTAATCCAATTTCCTCCTCTCACTGAAGAAACTGCTTCTAAAGTAATAGTATTTACAGACAGAGAGGCAACTCTGGAACCTGAAACAGCTAAAAAGGGAATTGAAACTGTGGTTCTGAATCAGATAACTTCAAATGCAATTCTGGAATACTGCAAGCGCAGGGGATTGAACAGTGTTTTACTGGATTTGAGAGGTAATTATGCTGATCTTGAAATGCTTCTCAGAGAGGGTATTGAGCAAAATCTGATGCAAAAGGTCATAGTGGAAGTCTTGCCAGTATGGCATGAAGGTGATGGTGGGAATACACTTGCCCTACTAAATGGTTTACAGAACGGATTAGAAGTGAAGAAATTACAGCCTAAGATATCAAGTCAGAGCATTGTGCTTGAGGGATACCTCCGGTATGGGTGATTAGAACCCCCGGAAACAGAATGCATCAGCTCCCGCTTCATGTTGGAGTTGGTTTGTCTATTGAATGTCAAAACGGCAACCTCTCCGGGAAGTTCCTAAAGAAGCTAGCTGGGATGCAGTGTTATCTCATTTTTATTTTGGTTTGGTGCATAGCTTCTTGATCAACATTCTATCCTCCACAACAATTTTTTGCTCAATTTACGATCTTCCGCATCTGCTTTTTGTTGGCTTATTTTATGTTCTTGTCCAGAATTTCTTGCAAGCTTGAATGAGCAACACTAAAAGTTACATCTGACCTCGTTAATAATGAATATAAATTATGAAATGCACAATCAGATTTAATTTCAAACTTGGTAGATCTTGTGTTTGTGACTGCTTACGAGGAAGTGCTTGGGAAAAGTTTTTAACTTGGTGTTTGGAATTTATTTTTCTTTTCTAATCCGTAACCTATCTTGGCTGAAATACCCATGACTGTAATAGTTAATATGCTTTAGTTTTGTGATGTTAATTCAATCTAATCTCTAGTGTACAGATTTAATGGTCTAAATGTTAAATACCCCTCGTAAATTATGTTGATTTCTTTGAAGAAAAATGATTTAATGATTTATGCTCGTTGCCATAAGGTTAGTATGCCATATCAAGGTAACATTACTTTCAAGGTCACCCTACAATTCAGCACAGCTTGTCCCGCATTTAAGATGCCAATCTGTAACAGGTGTGTCCAAATGCCATTGGACTAATTTACACAGATAAAACTGTACTAAAGTTATGAATTTAGTATATATACATCAAAAGTGACGTTTCCTGGCTGCCTCACTTCATATACACATATATGCAAGTTCCAGAGATCAGCTGTAATATGTCATCTGGATGCAGAAGGGAGGTAACTCCAAGCTTCCGACAATATGAAAGCATTTAGGCAGCTTATTCTGTTGCCCATGTAAAGATGTAGATTGACTTTCCTGTCTACTTCACGAGTTAGGCCGACCATTATGTGAATGCTCAAAAGAATGGCTCTTTCGTTTTGCAGTTATCTGTGCTTGAATAACTTTCTGAGTTGTTATTACTTCCTCAATGTTGCTCTGAACAAGATTGCAAAGTTCATCCAGGGCTAACACTGGAAAAGGTTCTTCAATAAGTACCCCAACCTACAGAAATCAACTATCAGATTCATATTCATGTTTGACATGTAACATATGCAATATATCTTCACAAATGAATGGCGGGTAGCAAATTGGATATTTGTCACGACTTGCACTAAAGAAGCAAGGCGTTTAGGTTGCCAGAAAAATTAGTTATTTGGTATCTCCATACCCATAGCAGAAGTAGAACTTCCAAAACTCTTTTAAGGCAAAGGAGAGAGTAGAGCCAAATCAAGACTGCCTCGTATTCTTCCTATTTGCCTAGAATAGCACTGAGGATGAAGGGTACAAGAAGTCTATTTGGGCCTACAATGGAAAATTTCATGCATGGGAATATGCAAGCATTATAGCCTCCTTATTGGACTAACAACTGTGACAGCTAGTCCCTTCTCGGCTCTCGCTTTATTTTTTACTTTTATCTTGAAGCGGCCTTGCCAATTCAGTATAGTAGGAAGTCAAATGGAAGCCAATACAAACCAACTTCAAAAAAATTGAATGAGAGATCATAGGCAACAGAAAGTAAATTTATATTAGTAGACACAGTAACATCTACATTTGATGGCAAAGAGAAAGAGATACGTACTTCTTCTATGCAGAACAAAGATGCAGCACTGATGAAAGTTGCAGGAACCACTATCCAATGGCAATCATCCCAAAGTATGATTGGAAGAGTCAGATGCCAGAGAACTAGAAACCTTGATGTCAAGCGTGTGTATGAGAGGGGGATAGGAATACCCATGAGTTGTTCACATATACCAATTCCTTCATGAAAACAAGAGATCTTTGACTCCTGCACCATTACAAGGGCAATTAAGATGAAGATTTTGATAAAAGAAACTCGGTTCGGGATCGCTATCTGCCATTTGGACATCATTTTTTAATTTATGAACTCATTCATTAAAGATAAAGAGTTTCCCTAGTTGCCTTTTAAGAATCAACAATTTTTTCATGAAACTATAACCCAAATGAAAATCTGAGTATTTATCTAATGCAAGAAGAGAGATACCAAAATAGTTCTCCTGGATTCCTCTAAGTTTAGCAATCGCAGGCTTTGGGAAATGAATTCAATAATGCAGCGGGGCCGATGCTTTGAACTAAGTACTACTGCCAAATCATCTCCATCAAGCAAAGTTTTGAGATCTCTACCGATATCTGAGCCATAAATCACGTGACACTGCACAGGCAAAAAAAAAAAAAAAAAAACACCAGGCTGTATTACCAACTGCATCGGAATTTATAATGCAGAAATATCTCCCAAGGTAATGACAAAAAATGAACTCTTTGACTAAATTTTACTGAAACATAAAGTCATATCAAGCCTTCCGAGTTCCGCCGTCACACCAATAAAAGTACTGAGAATCTATGAAATTTTCATTAAAAGCAATACAAAAATGCATCCAAGAGGTTGCTGAAGACTCCCTCTAAACTAAGGAGATACTATTTCACAAGTTCTAGATTCTCTTTCCCCTCATCCTTTCATAGAAAAGAAAACAACTTTGATGAAAATAATTTTAATTGGCTCCAAAGAATCACAATATCCTCGAGTCTCAACCTTCTAAAACATTAAAATTAAGCAGGTAATACGCAGAAAAGATCAAGAATTAATGCATTACTCCACGACTAACAACGGCAAGAAAGAGAGGACCACCTTAAGAGCAACCGGGAAAGCCATAATATAGCGCAAAAGCGCATCCTTAATAGAGTCATCAGCAGAATCGTCAACCCCAGAAATGAGCATCCTAGCAAAATCATTCGTTCCAGCAATGATCTTAGTCCAAGCCTTGCTCCCTTCCTCATACCTCGAATATGAAGCCTCAGTCCTAAACACCAAAAGCAGCGCCAAAGCCGGAGCCGTCAATTGATACGGCAACGTAGAAGCTCTTAAAACGGGGAGGAAGCCGGGCAACAAATGCATGTCCACAGCAGAATTGTAACTCGCAATAACCACAGCCACCAAAGTAAAAGCAATCACGGGAGGGATTAATGAAAGTATCACGCGAGAAGATAAGCTTGAAAGTAAATGTCTGATGTGACGCAATGAGCTTCTGTGATTCACCCATTTTTCGTGGTTGTACAGTGATCTTTTCTGTTGCATTCCACGCTCTTTCACGCGGTCAGCCCAGTCAGGGATGGCGCAAATAATTGACTTTACTGTTGGGGTTTTAAAGGGAGATTCTGATTCAGATTGCGAGGAAGAGATGGTTTTGAAGGTAAGAAGTTTAGTGGTTTTGGAGGGAAAGGTAAGGGTACCATGTAATTTGAAAAGGGGTTTTGGGGTAAAATTGGAAGAAAGTGAAAGTTTGGTAGATTGGTTCATCGGGTTTGAATAGGGTTTGAAGAGAAGAAGCAGAAGAAGCAGAGAACATGTTACGGTTTAAAGCAGAGTGAGAGTGAGAGTGAGAATGAGAATGGATGATAGGTAGCTGCCATTGGCAACGGTTGTTTCATATTTTTACACGTTTAAATATAATAAATTCGATCAAATTTTATGGGTTTTTCTTTGTCTTACTGCTTTAGGACGAAATATTTGTCACGGACCTATTCTTGCCGTCCATCTCAGCCCTTGTACTGAAATGAGCATTCACGTGGATAATGTGACCGTCCTTGACCTGTTTATATTGTACGTAAGTGATCGAGTCTTCTTAAAAGATGAACGGTCCAGGAGCTCACAATCCCAGTGAGTAAATACTGTTGTATAAATATCTAGGGGTGCGTTTGTTTATTGTTTTTATCCATATTCCCAATCCTATTTTTCAAATATTATTTGGTACGTTATTCCCAAAATATTAGTCTATTTTTTAATTTTTGAGACCCTATAAATTTATTAATTTCATTAAATACCCCTAGAAAAAAAATTTAAAAACTAACAAAAACACCCCCACCCACCAATATCTGCCAGATTTCGACAACCACCGCCGGTGGTAGGTGGAATCTATCACAATAGTCACACAGCCACCAGAAATAGCCGGTAATGGCCAAATCTGCCGTCAACGACGACCATATCTTTGGCCGTCGTTTCAACCTTTTTCGGCCGTCGTAGCGACAACAGTTCATAGATCTGACCTTTTCCGGCCAGATCCATGGTGGATCTGGCCGGAAAAGGCCATAACGACGCGTTACGGCACAGATCCGACCGGTCTGTGTCATAACAAAATTTTCCAGCCAGATTCCGGCGGTGGTGGCCGAAATCTGGCACTGCAGGTGGTGGAGTTGTTTTTGTCATTTTATATATTAGGGTCTTTAATTAAATTAGTAAACCTAAGGGCTTTTTCATAAACTTTTAAAGTTTACCTCGTAATACTCCCCTATCCAACAACCCAATACTATCAACAAAATCTTATCCAAAATAATAAACCAAACGCACCCTAGTTCCCTTTGGTTTATTATTTTGGATATAATTTTAGAGATAATATTTTATAGTTGAATAAAGTAATTATTATGAGGTAAAATTTAAAAATTTATAAAAAAAAATCCCCTAAGTTTGCTAATTTAACTAAACACCCCAATATATAAAATTGTTGTAAAACAACAAAAATACCCCCACCCACAATGCCAGATTTCGGCCACTACCGCCAAAATCTGGTTGAAATTTGACGTTATGATGTAGACCGGTCGGATCTAGCCTGAAATGCGTTTGCGTCGATCTGGCCTAGCCTTTTCCGGCCAGATCCACTATGGATCTAGCCAGAAAAGGCCAGATTGGTAAATTACCGATCAATTCCGGTCGTTTGTAGGCTGTTGTGATAGATTTCGGCTACCACCGACGATGGTTGTCGGAATCTTACAACTATGGGTAGGTGAGAGTGTTTTTGTTAATTTTTAAACTTTTTTCTGGGGGTATTTTGAAATTAATAAACTTAAAGGGTTTAAAAGTTATTAAAAAAAATATAATAGTGTTTCCTAAATAATTAAACAGACAAATATTTTGGAAATAAAATTGGGAATATGGATAGAAATATTAAACCAAACGCACCATAGATTTAATTAAACATTTAAAAGTCTGATAAACATCCTCTTAAACGGAACTTTTTCATGAAAATCACTTAATAATTTCAAAAAATAGTTTCAGAAATAAAATTTCCAAAACACAAACACACCTTTGAAACCCTGTGCATAATCTCAGATGTCTGTTGCAATCTGGTAGCAATGGTTAAAAAGGTCTTTATCAAACCTCAAAAATCCATTAAGACAACAAACAGCAACTTCATTATTTCAGCAAGATGTATACAAATCCGAAATTTTTCCTTCAACAAAAGGGAAAAATTTATAGCAAAGGATCAGAAGGAACTCGGTCTGATAATATAACTTCCATATATCCACAACAGCCATAGAAATCTACTTAAAAAGTCAATACAGTCATGCTCCTGTGCAAACCTAACTTCTTATAACCTAAGGATCTCCCTTGGCACCTCCGGAGTTCAGCTCCTTAGTCTGGTTTTCTTGAGATTTTTTTGTTGATCCAAAGATGAACCCTTTCACTGAGCTTTCTGCTGATAGTATTGCCCGTTTAATCTGCCATTGCATATTAATGCCATCAGAAGAACAATCATATATCAATCTTCAACCAACTGTTACAATTTAATAAATTCAGGAGCAATATATGTTAAGAAATGATATTCAGTACTAACGATGTGGTGATTGGGAGAACAGAGGATGACAAAATTGACCAAAAATTAAGGAAAGCAGACTAGTTTCCATCATATGCAAATTCCCTAAGCTGAATCACCTCCCCAATGCCCTAAACATGAATAAATCTTCTAGCCTGTGTCCTGTCAATATTCTGCTTATTCCTTCTAGCTGTCATTCTTTCTGGAAACCTTAAAATTGAAACTTCTCATAGAAAGCCAATAAAACACTGTCTACTGTTGACATTCCCAAGGTAATGGTTTAGGGGATTAAAATGAAAAAAACAAATAAGAAGTTGAAAACCCATAAGTTCAAAAGATGGTGAATTAAAGTTGCTTGCTTCAACAGATCCCTCTGCCAACTCCCAACTCCCCCCTCCCCCCAATTCTCAATGCACTAAAAGATGGAAAAGACAAAAAAATTTTACATCATGCCATTAATTATAAGTTGAAAGCTGAAGAAAAATCGTTGTTTGAGAGCCCAATATGCCATACTATCAATGTAACTAAACATACCACTGTGTTTTATACAAAAGTTCAACAGGTAAGGAGACTGTTCAAATCTGAGTATTCTACTAAACAAACTCCCCAAGCAACAATTTGCATCCTCATGCTTCAACCAAAGACAGAACACATCTAATATAAACCACTAGAAAGGATTTCAGTGGCAGCTGAAAGTCACTATTCTCTGGAGCCATAACAATCAAGCCTATAAATTTGATCTCACCCTAACAAATTTATAACTTTAATCCTGATTGTTTAGATCTATATAAAATTTCAATACATCCAGCCCATAAGCTAATCCTAAGCAAACTTTTGCTCATAAAACTCTATTGACAAGAAAAAACACATGCAACGGGACATCAACTTATTGAATCACAAGTTTCAGGCTTATACTGCAACACAATTGTAATTGAAAACTTAATGGTTTTATACCTATAAATAGGTTCATGGCATATGCCAACTGCCAATGTGATTGATATAATTGAAAAACTAAATGAAAGGAAAAAGGAGATCATTTTTTCAGCACGAAAAGACTGACGGCAAAAACAAGGTAGAAACTGACATTCAACTGCAGAACAAATAGCAAAAACTCGCACATGACCGTTCAATGCAAGATTATTGACTCATAAATTCAACTAGCAATTTCAGAAAATAGCAAAATCACAAAGTCCCAATTCATTCGAAACGAATTAACATAATAAAAACCCGTAAAGATGGTAAGTTGGTAACAGAGGAAAGAACCAAATACTTATTTAACCAAAAGAAAACCTTTGACAAAAACCCATAGAGTAAAATTGAAATAAAGTAATATCTTCACTGAGAAATGCATATTAAAAAAGAAAGAAAGAAAGAAATAATGTTAAAAGAAACATACAGGGTCAAGTGCGTTAGGTTCTGGGCCATAATCAGCTGTTAATAAAAAATAAGAGGCAACTGCAGTTGCCACCATCGTTGTTCTTCTCACCAACTTCTCTGTTTGTGGGTTCATCACATCCACTCGCTTGATTTCAGAAAGACAAGCAGAGAAATGGGAATTTACAGTAAAGAGAGAAGGAGAAGGATTTGGAAGAAATAGGATGTTTCAGTTGTGGAAAATATTTAAATCCACCCTAACTTTTAGCATCTTATCCAATTTCCTCGTAAGTTCGAGATTTATGTTGTCTCACACTTTGACTTCCTTGTACATTATTTGACTCTGCTATTTTGCTTACACAAATTATTATTATTAACAAGCGCTAAACACGTCTTAAGCTTCTGACTAAGACTCCGTTGTCTCAGCACTCACTCAGACACTGACAAGAGCTTCCATGGAAGAACCAAAACCACCACCGCCAGCAGCAGCAGAGAACGCACCTGCCCAAGTTACAAATCCACCACCGCCAGCAGCAGCAGAGAACGCACCTGCCCTAGTTACAAATCCACCACCGCCAGCAGCAGCAGAGAACGCACCTGCCCAAGTTACAAATCCACCACCGCCAGCAGCAGCAGAGAACGCACCTGCCCAAGTTACAAATCCACCACCAGACACTCCACAAACTGTGCCTGCCCAAGTTACAGATCCACTACCAGACACGACACAAACTGTGCCTGCCCAAGTTACAGATCCACCACCAGACACGACACAAACTGTGCCTGCCCAAGTTACAGATTCACCACCAGACACTACACAAACTGTGCCTCCTCAAGCTCCTCCTCCACCTTCTCTTCCTCCTAAAACCACCAAGAAAAGACCTCTTGACAACAACGGACAACTCCAAAACTCCAACTACTACAAGATGCGTCTTGTTCTTAAAGATCTTCGTCCTCATTTTATCGAGGTAGACTTCTTACCTATCACCAAAAATTTTCGATTTTGTCTGAATTTGTTGTAGAATTCGTGATCCTGTCCTTTCATTTCTTGGTTTGCGTTGGTAATGCAATTGGGTTCTTCTACTCACTAAGAATTTGCTCTATTTTCACATTTTAGTGATTTCATATCTGGATTTGTTTTGATTAGACATACAAATGTGCTCTTAGCCAGTTTTTTTTAGCAAAAGTGATTTATTTTAAGGTAACTGAGCTCAAATTGGGGCCTTGATATCATCATAGAATTTGGGGTTGGATGAGGAGCCAGGCTCACCTCGAATTCAATCATGGTATTAGAGTTAGGTCCAATTGAGCTTAGTGATTGATCAACAGGTGAAGAATTAAAACTAGCGACTACCTCTATCAACATGCATGACCCAACATATGGGTTGACTGTGAGGGGAAGTGTTAAGAGTCTCATACAGACTAGACACGCTTAAGCTTACTGGTTTATAAGAGAGGGTAATCCTCCCATTCAATAAGACCTTATTGAGTGAAAAGTTAGGCCTATCTCAAATTCTATTATAGTGAAAAGAGCAAGACCCAGTTGAGCTAAGTGTTTGACTAGCGAGTACCTCCATCAATAGGTATGACTCAATACATGGACTTGATTGTGAGGGGGAGGAGAGTGTTGGAGTCCCACACCGAATAGGCACGCTCAAGCCTACTGGGTAATCCTCCCATTTAACAAGGCCACCAATTAGGCACAGGGGGGAGGGGGTGTGTTGGAATCCCACACCGATTAGGCACGCTCAAATTTACTGGATAATCTTCCCATTTAACAAGGCCACCGATTAGGCACGGTGAAGCCTATTGCTTTATAAGAGGGGTAATCCCAACTGGTTTATAAGAGGGGGTAATCCTCCTATTTAACAAGCCCTTATTGGGTGAGGAGTCAACAAATTCTATCAGTCAAGCCTTTGTCTTATGATGATTGTGAGGGGGAGGGAGAGTGTTGGAGTCCCACATCGATTAGGCACGCTCAAGCCTATTGGGTAATCCTCCCATTTAATAAGGCCACCGATTAGGCACCAAGGGGGAGGGGGTGTGTTGGAACTCCACACCGATTAGGCACGCTCAAACTTACTGGATAATCCTCCTATTTAACAAGGTCACCGATTAGGCACGGTGAAGCCTATTGCTTTATAAGAGGGGTAATCTCAACTAGTTTATAAAAGGGGGTAATCCTCCTATTTAACAAGCCCTTATTGGGTGAGGAGTCAATAAATTCTATCAGTCAAGCCTTTGTCTTATGATGAGCTTTTGTCGCTCCATATTTGTTGATAATTTTTGTTGTCTTTGTTATGTTATCTTACGGGGTAATCTTTTCATCAATTAGACACGGTCAAGTCTACTGGTTTATAAAAAAAGATAATCCTCTCATTTAACAAACCTTTATTGGGTGAAGAGTCAAGTCCACTTCAAATTCTATCAGTCAAGGCTTTGTCTTATAATGAGGTTTTGTCCCTCCATATTTGTTGATAATTTTTGTTGTCTTTGTTATATTATCTTTGCAATTTTATTTTCCGTCTAGGAGCTATTATCTTCCTTTAATAATGCCATTTGGCTTGTTAATTCCCTCTTGCTGATCTGGTTTGACCATTGTTGTTATGCTTATCAGAATCACAGTATGCTCCAGTTCTACATCATATATCTATTTCCCTGGAAAGTTGATACACTTTGGGNGCCCTATTTTCGTCGATCCCTTGTGTATGTGACCTAATCTCACGAATTAGCCCCAAGACTCAACAAGATTTGATAGCCTAATGATCTAAGGACCTTTAAATCGAAAAACCCCCAAAATCTGACAAACCTTAATTTTTGAGTTCGTCAAGAGTTGAACGATTTCTAACCCTAGACTCGATTAAGACCTAAAAAGCTCTGATACCAATGTTGTAAATCAATACCAATCCTTCAACCTGCAAGATTAGCCACAAAACAAAACAGAAACTGCAAGAACAAAGCACAATCACACAACACAAGATGTACTGTGGTTCGCTTGTTCAATATATAACAAGTTACATCCACGTTGAACTCCAGAATATAGAGCTCACTGCACTAGTATTGATTTCCTCAAAGATTACACTTTACAGAAGAATCTTCTTCACTGATATTCCCAGAAACAAACACTCACTCACTTCACTTCCCTATATCCCGCAAATCCTAATAGCCCTAGAGTGTTCTATAACCTTCAAGGAACCCCTGCCCTCAAACACAACTCTAGATAGATTCACACAAAGAAGAAACCCAGAATGAGCATTAAACCCTAACCCAGACCAGACGAGTTTTACAGAGAAAACGAAACGAATACCTAAACTCGATTGCCCTCAAATGCGTGAATAGTCCCCTTTTATACTGTTGACTTCTGAATGCATTTGAGCCGTTGGATTCTCTTTATCTTTGATGGCTGAGATTCATTTGGAATAATGAACAAAACGACAGCGTTTTGTTTCCTGGTTGAACGACGTCGTATGCTTCACTTATTTAACAATTTGTTGCCGTGATTTGGTACCTTCTGCAGAATCATGATGGAAATCAGTTGGACATAACTGGCTTGTTCGCAACTTCTTGAATTTTTTATCTAATTTGAACTACATTTAAGTTTACACTTTGGGCAATTATTCAGATGAATTTACCTTGATGTTGAGGAGCAGTCGGTTTTGTTTGTATGCGAAGTGTCTCTTAGGTTCCGTTTGGATGCCATTATTTGAACCTTGTGATTGTTGCTGCTGATGTTCAGAAGTTGTTATAATGGATGCAAGTGTATGAGATCATCACCCTTTGTTGTGTGGTGTGGCTGTATGTTTTGTTTCATAAATTAGCTGATGACAATATAACTTGCAATTTGCAGAGATAAAGATTCTGATGGAACTATACAAAGCAGAAACAGTGATCACAGTGAAGGGTAGGGCTGTGGCAGAAAGCCAGCCACCCCAAGATGTTAAGGTGGCAGAGCAACCTCAAAAAGACGGGGTAAGTGCAAAATCATCTGAAATAGAGTCCAAGAAGCAGCAGGGAAAAGATGCTGAGAGACAAGGGTCTTGTATTGTTGGAGGATCAGCTTTTGGCTGGAACTTCATCACTTTTGCTGGCACTCAACCTGTTTACTATGGAGTAACAAAGGAATTATTTCGAAAACTGAATTCAGGAGAAGGCCAATGAATTCTCTCTCTCTCAAAGGAAATAATGTATTTGGCTGGAACTCACTTTTGCCGGCACTCAACCTGTGTTTTATGGAGTGACAAAGAAATTATTTCGAAAACTGAATTCAGAAAGCCAATGAACCCTCTCTTTCAAAGGAAATAATGTATGTGGGCCACCCACATTATTCATGAAGAGAATTTTTATTGTAATTCTAACTCTTAACTTTTTACATAACCGATTAAGGCTGTGTTTGACAGAGTATTTAGAGTTGTATTTTTGAAAAAGTTAAGTTAGATTCTTATTATGAGAATATGACTTGAATTTAAAAATGTGTTTAATAAATTTTTAGAAAACATTTAGATTAATTTTTAAACTTCTATATTTGTTAATTAAGTTAAAAACCCTTCATAATAAAACATTGAAAATAAATAAAAACATCTTCATCTACTCATTAAATATCGGTAGTTAATCACCACTGTCGGAGGGTGGTTGGAAGGCGTCAAAATGGCGTATGACTGGTTGAATCTGACCGATCGTGCGTCGATCTGGTCGAAAAAGGTTAGATTAGCGCACGACCATCACCTCCAATTGGTCATGCATCATTATAGCAAATTCTGACCATCTTTCGACGGTGGTGGCCGGTTGCCGATAATATGTGGGTAGGTGAAAGTGTTTTTATTAATTTATAAATTTTATTGTTGGTGTTGGTTACTTAAATTAACAAACTTATGAGTTAAAAAAAATATTTTGAGTTGGTAGAGTATGATTGGATTTTGAAAATATTAAAGATTCCCGAATTTATCATTTTTTTTTTTTTCCCAAGGCCTTGATGTCTTCTTACTTCTTAGTGGTATGCGATAGAATTGGGACTTGGTAAAAAGGATTTGCGTTGGGAGAACTGAGAAATACATGAGGCTGGCAAGTCCGGCCGATTGCAGGAACACACAAAAGCGGGTTTCTAGTACGATTTTAGGACAGGCAGAAATGTGTTCATGGACTGCCAAATTCATAGTTGCGAGTCCAGCGCCTAAACAATGAAAGAGACTTTACTATCTGCATTCTGCAGTAACGGCATCACCACATGTTCTCAGTTCTTAAACTTACACTCTCCTTTGATATAGAAGATCAAAGTACAAATACAATTACACTCCTGTGAAGGTAAAATATGCGCTCTATGATGTGAAATTATAAATAAAAATAAAAACACTCTAGAATCTAGTATTTATTTTGAGCAGCTGTAATTGAGTATTTAGCGACTCTAGAGTTATAGCACAACACCCTTAGCAGAAAGGACAAGTGAAGAAAATTATTGTCTAAAGACACCAATTTCACTAGAAAAACACACAAAGCATCTGTACACAAAATTACAACCTCGTCAACAATCTTAGCCTCCCATCTTTTTTTCTTCAAAAAAGGAAAAGCTTCCATTTTCAATGGAAGTATGAAAAATTGGAACATTACATATGCATAAATGATCAAACCGCACAAAAGAATGAAAGAACTGCTTACACGCCTGTAGGAAAAAAAATGGATAGCCTACATCTATCACAATATCTTTGTCCGTCCATAATCACCTCAAACCCGTGATACTTGTGCCATAAACTGGATTAAAAGAACTACTACTTTGATATGTCTCAATCCTGTAATTCTTAGATTCCCTAGCCTGGTTGTGGATTCATCAAAATCAACACCATGTATTCATCTTCACATTCATGAATCTGCACATCCTTATTTTTTATTTTTTTTCTTCTTGTTTACTTTTGTGCAGCTGTTGCATTCTTCTTTGCTTCAAGAGTTGTGCCCTCCTTCAGTGCCACTTGAGCTTCATTCTCCATGCCAAGTGCAGCGAGGGCAGCAGCCTGAAGATAAGATGCAATATGCCATACGGGGGAAATGACCTGAGCTTGCATTGCATCATTCAAAGCTTCCTGATGCATGTCACTCATGAGATAACACAAACTACGTCGTGCATAAACCGTTGGAGAAATCATGGTTCCAGCATCAACAAACTGCCAGTCAAAGAAGAGAAATCATTAGCATTTAGCAGGATCCTTAGTAGCAACAATAGATAATCCATGCAATACTAAATAACCCCATCCCCAACCTCTTGGAGATATCAAAAGCTTAAATTGAAGGACTTGGTTAAATACAATCTTAAAAGAATTTGCTAGCGCTCTTCTCGTGGCATTGTGATGACTATCAAACACATCCGATAGATGAACTTATATTTCTGTAAGTGAATAAAATGAGTAATATCTATCAAATGAGATTTTATGAAACAGATTGAGATTGTAATAGGTGGTCATTTGGCAAGACATGCTAGTTTGAATTGTTAATGCTAACAGCATGCATCCATGAGTTACAGATGCTGACATTTGTAAAATATTCCGAAGATGTCATGATAAGATTTTCACCTGTGTGTAACACTCAATTGCATCTCTAAATTCTTTCTGCCTGAAGGCTACATCACCCTTTTTCTTTGAATTTAATGTTTCTTGCATTTGGTCTGTCCACATTTGGAAGGAGAGCTGTAACATATCATAACAAAAGAAAATGTTTAGTTAAAAATAAGGTTTTTTGCATATTAGACCACGAGACCAATAAACAGAACATGCAAGGCAGGCATAACTTGAACTGCTTATAAATCCAATGATAAATGCGTCTAGAAGCAGACCATAGACAGTATTGAACAAATACTTGGAAAAAGATTCAGCTATTCTTTACAGTTGAAAACATATACTGAACCTCATTTGTAACTCCTTCATCATCTTTGTAGCCAAGGTTCTCTAGGATCTCATGTATGGCAGTTAAGTCTCTTCTTGAACAAGCTTCACCAAGTGGGGACAGAGGAGAGACTGAAGCACTGTGTGGAATTCCCATCAAGACGTGTGAAGGTACCTGCACAAGAAAGATATATGCAATAAATTAATTAAACTTGATACTTCTCAAATTTGAAGTTACATAGAATGAAATGTCTTGCTTCTTGAGAAACAGAAACCAATTTACCTCAGTTTCCTTCTGAAGAGGACTCAAAGCAGCCACCAAGGATTTTGGGTTTGGGCGTTCTCGAGGTTCATACTGCAAACATCTAGAAGCCAAGCGTACTAACTCAGTTCCATCATCATCAGTAAATTGTCCTTCCAAGCAGGAATCTGTCAGCATCTGAAGATTTCTGTCCCGTATCAGGTCAAGGGCCTGGTACAAATTGCTTAAGCATTAGATGTCCAGAAGTTTAAAGAAATAGTATTTATGTTCTAGTTGTAACAAACAAATTAGCCACATTGATCTTTCCTAAAACTGGAAACTTACATGGCTTGGGGGAATATGCTTCCCACTGAGAAGGTCAAGCAAAAGAGTCCCAAAGCTATATATTACACTTTCAGAAGTTACTCTTCCTGTAGAACAAAACAAGGCAAAATAACTACATTATTAAGCACCCTAGATGTTATGAAAGGCCAATTCCAAAACATGTTTTGCATCTGCAAAAACATGATCACAAAGAATTATAAAACTAAAAATCAATGGTTCCATCACGTAGTAAAGTGTAGAGAATTATGATCAATCAAACTTCTGAAGGATAATAACGAGGTAATGGTACACTAACCACGGTAAAAATCGGATTGCTCTACCAATTGAAAAGAACACCATAAAAGTGTACTTGGTTGATCATAATGAAAAAGTACCCGTGTCATAATATAATCAGACACCAGTTGTAAATGATACATCATGCTTAAAATAGGCCGATTGCCAAGGGCCTTCAGACTCTTATTTGAATGCTTTCTAGTAAAGCCTTTTAGAACTGAAACCCCGAATTCTCACAGGAAGGTCGCACAAAGAATTCACTACCAAATCCTACTGAAAAAATTATCTAGAAAAGATGTACTGTTTTCATGGAGAAGTACATACCAGTTCTCAGATACTCGGGAGGAGTAAAAGCAAGATTAGTGCTATAACTTTTTCCATCCCGACTATTTTTCATCAGGCCAAAAGTTGAAAGTCTTGGATTACCATCCTGTAGAATTTTTAGTGCATAAGTAGACGAACTGATATACAATCTAACTGGAAAAAAGGTATTGAAATAAGAGAGTAATAAGTTCACTTACCTCATCAAATAAAATTCTGTAGGCATTTAGGTCATGATAAAGGGCTCGTCCTTTGCTTGTGCAGTATTCTAGGGCCTGAGCAAGATGTAGAACAACCCTTAATCGCATTGCCCATTTCATAGGATTTGTTTCCCCTGATTCAAGACAATTTTAAATATATTCCATGTATATTAAGTTCAAATTTATCAGTACAAAAAGCTATGCAAAAACACTTTCATCTGATGCCAAATGCTGGACTAAGTAAATCATCTATCGAAATAATGAAGGTACACAAGGAAAAGCCTTACAATGGAAAAGGTGTTTGGCAAGTGTTTCATTGGGCATATATTCTGCCACAAGTAATCTCTCATCACCTTCACAACAACAGCCAAGTAAATTGGCCAATCTATTATTTCGTAGCTGGCCAACCGATCTTGCTTCCTCCTGCAGTACCAGAAAATATACGCATGAGATAGTGTCAGGGGCCAGAGGTAACGTACATCTCCAAGGTCATTAATAAAGGAAACAGAAATAGTGGTCCACTGATATCTTTAACTCAAAGAAAGAAAAGATGTTGACACTGACCATAAGATGTACAAGACATGTGTCATGCACTTGTAATCTGGCTAAAAAGAAGGAAACGACAAAAAATTCATTGGAGCCAAAGGAAAAGAATAAAAATATTGGAGCCAAAAAAGGGTAAAAAAAGAAAAAAAAGAAGAATTAATGAAAAGAAAAGAAAGAAATAAACAATCTATCCAGGATAGCTTTATGTAAAAGCATAGATAATTGAAGAAACACTGGCCAAAAGCATGAGCTTTGTGAATGTTAAAGTGTATACAGTATGATTCATGTTAGTGACTGCCTACCAAGAATTGCCGTGAATCAGGCCAAGCCATCCTGTTAAAACGCTTAACAGCAATCCTCCTCTGACTTTCCAGCTTCCCTTTATAAACAACATTTGGAGCCTTCTCCCCATGCTCAGAAACAATATTCTCTACTGCAAAACCAGATGTCGCATTTTTAAGTTGCTCCAATGTGAATTCACGGAATACAGGCAAGCAGTCAGCCTCACTCTTCTCATCATTTTCTGCAGCAGCAAGACATTATTACAATTAACAACCATCAAACCCATATTTCTTGGAGAAGACAATAACCAATGCCAGAAATTACTTTTACCCACCAACATCAGGAGCTTCAAGAACTGATGCTTTGAATTGTGAGTTCCAGCAACACACTGTGAGTTTAGAACACTGAACCCCCATCTCAATATCACAAATCAAAGCATAAAACGATAGAAACCTTTTCAATGATTTGCCCCTCTAAACAACACCAGCATCAATTGCACACCCAGTTCATTCATGCAAAGTAATATACTTTGCTGGCAGAATGAGCAGCTGCAGCCAAATTGAAATCTCATTAGTACTGATAAGAATTCACAGTCATCCACTAAATTTCATCCACCATAGAACATTGGATCAAATATAGACATCTTGCTGAGTTAAAAACGCAATCAAAATAATCTAATTAATTTCTAGCGCAAATTTGAATAAGATCAGGCGCAATAGCTAGCAAGTCTTATTGAATTGCTAATTATCAAATAAAATAGCTTTTCAAGAAATATAAAAAATAAAGCAAAAATTAACATTTTGAGTAAATTTTTCCGGAAAAGGGTTGTTCATCTTCTGCAATGAAGTACTAACTAAATCAGAACTTTACTTACCTAATCTTTAATGCATATAGAAAAAACTCAACCACTTTGCTTTAATTAAACCAAAATTAGTTAATAAAACAAAACACAAGCAATAAAACCTACCTGAAAAAGTGCAGCTCCTTTTAGAGTCAAACCCAGTCTTGAGTGACGTTGAAAACTCAATTAAATCACAACCCAGATAGCAAAATCAAAAACCCACTTCACTTTCAATGCCACACCTTTTTAGTCTCCAACCCACTACACAAACCAAACCAAAAGATAAAAAGGAAACACAGGTGGAAGACCTCTGGATGAATTCAAGACTTACAAGATCCACATTGAGATTGTAATAACAATGAAATCAGTGTTGAAACAAGAGAAGAAATGAGATCAGATCAGACCACATGTATATATCTAATAGTTTGTTTGTTGATGATAAAAGAATAAGGCGATAATTACCGACATGTCACGAATTTTTATTCAAGGCCATAGAATCTGTTGAATATTTTATATATAAAAGAAATACTTTTTTTATAAATGAAAAGAATTTTGATTATTTTAGAAATTTGGTTTAGCTGTTCTGTGCTGAGCTGGTAATATTTGAAGAAGAGAAATGAAGAGTGAGGGTCCAATCTCCAAAAGCTAACGCTTCTTTCATCATTCTCTTTGCTCCCCGCCGTAATCATTTCCGTTTGCACCTCTTTTTTCTTCTTTAAGCGGCGCCGTTTTGATTCCGTCTTTTGTATTTTGCTTTGCATGTGCACTTAGTGGGGCCCTTTCGTACCAACACTAGTTATTGGTCAAATGTCAAAACGCGTGTCTTAATAGTTCTCATAGTTTCTTCCATTAATAAGAGTAAACGACTTTTTCCCACCCAAGGTTTGGCCAAATCACACTTCCCATCCGCCAAGTTTCATAATGACATTTTTCCAGTCTCCTTTACAATTTGTCTGTTGATTTTTAATTGCATAAGGATAGAATAATAATTTCAAACAAATAAAGGGTAATGATGTCATTTTACCCCCTTCTTCTTCTCTCTTTCTCTTCTTCTCTTGCCTCTCTCTTCTTTTTTTACCGTGGACTAAGACTTTCTTTTCTCTCTTTTAATAGAGAGATGGAAGGAGGAATCATCGTCAACCATCATTTATTTGACCTCCTTTGCTTTTGCTTTAGCAATTGGGTCCAATTGCTTCTTGCGAGACACTCAACAAATTAAGAAGAAAATTCTATAAAATTCTGATGTGGGTTCAATGTTTTGGACATCGTCAATTGAGAAACAACAGCAAAATTTAAGAATAATTGCTGCAATTATTCAAACAAGAAGTTGATTGTGATGGTACAGAGAGAGAGTTTAATCTATTTACTCATTGAAGCAAATTGAGTTGATGATTCTAACGAAAAAGGAATTATACTATCTTCATTGCTAGAATTTAAGAGTAATTGTTGGAATCATCGTCAGGATTTGCAAACAAGGGAAATGAGTTGCAAGGTTGGGTTTTGACGAAGTGGAGAGTGAGAAAGAGAGGGGAGAAGTGGAGTTGGAGGAGGGAGAGCGAGGGTTGGCCGAAGGTAGCAAAGGCGATGTCTGAGGGAGCGAAGAGAGTGTTTGCGATGCACTAGACTGGTCGCCATCGATGATTCTAAGAACCACCAACACCAGTTGGTTGACAACCTACCAGGCAACTGCTACTTGTTCTATTTTCAAAATTCGTAATTATTTATATAATTTTTAAAATATTTTAATATTTAAAGAAAAAAATAGAGTGAATTTACCATTCTATCCTTCTACAGACAAATCATGCGTCGTAATTATACATCTCAACGCTTGTTCTATCACTTGAGTTACCTAAAGATGGTCCTTGTATACATTTTACATGATTTTAATTTGAATGCATTGCATTTAATAAAATATAGAGTTAAAATTAACATAAGATTTTAATTAAGTAATCAAACCTTCTTAAAGTTTATGAAATAATATTGAACATTAAATATTAAAATAAATAATAGAATAATTCGCTATATATGTGTTAAGACATAATAGTATAACATCTAAGATAGGAAAATTTGCTATTATATGATTACATCGAACCTCGGGTTAATCTTGTCACTTTAACCTATATGGAAATTTATATTAAATATTTAGGACAATATCGTGCGGAATATTAAGGTGTGAGGGTGGATTATAAATATGTAAAAGTTAGTGGACAAAAGGGGGAAAAAGACACTATAGAAACTTGTTCAATTAAATTCAGCTAGGGTTAGGGTTTTGACGTTTTAACGCATCAAGAAGAAAACAGTACTGAATCAGGGTCTGATAAAAGAACAATTAAGATGTCGAAGAAAAACGATTTAGCTCGGAGAAAAAGACAGCATGAATTCGAACTACAAAGTATGCACATCTTCACTTCTTTCTCTGTTTATATTATTAGCTTGTTAAATATGCTTAATTGTTTTGTGATTTTGGTGAGTTAGGAGAGAAGCAAGAGAAGGAGAAGAAAGCAAATAAGCTTCAAACTAAGAAGAATAAAATGAAGGTTAGTTTCATACTTTCTGGGTTTGCTCTNTTTTCCCAATCTCCTTTGCAATTTGTCTGTTAATTTTTAATTGCATAAGGATAGAATAGTAATTTCAAACAAATAAAGGGTAATAATGTCATTTTACCCCCTTCTTCCTCTTCTCTCTTTCTCTTCTTCTCTTGCCTCTCTCTTCTTCTTTTACCGTCGGCTAGGACTTTCTTTTTTCTCTTTTAATAAAGAGACGGAAGGAGGAATCATCGTCAACCACCATTTATTTGACCTCCTTTGCTTTTGCTTTAGCAATTAGATCCAATTGCTTCTTGCGAGACACTCAACAAATTAAGAAGAAAATTCTATAAAATTCTGAGGTGGGTTCAATGATTTGGACATCATCAATGGAGAAACAACCGCAAAATTTAAGAGTAATTGCTGCAATTATTCAAACAAGAAGTTGATTGTGATGGTACAGAGAGATGGTTTATTCTGTTTACTCATTAAAGCAAATTGAGTTGACGATTCTAACAATCAACGAAAAAGGAATTACACTATCTCCATTGTTAGAATTTAAGAGTAATTGCTGGAATCGTCGTCGAGGATTTGCAAACAAGGGAAATAAGTTGCAAGGGTGGGTTTTGAGGGAGTGGGGAGTGAGAAAAAGAGGGGAGAAGTGGAGTTGGAGGAGGGAGAGCGAGGTTGGCCAAAGGCAGTGTCTGAGGGAGCGAAGAGAGCGTTGACGGTAGCACTAGACTGGTCGCTGTTGATGATTCTAAGAACTGCCAACACTAGTTGGTCGACAACCTACTAGGCGACTACTGCTTTTTCTATTTTCAATATTCGTATTTATTTATATAATTTTTAAAATATTTTAATATTTAAAGAAAAAAAAATTGAGTGAATTTACCATTCTATCCTTCTACAATTAAAATTAACAGTCAAATTATAATGGAGGGTGGGAAAATGTCATTATGAAACTTGGCGAGTGGGAAAGTGTCATTAGGCCAAACCTTGGGTGGGAAAAAGTCGTCTACTCTTTTAATAATTATAATGCAAATCATCATCATAATTCGTAATCTTATAATTATAAACACAATTCTATTTACAAACATAAATTATCTTATTTAATTTTTGGAAGAATCTTAACATATTAATCCTTGTAAGTGATTAGCACAATATTTCATTATTATGATCATCCACTTAAATTTTGAAAGTTAAAGGATTCGAACTTGAGATCACACGTCTTAATCATACATCTCAACGCTTGTTCTACCATTTAAGTTACTCAAAGATGGTCCTTATATACATTTTACATGATTTAAATTTGAATGCATTGCATTTAATAAAATATAGAGTTAACATCAACATAAGATTTTAATTAAGTAATAAAACCTTCTTAAAGTTTATGAAATAATATTGAACTTTAAATATTAAAATAAATAATAGAATAATTCGCTATATATGTGTTAAGACATAATAGTATAACATCTAAGATACGAAAATTTGCTATTATATGATTACATCGAACCTCGGGTTAATCTTGTCACTTTAACTTATATGGAAATTTATATTAAATATTTAGGACAATATCGTGCGGAATATTAAGGTGTGAGGGTAGATTGTAAATATGTAAAAGTTAGTGGACAAAAGTGGAAAAAAGAAACTATAGAAACTTATTCAATTAAGTTCAGCTAGGGTTAGGGTTTTGACGTTCTAACGCATCAAGAAGAAAACAGTACTGAATCAGCGTCTGATAAAAGAACAATTAAGATGTCGAAGAAAAACGATTTAGCTCGGAGAAAAAGACAGCATGAATTCGAACTACAAAGTATGCACATCTTCACTTCTTTCTCTGTTTATATTATTAGCTTGTTAAATATGCTTAATTGTTTTGTGATTTTGGTGAGTTAGGAGAGAAGCAAGAGAAGGAGAAGAAAGCAAATAAGCTTCAAACTAAGAAGAATAAAATGAAGGTTAGTTTCATACTTTCTGGGTTTGCTCTATAGGTGCATAAATTTGTGCTGTTTGATTTACAAGAAAATCATATATGGTTTGCACCTATATGTTTTGAGGTTTTTTTTTTTTTTTTCATATAATGTTTATTTGATTAATTACTTGGGGTAATTTTTTTAAGAAATTGATTTGCTATTTACAGTCTTTTGCAATGTTTTTTCTGGTAAAGTTACAAAAAGAAGAGATTTTCCTTTGTTGATTTATTCTTGGACTGAATGTGATTAGGTTGACGGGAAAGACAAGAAAAAGAACGGTGCAAGTGGGTTTCAAGTAGGGAAGAGAAAGGTGAAGACCAAGTTGACAGCAGTAGCAAAGGCTAAAGCTGCCCAAGCAATGGAGCTCGACAAATGAGGTTCTTATTGAATCTTCCTGGTGCACGTTGATAATTTAGCCGGCTTGAAGAAACAGTTTTGAGCTAGAGAAGCATAGTTTCTTGGACTTTACTATTTGTAAATTGGATGGGAAAGTTCATATTTACCTATGGCTTTACTTTGATATCCTCTGTTCCATTCCATTTTCTAATAAGAATAACTATTCTGTGTTAGCTGGACTTTTTTATTTATTTATTTTGTGACAATGTAATGTGTGTTATGTACATTTTATCTGGTTCACAATGTCGATTGTCTTCATCCTTGTCCGATGTTGTTTATACTCTATTTTCTTCCTTGGCTCATATATCTTTTTTGAGTTATCTGCTTATGAAGACAATTTTACATGTAGGCTGAAAATTTTGGAATTGGCAACAAATTAATGATGTTATATCATTTTCTATGCCAGCTTGTTTTTCTGTATGAAGATTATTTTACTAGAAGAAAATTTTGAATTATATGGCAACATAGTCATGTTATGCTCACAATTATAGCTGATCAAGTGTGGCTATTTGACTAGACTGTTGAGGGTGATTGAACTCAAGAAATAACAATGGCTTCTGTGAAATGTGTTGATTATCAAGGGTATGTTGTTTATGTCTTTCATTAGCTGGTGGCCTATCATCTTTTGTGACTCTAGTTCAACTCCACATCAACAATTTTAAATTTTGTTGATGAGCATTTATCAAGTTTAGTAGGCGATGGTCAAGCTTGTGTGTTTGCTCTTAATTTTTAGTGCAGCGTGGGTTGGATGAGAACGGCAGTGCCCAGATGCATAGAAGGATGTTAGCACTTGCATAACCTGTATTTAAATGAAATTGTCTTTCTTTTGCTCTCTTTTTTTAAAGGGAATATTATGATTTATGATTCCTCGCTGACCATTCTTGTAAGGTCGATGTTAACCTTTGTTAAGTGTCTTAAGAAGTCAAAGAAGTATGTTAATGTGGAGGTAAAGAAAATCATGAACTGAATTGTATAGCTTCCTTTGTAGTAGATCTACCTATGTCTGATAAGTAGACAATGAGGAAGCGACTCTCCTTTTGCTCTAGGAATTGGAATGGTTATAAGAATAATTGAAGAGTTCTTCCGAGAAACTAGCAGAAATATGTTTATAATTGTGTTATGGTTAAATAATCAGACAGGTGAAGTGAAACAATAAGCGATCAGGTTCAGGTTAGCTTGGAGAGTAATTGTTATATGGAATTAGTAGTAAAACCATGGATTAATTAAAGCTTGGTTTGGCTCCAATTCATTCTCATTAGTTGTATACGGCAATGCTAAGAGATGTCAAACTATCACCTGGTCCATGGTCTTCATATCACCCAAAGAAGAAGTAATTGGTCCATGTTAACTGCTGATTCAAATTCTACACCTCCGGTTCTGGAGAGAGGGTTGAAAATTGACCTGCCAAGTGGTGTCTGACAGTATGAGTAATTGTTTCTACTACACGTACTGGAAGGTTTTCCAATTAATTGACAGGTTGAGCAAGGATCACGCATGTCATTGTGATTTAAGAATTCTTGACTCTGAAAGATTGGATAATGGGGTTCCAAATTTATTTTACAATTAATAGGGAGAAAATGACAGCTGATTTTATGGGGGAGAAGTTATTCAAAAGGTTTGTGGTGAAGTGCAAATTATAATTGCTGTGGCTGGAGTCCGTAGTTTGTGATGAATGATTGAGTTGAGTACAGTACAGTGAGCGTCGTCAATTTAATGATGTAATCAGTAACCCGGGTCCGCGACATGATCACGTGGATCTCTTAGCCATTACTGAATATGTGCAGGGTCCGCAGTGAGAGGTAACTTTTGGTTCTGTTGGGTTTGTATCTGGCCCAACAAGAACTGGATGACCCAGTTTCAGCGTAAATGTAATAAGATTATGGCGAGTATAGAGGTGTTTTTTTTTTATAAATAGTTGAGAAAAGAGTTTTACCTAAATTCTCCTCAACAATTAAAGGTCGCCGTTGCCGGTGGTTCTACCAAACAACATAATCTTTGCTTTCAACTCTTACGTCTTACTCTGTTTTTCACTTTTGGACAAAATCCAATTCAAGAAGACAATGTTTAATGTAATAACAATAAGGTACTTGTGCAGAGCGATGATAAAAAGGAAGAAGAAGAAAAGGGGGTCGGGTGTGTTAAATTTAAAGTCAACATCACTTGTGCATGTACTTTGCTAATTGAAATTGATGTAAATGAAAGTGTCCACCAAATCCAATCCATGACCATCTCACCTTAATCTTCTTTTTTCCCATTTCATTGATGGGCTCAGACTGACATTGTCCTTGTATATTCATCACTGTAATTAATTATTAACCCAAAATGTTAGATTGCGTTGCCATTGTCAACAAAAATCATCACCAACAGTATTAAAATATTGTGTGATGAGTCCAATGTACACTTTAACCTTTTTTTTTTTGGATGATTCTATTCTAACAAAATATTATTATTTATATATATATATATATATAAACATTATTAAAATACCAACATTCTCTTTGCAACCTTGTGTTAATTATTTAAAAATTCATGGACTAATTAAATATATAATTGTTGTAGTACAGATATAGAAGTTAAAGTTTAGGTTAAAATATGGGAGAAGAAAAGAGTGGAGGAAATGGGAGGATATAAATCACTTGTTGTAGTACAGATATAGAAAGATATTTTTTTTGTGAGGTTTGATGCGATGGGATGGGGGCCACCAAAACTCACATGCATACAAAGTTTACTCTTCTCATCTCACTCGCGCGTTTTCCTCAATCCCCAATATCTCACTTTCTAATCACCCATTAATTATATGCCTTACATCATCAGCTCTCACATCTTTAATAATTAATTAGGAAGGTGAAGATGGATGACAATTGTTTGACGCGTGAATTAAATGCGCGTGGGATAGTAATATGCGATGATACAGATATGGTCAGAGGTACCATTTAATTTTTCAAAATAGGGAAATTAAATAAATAAAATAAAAACTGTATTATCCAAAAGAATAAGCGCTTTTTTCTGTTTAGTCTTTTGTTTGTTTCTCAAACCCTTGCTTTCTTTTTCTCTTCACACAAACACGAAACACAGTAAAGCATCATCACTCAACTCAACACCACCAAGAGATATAAAGATAAACAGATTTATTGTTTTTTAAAAATCAGAGAAAGAGAGGGCGAAAGACAAACCTCTCTAGCCCTAGAATTTTGCATTCCGATAAGGACTTTTCTGTAAAGCCAGCCATTTTTGTAGTAAGTAATAATAATACTTGCCCTCTTCACTCAAATCAAATGACCTCTCTTCTCTCTACAGACTTTGCTCTCCTTTAGTATCCCATTAATACTCTTTTACCTTTAACTCTCTTCTTCTTCTTCCACAGCATAACTTTTCTACCTGTAACACATTTCACTAATGTGAGTAAATTTTCTATCTTTACTTTCAAGTTTTCTCTCTCTCTCTCTCTCTCCCTTTTATTTTATTTTTTTGAATGGTTGTTATGTTTGAAATTGGTTGGGTTTTGAGTTCTGTTACGGCATTGACTTGAACTTTGTTATTTTTTTTGGTTTGTTGATGATTTTTATGTGTGTTCTCAAGGGTTTTGGGGTTTTGCCCAAGAAGATGCTTGGTGCTTAAGGGTTTATCATGGGTTGGTGAGAGTGTGGACCTGTTTCAGTCTTTTCTGGTCTGGTCTTGATCTTCAATATGAAGCCTTTTTCTTTGTTTCTTCTGGTTTGGTAAGCTGTAAAATAGCTTGCATTTTGTCTTTTCTTTCAAGTCTTTGCTTTTCAAGATTTGAATTCTCTTCACATCTTTCTTTTGTTCCTCTGCAAGATTCTTGTTGTTGCTTAGATTTAATTATTTCTATTTATTTTATGTTTTCTTTCTTTGCTTTGGGTTATTACTTTCTTATTTGAAATATGAAGGGTCATTGAGTCTAGGGTTTGTTGGTTTTTTTTTTCATATCTAGATTTGAAAGAACTTCTTGTACAATACAACAGTGACCGCATTCTTATGGTTTTTCTGCTGCTTTATTGTTAAAACAATGTATCTATCTGCATTGAGCTTTCCTGTTTGGAATTGAAGTACATTGACTGTTTTATTATGTGTACTCTGATGAAGTTACATTGACTTCCTTTGTAATTACTGGTAAAGCTTACATATGGCTGTTTGTTCTTTTAATGTTGGTTTTAAAAATCTTACCTTTTTTAATAAGCATGGTTTGTTGGTTACGATTTGAGGTCTTGAACACTTGACAAGTAGGAGGTTCCTTAATTTTGCAATTGATTGGGTGTAAGTTGATTCAGAGAGTCATTTAAGTTTAGGTTTGTCAAAGTAAATGCATGGATCGAAGGGATGCTATGGCTTTATCTGGGTCAGCCTCTTACTATATGCAACAAAGAGGAATGACTAGTTCTGGGATGGGAACACCACATAATCTGCATGGATCAACCGGCATTCATACATTATCTAATCCAAATGTACAGTTTCAATCAAATATTGGAGGCACTACTCTTGGATCAACATTACCTGTAGAGCCTTCATCAGCAATTTCATCTCATGGTGTCAATGTTGGTGCTCCTTCTGGCTTGCCACAAAGCGAGCCTGCTAAGAGGAAGAGGGGAAGGCCCCGGAAATACGGGCCCGATGGAACCGTGTCATTGGCATTATCTCCTGCTGTGTCTACTCATCCTGGTACCTTAAGACCAACCCAAAAGCGGGGCAGAGGGCGACCTCCCGGAACTGGAAGAAAACAACAATTAGCTTCACTTGGTAAGAATTCTTGGCAGTGTGAATGAATGACTTTGTAGCTGATTGTCATTAAACCAGTTATAGCTTGGTAAAAGTTCTCTTGTATTCATTAATGTTTTACAGTAGGGAAAATTTTTACCAATTGACCTGCTTTATTATCTTTGCTAGGCTCAAATTTTACCTCATCAGGTATTATCTAAGGTGAAGCAGAATCTGGTTAAAACCTTGATATACTTGAATTGCTAATAGTTCAATGTAAATCTACTTGTCTGTGTGATCTTGATGCACTATATAAACTACAAATTATCAGCCCAGAATTTGATTGTTGCCTAAGTTTTGATCTCTGTTCCTTGAATAAAATTCATTGGAAAGTATCATAATTTGGTCAAGAGCGTGAAGGTACTATTGAATGGAAAATGATAGAGGATGGATGAATCAAAGAATTTTGGCTCATCAGATTTCACTCTCCATCATTATAACTAGGTACTGCTAAAACATGGTAAAATTTAGATTAATAGACAATAATGATTTTTCCCACCAATACTTCAAAAGACAACGATATTAGGATATGAACACATAAATCTTAGTTTTGTAAAACACGTAGTTGGATAAAAAACTTTGTAAGGTTGATTTATGCTGAAATGGTGAGGGTAAGTGTTCCTTGTTCATGAAATAGTATCATGGTACTCGGATTTTCCTCTTCTGTTAACTATAAGGAATATTACATTGACCTTGAAAATTTTAAATCCTAGATTAATTATTTGCTGTTCAAAACTCCAGAGAGAAGCTTCTGAGAAGCTAACTTACTTTCAGAATCTCAATGGTGTTGAAGAATGCTGCTAAAAACCACTGAAAAAAAAAAAAAACAAATGTAGATTGGCATATAGTGTATGCCTATGTGTCATGGATTTGTACTAAAACTCTGTGTCATTGGGTAACTAGTTTATTATCAAACTTTCATCAATTTGTTATTTGGATTTCTTTATCCAATTAAATGAGTATCATAAACAGCTGTGTCTGTGAGAGTGATTCTGCCTTGCTGAACAAGGTTGAATATCGTATTCATTTATACATATGCATTTAGATTTTATTTCTTTTTCCTGCATCATTACATTCTTTTTATGTGGATGATGTTGCAGATTTTAAACTGTTTTGCTAGGTGAATGGCTGTCTGGCTCAGCTGGGATGGGCTTCACTCCACATATCATCACTGTTGCAATAGGAGAAGTATGCCACTTTTTCTCCTATCAATTTTTATTTGTTTTTCCAAACTTAGATGAAGTACACTAGGGATTACTGTTTTCTACTGGCAACAGAGAACCTCTTCAATATTTAATGATCAATAAGATACAATATCACTAACTTTTTACTTTTTGAGGCATGTTTTTTCAATCTGGTAAAGCATCTCTTGAAAGGTTCTGTGATTTTTGGAATAAATTGTTGTCTTGAAATGCTTGATTTTATTTTTTCCTATAGGACATTGCGACAAAAATAATGTCCTTTTCACAACAAGGGCCCAGAGCAGTATGTGTCTTATCAGCTAATGGTGCTGTCTCTACTGCAACTCTCCGTCAGCCATCTACTTCTGGTGGCACTGTAACATATGAGGTTGAGCACTTAGTAACTCTGTTCTTGTTTGCTATGAGATATGTACTCATGATGTTTGATAATTGCTGGGAAAGATTGCCAACATCAAATGGAGATATTTTTTTCTTCTTATCTTACTCAAAAAGTTGATCTAATGTTGAGACTAATTTTAGTTGTCTAAGAGCTCAGACACGCAAGTATTGTCATATGTGGGTCTGTGTGGGCTTATGGCCTTGGCATTAATCAATTTTGCTCTTAGCCTTGTTTGATTTTATGAAAAGACAATCATCCATTAAATTTCATGTAATTTCATTCTAAAATCCCCCCAATATTCACTCCCTGAAGAATTATTTGTTTTTTGTAGGGGCGTTTTGAGATATTGTGTCTGTCAGGCTCCTACTTGCTCACTAGTAGTGGTGGCCCCCGCAACCGAAGTGGTGGTCTGAGTGTCTCCCTTGCTAGTCCTGATGGTCGTGTCATTGGTGGAGGAGTTGGGGGAATGCTTATTGCAGCAAGCACTGTTCAGGTAACTTATACTGCTTTAGCTGTTATAACATATTGTTCTAGTTATTTAATTGTCATTTTTATGGTGAGACTATCATGTGGGTTACTGCTGCGTATATGAAGAGATTCTGTTTACTTTAAAAGTAGAGATGTATGAAAGACTGGTTGAAAATTTCCCATTGATCCTTTATTAATTATATATACTGAAAAAAAAAAAGTGAAAAGCAAACATCAGATTAATGGTTATGCATGCTCTGCACTATTGTAGATGGCGATGTAACCTTGTATTATGAGCAACTATTTTAGTTCTATGGATGAATATGGATATGTTTTTTTATTTTTCTTTTTAAAATTTTTTATTCTAGGCTGAGACTATTTATGGACTGATTCCAGGTAATAGTGGGGAGTTTCTTGTGGGGAGGTTCAAAGACAAAGAATAAGAAAGGGGAAAATCCAGAAGGTGTGAGAGACTTAGAACATCAGACAATTGACAATCCAGTGACTCCAACTAGTGTTCCATCAAGTCATAATCTCACTCCAACTTCTTCAGTGGGTGTATGGCCTGGTTCAAGGCCAATGGATATGCACAATCCCCATGTTGACATCGATTTAATGCGTGGGTGACAATTCCTCTGTTAATTTTACAAGCCGTGTATATATTCTGTTGTTTGAACGCCACTTAAATCTGATTTATGACTGTAGAATCCAGTTGATTTTGAACCATGACAATTCTCACTTAATGTTGTTCATCACAGATGATGTTTTGTACTCATATTTGTAGCTTAATGACGACTCCCTTCAAAATTTTAGTGCTCATAATTTCAAATTGCCCAGCCAACATACATTCTATAGCCATGGTTCATCTTTACTTGACTTCATAACACAGAAACATGATGGTTTTGTTGTGTATTTGAAGGACAGCTAATTTCTCTTGTTCAATCTTTTGTTAATCAAAATCATTTTTTTTTTCCTGCTTTAAAACTTAATTTGTAGTTGTACATGAGATAATTGCATGATCAGAAGATGTTATTATTGTTACGGGTTATCCTTCTGGGACTTGCCCTCAGGGCAGGGCACCTTGCAGCAATAGAGATTCAATTCGTAGTCTTAAGGTATTTTCAGCGGTAAAAAAATCTTTCCTTTTCCTAAACTTTCTTAAGAACAAGATAGGCAAAGAAGAAGTAAGAAGGTAAAATCACATGTAAAGACAGAAAATAATTGGAGAAATACAGTAAGAAGTAAAATACAATATCCAAGAACATTTTTTTTTTTTAATAAAAATGCAATAATAGATGTAGTTTACAGGGCTACATCTCACCATACATTAACAAGACAATAACAGATTCAACAAGAATTGAAAATACTAGTTACACATAAGTAATCATGTTATAAATGTAAAAAACACTAAGCGTCGGTCCATGTAATATCCATACCACCCCATTGCGTCGGTCCATGTAATATCCATACCACCCCATTGATCGCTTGGAATACCTAATGCTTTCCACACAGCCCTGGAGGCATCAACAATGTTGTCATCACAAGGAGGTTGATAATCGTGGTCTGAATCACATCCCATAGTTGAGTCACACTCATCCACCACCATGGCCACTACACTTCGCCCATTAGCAGTAATGGTGATGTTGTTAAGGAACCTACTCTTTCTGTTGAACCATCCAGTTGATAATGCAACAACTGGTGTGTCATCTGAGTGGTATTTGTTGTCACATTCTGATGGCGCACCGCCATCTTGACCTGCCTCGAAACCATTCAGAGTGAGCCAGGCTTTGGTATGGCTTGAAACTGGCGGTGAACATTTGTATGTTGTGTAAAGCTTGTCTTCTTTACAACAATCTGAATCATTGTCTTGGTTGCATTCTCCAGGAGGAGGTTTTTTTCCCCTTATTTTGCCGCTCGGACGACATTGTTGAGCTTCAGTATTCAAACAGTTTGTTAATAGGAGGATTGATAGTAGGAGAAGAGAAGCTTTTAATCTAAAACTCATCATTCTACCTCTTCGTTTTTCTGCTTTAGTTGTTTTTGTTGAGTGCTTAATGAAGTGGGTATATATAACAAATTCCTCACCAAGTTGTCCAGGTTATGATCATGAGTTCTTTTGACAGGTAGCAAATAAAAGAGACCCTTCTAACATAACTGTCACCGCCCGTTAAAAAGCGAATAAATTAATTCAAATCCTGATTTCAGAAAATTCCACTGTTTATTTCCGTTTCGTCAGAGAGATTGTTCGTAGTTTGAGAGTCACAATCTTTGATTAATTAATTGTAAAAACATATTGATATACAAGAGTATGAACCACAATTTGATGCTCTCCTGGGTGGATAAATGTTTAAGTGAGGCAGCTAGTATCCAAGAAAGATATCATGTCAGCTCATCATCACCATCAGTAATTTGTCTGCTTAGATAGGATTATCCAATTCAATGTACTGAATTAATGGTGGTATCTTTAGTAATATTTAAACCTGAAGAAGCTGACACAGCATAAGTCTCATTCCAAAATATGTCAGCATCATAATTTGGTCTTACATATATAATTGGCAACTTTCAACTTTAGGCTAAATTCGACGCAGTAAACATATGCATACTGAACCAGAATTTAAAATAATGGACAAAGAACGTTATTTTCCAGGAGCCGATTGCAATAACAGGACAATGGAGGTGTCTCCACAGATGAAAATGAAACTTGAAACAAGGCTACGGCTCTATTTACAATGTTTAATTTCAATGATTCCAAATCTCTAACAAGATATGCATTTCCTGGGTATATTGTTTCATATAAAAGGAACTGTCATACCGAAGGATATCTTGTGGCTGGCACATATTGTCTAATATTATCAACGTAGAAGAACCGTAATCTTGCTGTCTCGCTCATCAAAGACAACAAACAGAGATAACGCTAAGGAAATTCGCCATAATTACAAAATTAAGGCTGGTTTATCTTGAAATTAATAATCAAACATTCACGTATATACAATTTTGCCTATACGATTCTGGGTTTCATCAATAATATTAATCCCATATGCGTCAAATTGTATCACTATCACGCTGTTTCAGAATGCAAAATTGTCGGGTTAATTCTGCGTTGAAAGGTTGCTGCTGATGGATCTATATATAAGGTTTCACTCATTCAAGTTCTTCACACCAAACCAACGAGAACAAAACAGAAATAGAAGATGAAGAAGCAAGTGTTTTCAAGTGTTCTTGTTGTTTGCTTTCTTTTTCTTGTCATTAATTGTTTCATTGTTGAGGCTCAGACTTGCAAGGCCAGTGGCAAGATAAGAGGGAAAAAGCCTCCACCAGGACAATGCAACCAGGAAAATAACTCCGACTGCTGTAAACAAGGAAAAATGTACCCTATTTACAAGTGTTCACCTCCAGTTTCAGGACGTACAAAGGCAACCTTGACACTGAACAGCTTTGAGAAAAATGGAGATGGTGGTGCACCATCAGAATGTGACAACAAGTACCATTCCGATAACGACCCTGTGGTGGCACTTTCAACAGGATGGTACAATGGAGGGAGTCGGTGCTTAAAGTATATTAACATCTATGGTAATGGAAACAGTGTTAAGGCCAAGGTTGTTGATGAATGTGACTCAACAATGGGATGTGATTCTGATCATGATTACCAGCCTCCATGCCCATACAATATAGTGGATGCCTCGAAGGCTGTTTGGAAAGCGTTGGGAGTCCCTGAAGATAACTGGGGTGGATTAGATATCACTTGGTCTGATGCTTGATCAGTTTATGACTATCCCTGTCATGTATAACGGGGCTGGTAAATTATGAAATAGTTAAAAGTTTCTATGTTGTGGTTGTTGATTGAGTATGTATACATTATGAATATATATATAAATTGCTTTTTCTTTTAATTATGGTTAACAGAATTAAAGAAAAATCCATATAAATAGTGTTTCAAAGCACTCGAGGTTTTCTCCAAGTGTGAATGATAAAACAAATTGTAGACCAACGTGCATGACAGAGACCCAAATCTTTAGGACTGCTTCGCATTGGCTAAGATTGAAGCTTCTGTCCTTAACAGGCCGGGCGACAAATATTGAGGATCTGATACTTATGCTGCCGCCATTATATTAATTTCGAAGTTAAATAAGTTGAATTCACCAATGACATCTAACACAGGGTATATAAAAATAATTAATTAATTAAGCTTAAAATATAGTGAAGTAGCAAACACTTAGAAACTCTGATATGATTCTTGTAAAACTAACACCTGTATATACCACATTGTCATAGTACTAATACGTTAATATTGATAAACGGGATTTCTTTTATCATACCACCACCTTAAAATTGTCACTCCAAATGACAGCTTGTAGCTCATGATCTCATCTATATAAGATCTACAACCCATTCAGCTTCTTCACACCAATCAAATAATCATAAATCAATACAACATGAAGAAGCAAATTTGCTCTATTCTTCCACTTCTTTTTATTACATTCTGTAGTGTTGAAGCAGGAGAGACGTGCAAAGCCGAGTGGGAAGATTAAAGGGAAAAAGCCTCCTCCAGGAAAATGCAACAAAGACAATGGTTCAGAGTGCTGTAAAGAAGGAAAATACTACACAACTTACAAATGTTCACCACCTGTAGTAACCTCTGATCGTACAAAGGGATTCTTAACACTCAACGGCTTTGAGAAGCATGGAGATGGCGGTGGACCATCGGAATGTGACAAGAAATACCATTCAAATGACGACCCTATAGTGGCACTTTCAACAGGATGGTACAACAAAGGGAGTCGATGCTTAAAGTATATAAACATTTATGGAAATGGGAAAAGTGTAAAGGCGAAGGTAGTTGATGAATGCAGTTCGGAAAAAGGATGTGATGATCCTCATGATTATCAGCCTCCTTGTGATAATAACATTGTTGATGCCTCTAAAGCTGTTTGGGAAGCCTTGGGAGTTCCGGAAAACCAGAGGGGTGGAATGGATATATATTGGTCTGATGCTTGGTTCATTTTAAGGTTTAAAAGTAAAAATATGTTACTTCTTTTATTTTTATGTATGGTTCACTCGAAGATGGTGGTGTATCAAATTTGAAGCAATGAAATAATGGATCTTTCTTTCCAATTACTTCCCTCTTGGGTTAATAAGGGGAGTCCCTCTATCTAATAGATTAGTATTTTGGGTGTAAAACTCTCAATCCGTTATAATAGCATCAGAGCATACCCGATCTATCTTTTAGTATTTCGCCAAACGCCTACACAGAGGGGCGCTCACATATATTAGAAACATATTGGGAAGGTTTTCGGCTTATAAGGGGAAGTCCCTCCACCTCATGGATAATTCCAATAACATATGTCTAGTGTAAACTTACTTTTGGACTGTATTTAGCATTTTGGAATAATTCCAATAAAACCTATGGTTAGCCCAAAATACAGTAAACCCCATGTAATTTAAAAAAAGATTGGTAGTTTGAGCCTTGAGGGGTAATTTTTGTCATTTTTTAAAATGCAAGGGTTTATTTGTTTCAGCTAAACATAGGGATTAGATAGCTTTGATTCAATGGGAAAGAAGTTTAGGTTGGACTTAAATCGGATCTGTATCGATCACGGCTATCTATTTTTAAATACTCCGTTCTAATCTGAGATGAAGAAGAAACTGGGAGGGCTTTCTGTTGCTAATTTGCATTTGAGTTATGATTTTTATTTCCAATAAATAAACATAATTTCAAGGGTTTTTCAATAGCTTATTTTAGTTGGAAGCTCATTCATTCGATCAAATGACAAGTAATTTATTATTATTATTATTTTACTATAACTTTGTCTAAGTTATCAAAAGATATTTTTTCTTTTTTTATTATTATCGGAGTTGTTCGGCTCAATTTACACATACTTCATTTAATTTTCCAAGCGCTTGGAATTGCTAACTAGGTAAAACTTCCAATGGTTACTCCTATTAGTGTCTGGGAGGACTCAAACTCAGGAGTTCATTAAATCTGTTTTTGCTTTTTTACCATCAAGTCATCCAATAATGATTAAAACTTTATTCTTTCCTGCAAAAAATCAAAAGACATTATATGCATGTAAAAATTCTTCAAAAAATACTTGCAGCTTTAAGTAATTCTTCAAGGGGACAAAATTATAATCAACTTGGGTTTCTTTAATGAGTATTGTAAACATAACCTCATACAATAATTGAATCCCAATTCCCATCCCAAAGGAAATTAACAATACATACAGAATTAAGGCTAGTATAAGTTGAATTTAATAATCAATCTTGGTAATATAACGTTTACCTTTACTATATCTCTAGCTTTTAATCGTTCCTTTCGTTGATTCTTTTAATTCCGTATCCCCCACTTTGGGTAACCCTGTTATGCCGTTTTGAAGGCAAAATTGTCGAGCTTTTCATTAGAAGACAGTTGCCCATCACTATATATATAGCGTTTCCCCATTCCAGTTTTTCACAGCGAAACAACAATTAATTGAAGACGGTAGAAAAGATATAGAAGATGAAGAAGCAAGTGTTCTTGAGTGTTCTTGTTGTTTTCTTTCTCTTCTTGTGATAGATTGTTTATGTTTGAAGCTCAGACTTGCAGGGCCAGTGGCAAGATAAGAGGAAAAACCCTCCTCCTGGACAATGCAACCAGCAAAATGACTCCGACTGCTGTAAACAAGGTAAAATACCCTATTTACAAGTGTTCACCTCCAGTTTCAGGACGTACAAAGGCAACCTTGACACTGAACAGCTTTGGAAAAATGGAGATGGTGGTGCACCATCAAATGTGACAACATTACCATTCCGATAACGACCCTGTGGTGGCACTTTCAACAGGATGGTACAATGGAGGGAGTCGGTGCTTAAATATATTAACATCTATGGTAACGGACACAGTGTTAAGGCCAAGGTTGTTATGAATGTGACTCAACAATGGGGTGTGTTCTGATCATGATTACCAGCCTCCATGCCCATACAATATAGTGGATGCCTCGAAGGCTGTCTGGAAAGCGTTGGGTGTTCCAGAAGATAACTGGGTGGATTAGATATCACTTGGTCTGATGCTTGATGCGCACCATACATAGATTATGAATTATATGTAGTATGTGAAGTACTCTGTTGTGTTTGTTATGTTCGCTAATACATTTTAATGTATTAATATACAATATGTTATACTTGCTATCAATTATTACGTAATTGCATCTTCTTTGTATTTATCTATATGGGAAAATTCCTGGAACCCGCTTTGATTGCCATGTTCAAATTACGTAGTTGTTGTTGATCCTGATACTCCCTGGTCTCGATCTATATCCATTATAGCTTGATGAAAATTTTGGGAATAGTGATTATACCATAGCATAGCTATTGGCGTCTGGTTTAATCAGTTTCAGCTTGATGTAGAGTCAATCTTGTTTTTAATTATTTCCAACTGTTGAGTTTCATAACTTAATAACATCATCTATCATTAAACAGTCGAAGGGACTAAAACTTTATATCTTCCTCTTAATTCCTTATTCCCTACAGTATGAGAATAAGAAGCCGACGATATATAGTGTTAATTCCAAAGCGTTTTGTCGCTTGATCACTTGGAGACCCTGATATGATTCCAGTTGTTAATCTCCGAGATTCTTTTAACACTATACCACTTTATCTTTCTGATACGATACTTCTGATGATGCACAGCATAATTTTTTAAAAGACCACCTCAAAATTGTCACTGCAAATGACAGCTATAAATTCATCATCCCTATATATAGTCTACCATCAATTCACCTATTCTTCCCACAAACTTAAAAACAATACAACATGAAGGATGAACAGTTTACTCTAGTTTTCTTCTTTTGTTTGCCTTTTTTTCCTTGTTACTTTCAGTGTTGAAGCTGGCTTGCAAGCCTAGTGGCAAGATAAAAGGGAAAAAGCCACCTCCAGGACAATGTAACACAGGGAACGACTCCGAATGCTGTAAGAGGGGTAATATTACACCACTTACAAATGTTCACCCAAAGCTCATCCTCAGGTCGTACAAAAGCAACCTTAACAATCAACATTTTTGGGAACATGGTGACGGCGGTGGAAAATCTGAGTGTGACAACAAGTACCATTCAATGACGATCCTGTAGTGGCACTTTCAACAGGATGGTACAATGGAGGGAGTCGATGCTTAAAGCATATTAACATCCGGTAACGGAAAGTGTAAAAGCCAAGGTTGTTGACGAGTGCGACTCAACAAGGGATGTGATTCAGATCATGATTATCAGCCTCCATGCCCCAACAATATTTGGATGCTTCAAAAGCTGTTTGGGAGCCTTGGGAGTGCCTGAAAAGACCGGGCGAAATGGATATCTACGGTCTGATGCTTGATTTTTAACCTTTAAAATCACCATTAATGCAACCGTAAGCTTTAATAAATGGGCACAATTGAATTTGACGTCCATCCGAAACAGTAGTTAGTTAACGTTAGATTAGCTAGTTAAAATAAATGTTTCTATTAGGGTACCAAAAGTAAGTCCCGACGCTTAAGTTTGTGTTAATTTTTTTTTTTTTTTTTTCTGAATAAGTTGGTCAAGGTTGTGTTGTTATGTAATAAACATATAAGAAATATAATTATGAATCTTCGTTTTATTCGTGATCATACTTTATGAGTATAAGTTTGATGAACACTAAAAAAACAGCAGAAAAGAGAAACTCATTGCAAAGGGTTGAGATATAAGAACACACACAATCTGTAACTTGATTAGTCCTGTTAGCCTGATTTAAACAGCATACTGAACAGAATTTTGCTCGTCTATAGAGTTGAAGCGACAATATTTAGAAATTTCATGCATATATTAATATATCCTTTCCAT